CAAGACTGGCAGCAAGGTTGCAAGGCTTCTGAAGGACTTGGGAAGTGCCCCCTCTCCTTATCAACAAGGCATAGTTTGCGAGGGAAGACATTCCAGGCAACATTTATGAAGGGCATGCTTGCCGAAATTCAGGTACTGCGCATACAGACTGACTTCAAAAATATAACTTCCAATATTCTATTATCATGGGCTGAAAACACAATTTTGAGAAAAAAACTGTCATTTCCTGCATCAACCCTGCATCTACAGGACTATGCAAGGGAATAGGCTCCAGAACTTCATGAAAGGATGACTTCTACTTATTTGCAGCAACGCTATTTTTTTAAATTTTTAAATAATTTATTTATTTATTGAATCACTGTGGGAAAAGTTACAAAGCTTTCAGGTTTAGGTCTCAGTCATGCAAATATCAAACACCTTTCCCTTTACCAATACTTATTTTTTACCACGAAGAACCCCAATAAAACCCCACCCCCCACCCCTCCCAATGCCTGCGAGGCAGATGAATTCTAGTTGACACTCTATCTGCTTTGATTAGATTCATTGTTTCAATAAAAGATTCACCACTATTATTTAGAGTTTACCCCCCCCCCCCCCAAATCAGACATGCTGAAAAAGCATTGTGAAGTGATTCGCTTTTTACAGCTGGGTTCAAGAATTAAATGTTGGTTTTGGATTTCCGCTATTTTGCTAATTAACCCTGGAAGTATTTCTACTGAGACTCAGATAATTAAGAGATTGGTTTCTGTGCTCTGGAGTCGTGGCTGTGCTGGAGAGCCGCTCATGGGGGGCAACTGGTGGCCTCGGTAGGGCGTGAAGAACAGACCGGAACACCCCCCTTCCCATGAGGTTTTAGTCGCCCCCACACCCCCCGCTCACACCTGCTCTCCACAAGGCACCCATGTGGCCGCCATCTTCTTTCCAGAGAAGAGAGGGCAAATGGGGCAACACCCTTTCCCCTCCGGGCAGACATGATGGCCTGGATTAACGCATAGTCCGTTCACTTTTCTGCTCCAAGCTGCTGTGTTCTGCATTGTCCTTGTGCTTCTGGGGCCGTGGCCCTGCTCCAAACTTAACTCTGATTTTTAGGGAGAAAGGTTGGGTGATTTACTTCCCATTGATCACTTTGTATATATTTGATCTCGGCTCTTTTTGGAACCTGGTGTCTTCTCTGGGAGCTGTGGAGCCAGCCCTCCATGTGGTCCTTCTTCTCTCTGTACGGCTGTGTGCCAGCAACGCTATTTTTAATTTATAAATGTGAAAGGGATGCATGTGCGCTTATGCAGCATGCACGTTAAGGGTGGTTAAGTCACTTCTTGCTGTAGCCAGGGAGGGTTTTCCATTTCTTGGTTTTTCTTTGGGAGGTCACACTAGTACTAGGGATTGAATGCAGGCCTCCTGCATGTAAACATGAACACTAGCCCTTTTCTTCAATAATGTCCATAGCTATGCACACTTCTTAGCTCATCTGTGTCAAGCACATATACAGCCTTGATTTAGTTTGAGTTGTGAATCCAATATATTTCCCGGGACTAGAGATAGTACTTGCCTTGCATCCAGCCAACCCTGCACGGCTCAATTCCCAAAACTACTCCTATTTTGAGGCAGGGGAAAAAAATGGTCCAAGAAGACAGTCGAGCTGATTCAGACTTCTCAAAGAAATGTGACTGGCACCATGAAACCCTCTTAGCAATTCTGAAAATTTAAGCAGTGTATCCAAAAGCATGAAGATAGAAACTGTCGGCAGTGAGCCACAACTATTCAAGTGTACTCATCGAATTCGGGTTGTTAGGCATTCTAATGAATCAATGCTCATGGCCAAGCTCGTGTTGATAAGGACACCGACACCACTGATGCCTCTTTTGTCGCATGTTCAGAGGAACAGTTCTCCAGTGTCGAAAATGGGTGATGCGGTTGATGCCTTCTAGTCTCGGTCAGACCAATGATGTCGTACTTGATCTTTTGTGCTTGCACCATTAGGTCCTCGATGGATGCATCTGATGCCAGTGTACGTGCATTAAAAGTACAGACATTTTTGTCTTTCTTCGTTTTGGCAGCCTAGTTTGGCCTTGAGATTTTATCGTCTCCTCCCTCATCCTTCTTAACGCTGCTGTATTGGTGGCTCTTTCAGGGTCATGGGAATGAGACCCATTGTACTTACTGTTTCTGGCATATAGAACATATCACGGATAGCTTGCCAGGCTCTGCCTTGTGGGTGGGATACTCTTGGTAGCTCGCCAGGCTCACCAAGAGGGACAGAGGCTTTTAGGGCAGCCTCTAATTGCCCTTGCAGGTGTCCCCATGGTTCAAACCATATTTGGACCCTATCAAATATGGTATTTACTGGTGGCAACCACACCACCTCCGCTTTCCTGATAACATCGTTCTAAGAACACCAAACATTAGCCAAGTGGCACAAATGCTGGCCGACTTCGACTGTGAGTGTGGAAAGGTCAGACTCAAACTGAATCTAAAGAAGACAATATTTATGAGAAACAGTCTCGTTCCCGACATTCCATTTGCTCTCAATGGAATGAACATCTCCGAATGCAACAGTTATGTGTACCTAGGTCAAGAAGTCAACATGATGAATGACCTGGCACCTGAGTTGCGCAGGAGAAAGAGAGCGGCTTAGAACGCCTTCAAGAGCGTCAAAGAAATAGCTAAGAGGATGAAGAACCTCCAGCTCCAGGCACATCTCTTTGATTCCACTGTTCTTCCTGCATTAACATACGCCTCAGTGACCTGGGCCCTACGCAGGCAGGATGAGAATGCTATTCAGGTCTCCCAAAGAGGAATCGAAAGAGCTATCCTTGGAGTATCACGCGTCACTCAAATGAGAGAAAAATCCGGAGTTCTGACCTCCATCTACGGTCAAGAATCAGGGATGCTGTCTTGTTTGCCAAGTCATCGAAAATCAGATGGGCTGGACTTGTAATGAGTTTTGGAGACGACCGCTGGACTAGAGCCATTACTGACTGGATTCCGGAGGACTTTAAAAGACCCCGTGGCCGCCCACCTACGAGATGGTCAGACTTCGTCGTCAGGACCCTGACCGATTGGTTTGAGGCTCTTTGTGTTCCTGGAGTGAGCAGATGCCATTGGGCTACACTAGCACTGAACAGGGCCAAATGGAGATATTACTGGTGCCCGTCAAGCAAATAGGTGAGAAACGGGATGTCACGTGATCATGAGATCCAAAAGCACCAGAATTATAAACCTGAGTTACAGTATTTGTCAGATATAGTTCAGTTCTACAATCCCTAGAGCCCACAGGAGTGATCCTTGAACAGTTCCCCAACTCCCAAAAAGGACATCTAAGCAGTGAGTTCAAGGAAACCCTACTAGTCAACTCATTTTGTGAGTTGGCCACAATCCTTTGCTGACAACCTTAACCTAACCAGTCTTCTTCAAAATGAGACACTTTGATCTCTAAATAGAAATTATTTTGTTAAACATTACTTATTACTTTTTGTTAAACATTACTCAGAGACCTGGGCCCTACGCAAACAAGATGAGAACGCCATTCAGGTCTCCCAAAGAAGAATAGAAAGAGCTATGCTTGGAATATCACGTTTCACTCAATTGAGAGAAAGAATCCGGAGTTCTGACATCCGTCGACGATCAAGGATCAGGGACGCTGTCTCATTTGCCAAGGTTTCGAAAATCAGATGGGCTGGTCACGTAATGAGATTTAAAGAGGACCGCTGGACTAGAGCTGTTACTGACTGGATTCCACGGGATGTCAAGAGACCGCGTGGCCGCCCACCTACCAGATGGTCAGACTTCTTCCTGAAGATCATGAACGATCGGTTTGAGGCCCTTATGTTCCCGGAGCGAACAGATGCCATTGGGCTACACTAGCACGCGACAGGGACAAATGGAGACGTTACTGGCGCCCGCTCGAGCAAATCGACGACTAACGGGAAGTTAAGTGATTAAGTGAAACATTACTTATGTATACTATCTTATCGCGATAGCACATACCCGCGATAGAGGATAGGGCATTTGCCTTGCACGTGGCCGACCTAGCTGATCTGAGTTTGACGGCAAAGCCTGGCAAGCTCTCCGTGACGTATTCGATATGCCAAACAAAGTAAGAACAAATCTCACAATGCAGACGTTACTGGGCCCGCTCGAGAAAATCGATGAACAACGGAGGACAGTGCTATTTCATATTAAAAAAAAAATGTATTTTTTTGCCACACCCAATTGTGTTAAGAGCTTATACCTGGCTCTGCACTCAGGGATCACTCCTGGCAGGGCTTGGGGGAAAGAAACATATGGGGTGTTGATGATCAAATCCAGGTTGGCCTCTGTACTTTATTAACAACTCCTGGTGGTGCTCAGGGGACCATATGGGATGCTGGTTATCGAACCTGGGTTGGCTGCGTGCAAGACAAATGCCCCACCCACTGTGCCATCGCTCTAGCCACTACTAACAAGTTTCAATTCTAGATTATTTAGACACTGCCCCTGGCAACATGTAATCTCATCAACGGCCAAGATTCAGAGACTATAAGGCAAATCCCCTGGAAGAGAGCGACACAGTATTTCCTGGAGTTTGCGGCTGTGAATGCCAAAAGCTTGCATTCAGTAGACCAGGAACACTTGTAAAACCTACTAGAGGCCACCCCCAAAGCCTCCATCCCTCTCGGAGAACCCAGCAAGCTACCCGTGGCGTATTCGATATAGCAAAAACAGTAACAAAAACGGGCCTCATTCCCCTGACCCAGAAAGAGCCCCCAATACACCATTGGGCTACACTAGCACATGACAGGGACAAATGGAGACATTACTGGCACCTGCTCCAACAAATCGATGAACAAGATGACAAATGATACAAGTGAAATTATTAAAGACATAGTTGATACCTTCTGTAGCTGTTCCAGCCCCTGAATGTTTTCTTCTTAATGACAAACACTTGACAAATCATTACTTCCATCCTTTATTTAGTAAAATTTTATACAGTAGGAAAAAGTAACAGAAGTTCACCCAAACTTACCTAATTACTCTCAAGTATACATTTTTTCCTATAGGAATTGCGAGATCAAGCATTTGGAAGGAATAACACTTTGAAGTTGCAACTGGGACTAAGACTGTGGTCCCTCATTAAATAGCATAGACTGATATGCCCATAGAGTGAGGCTTCTATCATAATTGTAGTTTCAAGAACACGGGTGAGTGCATTACAAAACCTAGCATAAAAACTTTAACTGAGTCAGCCACCTTCCAAAAAGACTGACATTAAGCTAATTGTGTTTATATACAGATTAGAAGCCCTTTTGCTAGAATTGTATTTGTTCTATGTTTCTGTAAATTGGCACAACATTTTCACTTAAAGTGTTTGCAAAACAAAAATAGTTTCCTATGAAAAATGAATTCAGGCTAGGACATTTTTTGGAGCTAAAAAGTGATGTTAAGAACTGACTGATGTTGCATATGTATGCAAGTATGCCGCGCCAACAAGAGACAAGCAGAACACAGGACTGCTGACAAGGGCCTCAGAGCAAGCGAACAGTTTTCCCAGTCACTGTCAAGAAGTCATCATCAGCCAAGGCACGAAGTGCTTCTTCAAACATATCTTTGGTAATAGCCTTTGGGGAGGAGAAGAAAACAAAACATTTCATACTTCAAGCCATCCTTTACATTACAAACAAGATTTCTATGTAAATGCCCACCAGTCTCTTTTCTTTCGAAACACACAGACATTTTTTATGCTTTAGCCAGGGAAGTCAAACTTTACCTACGAAGGACCAGAGGGTAAATATACCCCACACTGTCTCTTCTGCCCACTGCAGTCATGGATGGCAAGTGAGGAGTTAGAAAACGAGTGAAAGGGCTGGAGAGAAAGTTCAAAGGCAGGGCAGGAGCTCAGGCTTGATCCCTGGCACTACATGGTTCCCTGAACTCTGCCAGAAGGTTCCCTGAACTCTGCCAGAATCAATCCTGGGCAGAGTCAGGTATGGCCTCTGAACCCCCAATAAAGAAATTCAAAACAAGACAAAAACCAAAGGGATGAATTTGGCTCACTTAATTATTAGATTGTCATGGAAAAACTTATCTTTGCTTATTCACAAAAAGGCACCGTATTTTATTCCTAAAACAAACATATATAGCATAATAACAAAAATCTACAAGCACGCTAACTGTCCAACTAGTTAAGAATGTTAAATGCATGCAACAGAATGCCATCCATGTTCACGATGGATGTATATTTAGGGGCTGGAGCTATAGTACAGCAAGCAGGGTGCTAATGTTTTTTTGATTTTGATCAAAATCAAAACAACAACAACAGAAGTATATTTACCATCAAAAGTGCCAGGCTAGTTAAAGAACAGGGGATGGGGCCAGAATGATAGCACAGCAGGCAGAGTGTCTGCTTTGCACAGATCCGAGCTGGGTTTGATTCCCAGAATCCCACATGGTCCCCAGTGCAATGCCAAGAGTAATTCCTGAGTGCAGAGCCAGGAGTAACTAGAGCATCACAGTTGTGACCCGAAAGGTCACAGACGAAAAAACAAGCAAACAAACAAACCCAGAAAGGGCCAGGAAAATAGCTCAAAAGACTGGGATATGATCCTGCTATGGCAGGTACCCTTGATCAACAAGCCAGACTTCCCCTCCCCAAGTCGCCCCACCCCCAGGCACTTTTGGGTGAGAACAATTACTTATGAAGACTTACTGTATCAGACTGTCCCCTAAAATCTTCAAAAAGTTGTTGGTATTTCAGAGCTGGTGTTTTGCCCTTAGATAAAATCAGCTTTTTCAATGCTTCTGCTAACTCTTCTTTCCGTTTTCGAGATGTGGCACTCATTCCTGATTGTAAAAGAAATGAATGAAAATTATTTGTTCCTTTAAATTTTACTAGAAAGTTTTTGAATTCCCATTAAATACTCCCAGAACGTCATGTAACAGCAGTACAATGGCTAAACGCTAAATCCAAAGCCACGAGGAACTTGGAAATTGTTTCTAATTTTCTATAAGCCAAAGGCTGGGTACTTTTCTGGGAAACAACCCCATAATCTGTACAGAGAGCACACTAAGTTCATTAAGAAATGAATTACATCTTTAAATGGGCATCACACTCATGACTGATCAGAGATTAAGCGTAGGTTTTTGACAACAACTCTTATGACATTCCCAAAGACTCCTTGTCTAATATGAAGTTATTTGTATGTTTCTACTTTCAATAATGTGCATGTGTTTCTACGTCCACTTCCACGGACCTGTGGTGAGAATCGATATGTCCACAATGCCTGTCCGAGGGTCAGTTGCAGACTGCTTCAGAGCTTCCCGGTGCAGGCGCTTGGCTTCTTCAACATCAATTGCTTCGACTTTGTTTGAAAACCTTACTTTGGCATGGGCCTCTGCCAAGCGAATCAATGATTCCAGCTGTCGGGGGTACGCGGAAACCATGCCCCGGCTACTTCCAATCTTCCTCATGTCTACATATGCCTAGTACAGGTAGACAAAGAAAAACCAAACTGAGTAACAAGACCCTTCCTTTCAGAACGGGGCTTTAAGTGAGGATTCTGTTAACCAAGTGGAATTCCTGCCTGCCTTCCATGCAAAGGTACTGATCCCCTCTGTGTCTCAGTTCCTTAATTGGGTGTAGTGGAAGTCTGAAGGAGAATGGAAGACAGGCAGCGGAGGCCATGTGGTCGTCTCCCCAAGGGTAACAGGACACAAGGCAGGGGGACTAACGTGCCTTACATCCTCCTTAGACACCTTTATTTCTACCTTCAAGGGTTCATTTAAAGAAACAAGTATTATTGGGCTAGCAACAAAAACTAAGTTTATGTTAAACTTATACAGATAATTTAGTTTTTGGTTATGGGCTCAGTAAAAAAAAAAAGCTTTACCTCAATGAGAGCCTGGCTGGCATCCTGACTCAGTCGAGGCATGATGGTGCTGTGGGCATAAGCAATATAGTCCTTAAGCACAGCCATGTCCATGAACTCCTCCTCCATCTGCTCCTTGCTCTGGTAGTACAAGGCCACAAGGTGGTGAGCTAGGCGCCTGTCATAGGCTTCATCCTGAGGGTCTAGCATGAGGAAGATCAAATCAAACCTGAAAAAAATACAGAAGCAGTTGTTTCCTAAGTCCAGATGCCAGCATACTTCCAAGTGTAATTTAAGAACTAGCCTGGGCTGGAGAGAGAAGAGCGGGAAGGCATTTGCCTAGTATGCGGCCAACACAGGTTCAAACCCGGCATCTCATATGGCCCCTGTACACTGCCAGGTGTGTCTCCCTAGAACTACTGGTCTGGAGCTACCTACTAATGTATCATGAGTATGTGTTAGCCAGGGCTGCAGAAAGAGGCACAACCTTCAAAGCGCTTAAAAAGCTCCCAGGTGGTTCTTGAAGCAGTCCTACTAGCCCCAGTAGGGCACCCATTCTTGGGGCTCTTAAGTCTGCCTAGAACAGTTGGGTCGAAGAAAGAATCCTCCCAGTGAGCCAGACGGTGCAGGAGTTAAGGCACTTGCACTACATGAGGCCAGCCCTTGTCCAACCCCCAGCACACGGTCCTTCAAGATGTGCTGGGCACAGCTCTGGAGGGTCCTGAGCATCACTGCATCCTTGGCGAACTGAAGGACCTCTTGGCCTAGAGGGACCCTGTGGCCTTCTGAGCACTGTTTGGGAGAACCCCCTCCAAGTGCCTTGAGGGAAAAAGTTAAAGTTCATTTATAAAATACACCGACATTTGGAAGAGCGAAGTTCAGTGCAGATTACATAGATCTGCTACAAGTTTTTGAGCCTTTCCTATGTGAAGTTATATTCTTTGCTCAATCCTTGCACTGACTTGTAATAGTGCCTTTAAAGCGAAGATGAAAGTTTTGACTGACAAGCTTCTGAAAGGGTATTAAGGTGAAATCACCTAATAAATTCTGAAAATGAGTATTAGATCCATAACCAACTCAATCTGAAAACTTGTATTAAAGTTTATGATATTGGCTACTGCATTTTAATAGTTCCTTTTCTAAATCTCATTCTGAAAAATCTTAAGATAAACAAAGTGAAAACATTTGTTTCATACCTTGACAACAATGTGTGAGGCAACTGAATGTTTTCAATGGTGGTTTTTTTTGGATTCCACTGAGACTCGATAGGATTTGCTGCTGCCAGGACAGACGTGCGTGCATTAAGTTGACAAATAATCCCAGCCTAGCAGAGAAAACAGTGAAATTAGAAGCCCCACCTCGAGGCTGAAAGGAACTTTGTGAGCTTTCATTTCCTGGCATGCCCCTATCTGTGTAGGAGTCACCTGGCCCTGGAAAGGCGAATCCAATGGTTCCACTTGGGGAAAATGCCTTATTTGGATTCATGCCAATGGCCAGATTTCAGAGAGATACGTGCTATAATTGTATCTTTTTCAGAAGTTAACCCCCTGCATGATATTCAGGACAAACTCAAGTTCCATGAATACTACATGGCAGTGGTTCGTACCAAGAAAAAGCTGAAAAGGAATCCTGAAGCAAGTGATAGCTGGGCGGACTGGAATGCATGCCTATGAGAGAGGCAGTTCCATTCCTTGTACCTCAAGGTCCCCCTACCCAAGCACCATAGGGAGTTAGTTCCCAAGCTGGATTGGCCCTTAAGCACCACTAGGTATGGCTCAAAAACAAAGATAGGGGGTCACAGTCACAGTCCTCCCGTTGTTCACCGATTTGCTCGAGCGGGCCCAGTAACGTCTCCATCATGAGACTTCTTGTTACTGTGTTTGGCAAAGATAGGGGGATCCTAAAGAAAATATCCACATTTAGTTGAATCTAGTATGAAGTCTCTACCAGATGCTCAAACTTAAAAAAATCAAGGTAACATTGTAGGTGCACAGGTGCTCATTTTGTACTTAAGAATAGAAAATGTGGGTCCAGAGCGATAGTACAGTAGTTAGGGAGTTAGCTCTGCAGTTGAACTGGGTTTGATCTGCAGCATTCCAAATGGTCTGCAGAGTACTGTAGGAGTGAGCTCTGCGTGCAGAGCCAGAAGTAATTCCTGAGCATTCATTGTTGGGTGTGGCCCCAAAGCCAAACCAACCAAAAATGAACGGAGAGTGTTACCTTTGCAATAGAAAGAGTCTGCTGTTCCATGACTTCATGCAGTACCGATCTCGTGCTTTCATTCATCTTGTCAAACTCATCAATACAGCAGATTCCATTGTCACTCAGGACCAGGGCACCGGTCTGCAGGACCAGCTGTCTTGTTTCAGGGTCTTTCATTACGTATGCGGTGAGGCCGACTGCACTGGAGCCCTTCCCTGATGTGTACTGACCCCTGGGGACCAGGTTGTACACATACTGCAGCAGCTGGGACTTGCTGGTCCCAGGGTCACCACACAGCAGGATATTGATCTCAGCACGAAATTTGCCCCTTCCCGTGTGGCTAAAATCCTTTCTTGTTCCACCAAAGAGCTGAAGCAAGATTCCCTAAACAAACAAATAAACACACCTAAACATTCTTTCATTTTCGCTTAACGGAAAGTTAAAATTCTACTCTATAAAGTAATTACGATAAAGAAATCCAAAGGGATGGGAACAATAGAACAGCGGGTAAGGCACTTGCTTTGTATGGGGTGGACCCGGGTTTGATTCCCAGCATCCCATACGGTTCACTGACTACTGCTAGGAGTGACTCCTGAGTGTAGAGCCAGGAGTACCCCTGAACATTGCTGGTGTGGTCCAAACACAAAACAACAAAAAAGAGGAAGGTATAAAAGTTTAAGTGACTGGCTTAGAGATAGGGATTAAGACATTTGCCCTGTCAGATGGAATCCCAGTGACCAAGAGCTTTCACAAGCAAGGCCCAGGTATTCAGATTCCAGGACTGAATCTCCAAGATGCCCCCTCCCTGGGTCCCCACCCACCCAGTAGACTGGCTGTCACACCCACAATTTGCCTCCAGGTGCCATCTTCATGCACTAACAACCCTGGCCCAGAGACAGACTCACAATCGAATCCCAAAGTGGATTAATGCCATACAGAGATGTCTCTGGAACCCAATCATTTACAATTTAGAAAGTTACATTTGCAATCACGGCCGTGCGAGCCCTCATGATATTCAAAATGAGCAATGGAAAATAAATTATCTAGCTTTTGCCCCTGGCAGGTAGACTTGAATGACGGTAGGAAATTTCCAGCAAAACATAATGCCCAAAATTAGAGAGTACTGGGGAAATTGTCTGCCAAAGAGGCAGGGTGAGGACTGGGATGTGCACTGGTGGAGGGATGGATGTTCCATCACTGTATATATAGCTGAAGCTCAGACATGAAAGCTTTGTAACTCTATCTCATGGTGATAAAAAAAAAGTTATGTGGAGTTCATGCCCAATTCAATCAGCTTAATGGCTGAACAAATGGCAACACTCCTACATAAAAACAAACAAACAAACAAACAACAACAACAACAACAAAAAAACCCCAAAAACAACCCACATTTGCCTCACATCAAACCAATCCCAGTTGGATCCCCAGCACTAAATATGGTCCCTCGAGTACTGGAAGGGGTAACTCCTGAGCACAGAACCAGTAATAGCTCAGGAGCACCACTGGATATAAGGCTCCCTCAAGAACAAAGGGAGGATGGGAAGGGAGAACAGTTCTTAACATAAGCTCTCACCACCATGCCAGAATGGGGTTACAGTAAATCCCTATTCTGACTCCATGTGGGTTCTCTTACACTTGGAAACATGTACATTCAAGATAGAGATAAAACTCATGCTTGGGATTGAAGAGAGTACAAGGGTTAATTCACTTGCCTTGCATGGAGCCAAGTCTAATTTGATTCCTGGCACACAGGATCCCGAGTCACCACCAGGAGTGGTCCAGACCACAGAGTCAGGGGTAAGCCTTGTGTTATTACCAGATGTGGCCCAACCAAAAAAAAAACAAGTTTCAGTTACCTTCTTTATATCTTCATGTTCATAAATGCTTGGAGCCAAGGCTGAAGCAAGTCTCTCATAAATATCTGGTTTCCTGGAAAGTTCCTTAAGCAATTCCACACGTTTCTCCGAGAAGAGTTTCTGTTCTGCCTCTTCATCCAGGCCATGCAGACGTTTTGCATCCGTTTTTTGATAATGAATGACGTCCATGTGGGTTTTGTAGACAGACTTCACATTACTCACTCTTGGATTGAGTCGAATAGGAACAGCTCGATAGATGCCTGAGGGCACAACCACGCCAAGGGCTCAATACACTACTACACACTACAGGCAGCGCTAAGAGTGGAAACTCACAATACACCTTAATGCCCACAGGCGAGGACTCAAGCCCACTGAAGGGGTAAGCCAAGTTGAAAAAGGCAGAGCTAAAAATGTGTTATTTTGTGACCACTTGCTATCACTGAGCCCTGCTAAGTGTGACCTGGGCTCATCCTCAGGCTCCTGCACTCAACTGACAGTCTGGTTGGCTGAGAATTGCAGGTGAGCCCCTTGGAGCTTCTGGTTTTTGCTTTGTTTTTTAAATGTTTTGGTCACACCCGGCGATGCACAGGGGTTACTCCTGGCTCATGCACTCAGGAATTACTCCTGGCAATTCTCAGGGGACCACATGGGATGCTGGGAATCGAACCCGGGTCGGCCGTATGTAAGGCAAATGCCCTACCTACTGTGCTATCGATCCAGCCCCACCCTTGGAGCTTCTGAATATGCCCGAGAGTCCCACTTTCACTGCCCCCCAAATAAAAGTCAGATAGCACTTGCCTTGCCAAGCCCCCAATGCAAAAGGAGGCTCAACCCTGCCACCAGAAAAACTTTCCTATTTTCTAAGAAAAAAAATCTTAAACAACAACAACAAATCTCATTTTTATCCCCCCCCCCCCCCCCCGGCTGTTATTTTTAGGCCACCCTAGGTGATACTCAGGAATCACTTCTGGTGGTACATGGGGGGCTATAAGGTTGGCTGCATTTAAGACAAATACCCTACCCACTGTACTATCACTCCAGCTTCATGTATTTTTTAAAGAATCATCTTTGAACTTCAAACTAGAAGTGTTGGAATTGGAATACAGATCAAAGGGTGTGAGTACCTGGTTTACTGGTCAAGTCCTACCAAGCACCACCCTGTGCTACCTCCCTACCCCAAATGGGTCCTTCTAATGAGGTTATGTGCAGTCCCTGTTCTGCTGTCAAACTGCATTGAAATCTTTGGTCCAGAATTTAATCTTTTTTTAGTTTTTTTCATCTGCAAAGTGCAAATTAATGAGTGATGCATTTGAAGGTATTTGGGGGAAAGAAACTCTAGAAACTACTGCACAGATACAAAATATGTTAACAGAAACTTTGTGAGTGAATTGCCAGTAAAATAGATGACTTCAAACAAATGCCATTTGACCATAATCTGTTCACACGAAGAACAGTCTGTGTAATAAAAATTCCCGATCTGTTTAATCTAATATGACTAGATTAAAAAAATTATATATTTTTGCGAGGTAAGAGATTGGGCCACACCCAGCAATGCTCAGAGGTTACTCCTGTCTCTTGCTGCCCATGTGCAGGTGACCTATCCACTGCTGTGCGATCTTTCCAGCCTCATGACCTTTCCTTTTCACCTTGAGAAAGAATAAGAGTTGTCTTTTTAATAGAGGGCAGATCATTACTTGTATCCTGTTCACCTTAAGAAAAAATTAAAGTTGTCCTTTTAATAGAGGGCAGATCATTATTGGCAGTGTTCTAAAAACTGAGAGAATACATATTTTTCCTCAAAAGCAGCAAGAGGGGCCAAAGAAATAATAGTTAAAAGTTCATTCTAATGCATACTTTGCAGGCGTATGGCCTGGATTTGATCGCTGACGCTACCTGGTCCCCAATACGACCAATAGTGACTTACTGCCTAGCGTACTGACACAACTTATCTTCGTACCTGTAACATTCACTCTGTCCCCAGGCTGAACCTTGTCGACAAGATCATTGTGAGCAAAAAGTACCACAGTATGAGGGGTTTGCCCTGCAGGCATATCTTCAGGAGACTCTTGAAGTTTGATCTGAAAGAAAAGGGATAACAGAAAATTCAGCAAAACCAGAAAGTATAAGATACAACAACAACAACAACAACAACAACAACAACAACAGCAACAACAAAAAGAAAGAAAAGGAAGTTGCTTGTAGGTGGAGAAGCACAAATTTCTAGGCTCATGGTTAGGCACCATGTATCTCTTCAGGCCACTGTATTTCGCAGAGACTTGTGAAATACATCTATTAATTTTTCTCTTTTGAGTTTTGGAGCCAGATGTGTTCAAGAATAACTCCTGGCTGCCAGAGATTCTATGTGGTGATAGGATCGAACAAGGACATGCCCACATGCAAGGCTTGAGCCTCAACCCCACACTTTATCTGTCCAGTCGCATGAGTTTAGATCTGTGTACCTCATCTGCTAGTGCTGGAGCGATAGCACAGCGGGCAGTGCATTTGCCTTGCACATGCCCACCCGGCTGACCTGAGTTCGATTCTTCCGCCCCTCTCGGAGAGCCCGGCAAGCTACCGAGAGTATCTCGCCTGCACTGCAAAGCCTGGCAAGCTCCCCGTGACGTATTCAATATGCTAAACACAGCTAACAAGTCTCACGATGGAGACATTACTGGGCCTGCTCGAGCAAATTGATGAACAACGGGCGGATACTGCAGTGCTACCTGATCTGCTGAGCACCCACCATATTCTGCTTTCTGTCTAGGTTCTGCAGATTGCAACAGAAGTCTCTTCTCACAGAGAGGGGACAAATAGCATATCCGAAGACAGGCTGGTGTTTGGCTGAGACAATGTCAGAAAGGAGAGGGGTGTGGGGAGGACCCACACTGTGTGCAGCGGGTAGGGTGCTTGCCTTGCACAGTGCTGACTTGGGTTCAACCTCCAACACCCTCTATAGTCCCCCAAGCCCCATGAGGACTGATCCCTGAACACTGCCAGGCACGGCACTTCTGCAGGCCAGGGAAGGTGGGATTCTTTATTGGGAAACTCCAGAAGGACCTAACAAAGGCCAAGTAAGGAGTATCACTTAAGACCATCGACTGCTTCCGGTTCTCCCTGTTGGCAAGCATCCTAGCAACAGACTTCCCTAGGCAGAGCAGGGGCAGCCTAAGAAAGCCTTGCCTGTGCACACAACACCCTCCTCTTCCTGAGAGTGGATTTTGGGCTCTCTTGAGCTCTCAGGGAACTGCTCTGCTCCTATGGCTTTTCCCTCGTTTCCCTTCCCCTTCCTCAGAACTGTCAAAGAAAAGCTGTTTGCATTTCACTGCTGGTCTCTGCCTGAAATTATTTTTCTGCATACAGAAAGGTCTGGAGAAGGCCTAGAACTGACTTTCCTTTCCTGCAAAGAGCAATCCCTTGCTCGGGATTAGGGAGTCCTTGGCTCCCCAAGAAACCCAGAGGCTGAGATCTCTCCCACACTGTGCAAACAAGCGCGCACAGGCAGAGTTTGCCAGCTGCCTGGTGAGGCTGCTAAGACCTAAGGCCTGCACTGTGCAGGAGCTCACGGCAGTCTTTCTCCAGACTAAGATATCCCAGGCATTCCAGAGTGGGAGAGGCCTCCCTCCTCACTTCTTGGAAGTTACCCAGGGCCACCACCACAGTGTTTCTACTTCTTTGCACCATGTCAACACGCTACACTTGTTCCTTTACTCTGTGCCAACATTAGATGAGAATACATCTTAAATGAACCTTAACTCCACTGATAAGTTGTATTTTCAATACTCTCTACACAATATTAACTCCACTGTATTTTCAAAACTCTCTACACAAGATTTAGTACTGTCAGGGCTGAAGTGATAGTACAGCAGGTAGGTAGGCCTTAAATGTGGCCAATCTGGGTTCGGTCCCCAGCACTCCATTTGGTCCCCTAAGCACCATGAGGAGTAATTTTCTGTGGCCCCAAAACAAAAAAGAAATGAAAGACGCATACAACCATTCTTTACCTGAACAAGTTGTAAAATACCAGAATTTAGTCAAGTAATTTGTACTGATTTTTAATGTTTTACTGGTATCTGATATTAAGTACACGTTTTAGTTTTAAATATTTCCTACAGAAACACTTCACCTTTGATAAATCAGTGAAGGATAACTAATGCCAGGGTGCTTGAAGTTTCCAGGCCATAAGCTGCTAACAAAACTCACCATCAGACAAGCAAAAAAAAAAAAAAAAAAAAAAAAAAAAAAAAAACCCAACCAAAAACAAACCCACAAACCACACACACACACACACACACACACCACCAAAACCCAAAAAAACAAAGCCAAACAGATGTGCTACTTAGAAAGCATGGTTCAGGGGTCCAAGTGGACACACTGAATTTCATTGAATTTTGTTTTTCGAGAACACACTAAGGGAAGAATAAAGGCAAAAAACCCAAACCCAAACAAACCCATGCCAAAGAGGACATACCATCTGCTTGTCGGAGAACAGAGAGCGGTTGTGAATGAGTGCCATACTGTGGGTGGTGTGGCAATGCTCGCAGGTGCAGGGCTCAGCAATGCGACCTCGGTCAATTTCCACCCGGGTTGTGTACATGCACACCTGGCACTGGAAGAAGGCCTCCTGCATCTCTGGAATCAGCTGGGATGTCCTGATCACCATGCCACTAATGGTGATGAGCTGGTCGATGTCTGCAGGGGGGAGAGAGGTCAAACAACGCTCACAGGGCATCCACATGCTTTCCCCAGGCCTTCCCTCCCGGGCCAGGGAAGGTGTAGCTCTACATCGATCGAGTAGAGCAGAACCTTGTTAGGCAGGTAGGGATGGCTGGGTCGGATTGCCAGGGTATCATGCTCTGTCCAGTGTGCCTTACTTTCAAATCTGATGGACCTCTCTCCCTTGGGTTCTCACCAACAGGGATCTCACCCATTTGCCCTCACTCATGTGCCTCTTTCACTGGCTCTAGCTCCACGCGTAGAATACTGATGCTGTGGCCCATTTTCCCCACCAGAGTCCACTTGTTTCTGCTTATACGATTTCTTTCTGTTCTCCAGTAAATCCTTACCGTAACCCACATTCCTATTTACTATGAATTTTTCCCCATCCAAGGCTGATGCTTTCTTTTTCTATCTGGGACACAACACCTCCAGATTTTTCCTTTTTTGAGTGGGTGGGGTGGTTACACCCAGCAGTCCTCAGGTTTTAGTCCTGGGTCAGAGATCAATCACTCCTGGTGGGGCTTGGCAACCATGAGATTGAACCAGGTGGCTGCGTGCAAGGCAAGAGCCCTTTTGCTCCAGTCCCTCCAGCACAATTTTTCTGCTATTTTACTTTTCAAGATAGATTTCTTTCCTGAGTCATTATAGGAATATTTTATATTTTTCTACAATTCAGAACGTTTCTGAAAACATTGTTTTTGGGTAAGCTCACCTTAAGATATGTAACCGCCAATAAATATTTTTTATGTAATTTCAATTAAGTTAAAAAAAGGCACAGCAGCAGTTCAGGAGCATATAAGATAACTGAATCTATTATTTTGTAATTCCTCACCTTTACTATCACCACCATTCTTTTTCTCTTTCTTAGGTCGACACCCCGGGCCCATTTAGGGATCATTCCTGGTGGGGCTTGGGAGACCATATTCAGTGCTGGGGTTGAACTGAGTGCACAAGGCAAGCACCCTGCCTGCTCTACACACTATCTCTACGACCCTCACCACTGTTCATTTAAACCCAGGTTTGATATCCCCAACACCCCATGTGGCCCCTTGAATCAGCTAGGAGTAAGTCCCGAGTATTGCTGGGTGTGGTCCCAAAACAAGACAAACAAAAAGTTACCTTCTGGATTCAAATTCCGCATATTCCTAGTCTTTAATGCGTTGAAAGGTCTTACTTGAATCTGATGTTCTAAGATTGAGTCAGGGTAGCGATCAAAGAATATTTCATTGACAGCCATGTCAAAAGTTGGAATAACTTCCTACGAAGACAGGAATATAAGAACGTCCAACTGGGTTTACAATCCTATTTTAAGGTTAAACTTAATAAAGCATTCTGGACCGAGATGTAGGTTAAGTGGTGCCACATGTGTCATTTATGTTCATGGCCCCGAATCAGACACCCAGCATCAAATACTTCCTTACCCCCTAGCACTGTTAGGCGCAGTCCTGTTAATCACCAAGAGGAATGGAGGGGAGAATAAGGAAAAATGGAGGAAAGAAAAGAAATCCAAATGAACAAAGTGGGGGCTGGAGCTATAGTACAGCGGGTAGGGCGTCTGCCTTACATGCGGCCAACCCGGGTTCGATTCCCAGCACCCCATATGGTCCCCTGAGCACCGCCAGGAGTAACCCTGTGCATCGCTGGGTATGACCCAAAAAGAAAAGAAAAAAAGAGTATAAAAGCACCTACCGTGATCTAAAAGTATTTCCCTATATTATAACCACGTACTTGCCGCTCAAAGTGGGTATAACGAGCTATCTCAGTTCTCTGCATATTGTCATCTCTGTTAAATGTGATTATATACACGAAAGTGCCTCGGTTTATTTTTGGCTTTTAATTAATAACATGAAGGATTTGGGGATTTTTTTCAAGTCTTGTTTTTTTTCTCCATAATGAAGTATAGGAAAATTCTTTCAAGTTTGTAAACATTTGTTCCCTGTTTAGCAGATGAGGAAATGGCCTCTGAAAAAATCAAAGAACGTGACTAAAGTCAACATAGCTGTTAAGCAGCAAAATGAATATTTACTTTTTTATTTATTTTGGTGCCTAAAAATTCAATCTGATTCCTTTAGCTAGAAGTCATTTGTGAGGATCTCCCAAGATATGGGGTTGTTTCTTCCAAATGAAACAGCCATTCTCACCGAGGTTCCAGAACAGCCAACAGATCACAGGAAGATAGTCCTTTGGGCCTCTGTTTGAAATCAACAGCTATAATGTAACTACTGATTTTCAGTCAGGGCCACTAAAATGAAGATTTAAAACCAAGACTGCTTGTGTCTAAATCCTGGTGAAAGACACCTATAGCTAAGAACTTCTTCAATAAAAATTGGTCGTAAGTCTACAGGAAAAAGACTTACAATTAATATTGTGTGCAAGAGACTGTATAACAAAGTATGTAACAAAGTCATAGAATATTTTAAAAGTTAAAAAGCCTAAAAGAAAGTAACATGTTAAGGAATGACCAAACCTGTCAACTAAGATTCATGGTCGTTTTACACATACTAGCAACAAATATTGCTAATTAATGACATACTAGATTGACAATACTATACATTCCAACGTCAGAAATCGTAAGTGTGAAAATGTTCTCTTAATTGGCCCACATCCAAAAGAACAAGAGCAACCGGTGCTGGTGCGGATGTGGTGAGAGAGGGACTCTACTCCTTCACTGCTGGTGGGAATGCCGACTTGTTCAGCCCTTTTGGAAAACAGTATGGATGTTTCTCAAAAAATCAGAAACCAAGCCCCCAGCAATACCACTTTTGGGGATATATTCTGGAGATGAAACAACATCTGCACTTCTACGTTTATTGTTGCACTGTTTACAATAGCCAAAATCTGGAAAAAACCTGAGTGTCCAAGAACAGATGACTGGTTAAAGAAACTTGGTACATCTACACAATGGAATGCTACGCAGCTGGTAGGAAAGATTAAGTCACGAAATTTGCGTAAAAGTGGATCAACATGGAAAGCATCATGTTAAGAAAAATGAGTCAGAAAGAGAAAGACACAGAAAGATTGCACTTATCTGTGGAATATAAAGTAACAGAATGGGAGACTAACACCCAAGAATAGTAGAGATAAGAACCAAGAGGTTTTCTCCACGGTTTGGAAGCCAGCCTCACATGCTGGAGGAAAAGGCAGCTGAGATAAAGAAGGGACCACCAAGTAAAGAGTCTCTGGAGGACCTGCTCGGGATGGGAGACGCATGCTGAAAGTAGATTACAGACTGAACATGATGGCCACTCAAAATCTCTAATGCAAACCACAACTCCCAAAAGGAGAGGGAACAAAGGGGAATGCCCTGCCACAGAGGCAGGGTGGGTGGGGGTAGTCGGAGGGATAATGGGACCCGTGATGGTGGGAAATGGGCACTGGTGGAGGGATGGGTACTTGATCATCGTATAATTGAAACCCAAGCACAAAAATTTGTAACTCTACAACTGTACCTCATGGTGTTTCACTAATAAAAATTAAAAAAAGAAAAAAATGAAACATGGTTTTCTAAGAAGTTTGTGTGCTTTGGAAGCATGGACTATTCACTGACCAGAAAATCTGGCTTTCCAGAAATATTCCTTCATGCTAACTAATCTATCAGGGTCCAAGCAAATTCCTTACCTGAGGGTAGCAGATGAGCTGCCTGTATAGATTTTTGTCAAACGAGTTTATGTGTTCACTGTTTACGTTTAAAAACGGCTCCCCAGTAACATTAATCTGCAAGATAAAAACCACAGTCATAGCCTGCTCATTTTGCAAAGCGAATTCTTTGAACTTGCAAGTAAGAGGATGCGGTTACCTCTGCAAGCCGCTGCATATACACGGGCTCAGTAATATCGATGCCCCCATCTTCTTCTTCTTTAGCCAGAGGGTCGATAAAACGTTGAATGAATCTCTTGAGGGAGGGAGAAAAGCAAGTTCAATGCGTAAGATAAGCCAAACATAAAAAAAAAACCAAATATGTTAGATAGTATGCCCCTAATTGGAGATAATACACACGCTTGATTTCCTTTTTATTTATTTGCTTATTTACTTATTTTTATTAGTGAGACACAACGAGGTGCAGCTGTAGACTCACAAACGTTTGTGCTTGGGTTTCAGTTATCCAGTGATCCAGTACCCATCCCTCCACCAGCGCCCATTCTCCATCATTTACATTTTTAAAAAAATCTTTGCTAGCGAAACACCATGAGGTACTACAGCTGGAGACTTACAAACTTTTGTGCTTGGGTCTCAATCAGGCATGATTTTCTTAGGGAACACCAGAGGGCCGGCGATCTGGCTAACGGGGCGCGCACTTTGCAGGGGGGACGATGACGTCACGGGCCAGAAAGCCGCGCAACCCACCCCCGGGCATCCCGAGCGCTTGGAAACTGTCCCCCGCCTCACCTGGAAACTCTCCTTGCACGTCGCCACGTTCACATCCGTCCCCCAGATCACGAGCTTCTGGCCCAGGGACTGCTCGCTGGCCACGGCGTCCTCGGCGGCTGGCTGCAGAGGAAGCGACAGCCGCGTCGGAGGAGCCCCCCGAACGGCGCCCCCCAAACAACGGCGCGCCGGGCACGCCCGCACTCACGCCGTCCGACTGCAGGTCCACCTGCAGCCCCTTCCGGGAGGAGCCCAGGTCCGGCCTCTGCCTCACGGGGGTGCCCCGGACGCCGCTCCTCGGGGTGCCCTCCACGCGCGAGCTGGGCGTGCCGTAGGTCAGGGGCGAGCTGATGTCGAAGTCGGGCAGGGCTGCGGGGGGGGGGGCGCCCGGCGTTTTAGGCGAGAGACCGCGGCGCCCCGGCACCCCCGGCCCGACCCCCAGCCCCTGCCACCTCCGGGGGGCCCCAGGCCGCCCACCTGGCACGTGCATCTGCGGGGGGCTGGAGAACATGGCGTCCGCGGGCGCGGGGCTCTGCAGCTCGGCGCCGGGCGACGTGGGCATGGGCTGCAGCTCGCCCGTCGACGTCGAGTCCTCGCCGCGCCGCCGCTGCTGCGACGCCGGGGACCGGGCATCGTCGCTCCGGGCTGGCGACGGGCGAGACACGGCAGGCGCGCGTCAGCGGTCGTGGGCGCGCGCGCGTGTGTGCGTGTGTGTGCATGTGCGTGTGTGTGCATGTGTGTGTGTGTGTGTCTTGGGGGGGGGGGCCCGGCCCTGCACACGCCCGCGCCGGGCGGCAGGCAGGCGCTCCCCGAGGGGCGCCCCGGCTCCCCAGACCCGCGCCTCGGCGGCCACTTACGCGTCTGCGCCGGGGTGCTCCGTCCGCGCCGGCCGCTGCGGCGGCTGGGGGTCGACGCCGGGGACGACATGCCGCTCCGTCGCCCGTGGCCCGAGAGGTCAGGTGCCGCCGCCCTCGCCCGGGGGTCCCCGTCCGCGCTCGGCTCCCGGCCCCGACTCCCGCGAACGCTCCGGGCAGTGATGGCGCGCTCGGGGCCCGTCCCGCCTCCGCGGTTTGCCGCCACTTCCCGCGCGCCACGCCCTCGGCGGCGAGCGGCCAATGAGAGCGGCGTCCGGGGCGGCGAGCGGCCAATGAGAGCCGCGCCCTCGCCTGGCCCCGCCCCGGAAGGCGCCGCGGCTCCCGGCGGAGCTGCGGCCCGGACGGCAGAGGCGCTGCTGAGGCGGTTCCGGAGCCGGTGAAGGGGCCGTTTTCGCGGGAAATCTCAGGGGCGGGGCGGGGCGGGGCGTGCGCGGCTCGGGAGGGCCTAGACTGGGCGGGGGCCCAAGACCCTCGGCCCAGTCGCTGTCACCGGGAGTGCGTCTTCGCGCCGCTTCGGGCGCCCAGACTCAGTGTGCTGGTTGGGGGGGCTCATCCTGCGGCGCTGCCCCGTAGCGGGGCCGGTCCCGGGGCCCCAGTGCAGTCCGGGGGGCTAGACCCGACCCCAGACTCACGAGCCGCCCCAGCGTTCCCTCCCAGACGCAGCCTGGAACGCCACGGCTCAATCGGGAAGGCGCGCCGCGCTGCGCTCCCGCCGCGGCAGGCCACGCCCCCGGCCGCCGGGTCCCGCCCCTAGCCCGGACTTCCGCCGCGCACGTGCCCCGCAGCCCCGCGCTTCCCGCCGCGGCAGCCCACGCCCCCGGCCTCCGGGGCTCGCTTCCAGCCGGGCTTGCCACGCCTTGCGCTTCCTGCCGCGGCAGGTCACGCCCCTAGCCGTCAGGGCCCGCCCTCAGCTGGTCGGCCGCCGCCGCCTCCTAGCGCTTCCAGCCGCGGCAGGCCACGCCTCCGGCCACCAGGCCCCTCCCCAACCGGGCTGCCGCTTCCGGCCCGTGCCTCCTGTTGTGGCAGGCCACGCCCCCGGCCTCCAGGGCCCGCCCCCTGCCGGACCTGCCGCTTCCGCCCCGCGCCTCCTGTTGCGGCAGGCCACGCCCCCGGCCGCTAGGGCCCGCCCCCGGCCTCCAGGGCCCGCCCCCAGCGGACCTGCCGCCGCCGCCCCGCCCCTCCCGCCGCGGCAGGCCACGCCCCCGCCCCTCCCGCGGGGCCCGCCCCCAGCCGGCCTTCCGCGGCCGCCGCGCACGCGCCCCGCATCCCGAGCCATGGCGGCGTCCGCGCGCGCCTCGCTGCTGCAGCTGCAGGAGTGCCTGTCGGCCCCCGATCGCGCCGCGTCCGCGGTGGCCGCCTGGCAGCTGGCCCGCGCCGTGGGCCAGGAGTGCGTGCTGAGCGGCGGGCCCGCGCTGCTGGGTGGGTAGCGGCGGCCGCGCCCCGAGGCCGCCGCCTCCTGCCCCCCTTGCCGGCTGGCCCCGCCCGTGCCCCGCTGCCGCGGAGCCGAGATGCAACTTGCTAACTCGCCCCTCCCGTGCCCCGCTGCTGCGTGGCCGAGATGCCGCTTGCTGACGCGCCTCTCCGTGCCAGATGCGCGCTTACCGGGCGTCGCCTTCGGATCCGCGGCGAACTCTCTCTTGCAGCTGCTTGCAAACTCTCTCAAGAAACGTGCTCTAGGGGGGCTGGGGCGACAGTCCGGCGGGGAGGGCGCAGCTTGCACGGTCCATCTCCGGCCTGGGTCCAGCCCCGGGCGCCCGCCAGGGGTCCCCGACCCTGCGCCAGGGGCCCGGAGCCAGCCCCGAGCGCCACCGCGCGCCGCGCCCAGTCGCTAACAAACCCCGCGAATACGCAGCCTCTTGGGGGTGGGGGGTGGTCCCTGATGATGGGCACATTGTCTCAAAGCTGGGCAGCTCGGTCTCCCTAAGAGGAGTGCTGAAATCATGATTACCCCTTTGGCAAGAGGCTCCGCGGCCCATCCCGAAGGACGTAGTAACGGGAAGCAGGCTTTTTCAAGCGTACTTTCACGACTTATTTTGACGTTTTTAAGCTTGCTTTTGGAAAGGGCTTGCTAAGTTTCAGTCTCTGAATTAGGAGTTCCTTTCTGGTTCTTTAGTAGTTTCTGGGTCAAGTCGTTCCAAGTTTACTCTCCTGCTTATCTATCACCTGTGCCCTTTGCTTTGAGACAAGACTGGGGAGCAGAGTATTCAGCTGTTTCTCCAACAACTTGCCTGAGTTGAGTGCTTAGAGCACTTCCCTGCTGGTCTTACTGTTGTGTGGTCCAAAGAGACTCAAACACGGGTCTCACTAACTAAAGCCAAGGTGTTATCTCGAGCATTTAGGTGTTGATTTGGGGTCGACACCAATGCTCAGGGACGGACCCCTCCTGGGGAGGAATATGTGGGGTCCCAGGCTCCAGCCCATCTGCAGGTCAGCAGCCTGCCTGTCTGCCAGTGCCCTTCCTGCCCGACTGTCGGGCCCTCTGGCGCTACTTTCTCTTGTTGCTGTTGCAGTGCTCAGCGGCTACTCCTGGCATCACTTCCTGGGGGCTTGGAGGGGACGGGATGCCACATGCCAGGCAAACATGCTGCCTACTATTCTGTATTATTCCGCGTGCTCTTAGGGGCTACTTTCTAAAGGCTGGGGGCATTCTTTCATGTTGATAGCCAAATTCCGTTCTCAGTCGGAGAATTTAGGTCTCCTTTTCCTTGGCTGTGGTTCACCTAGAAGCAATTTACGTTTCTTTGAGTAGGGCTCTTTGCCCTCATCTTCAAACCAGGAGCTGGTTGAGCAAGGCCCGGTGCTTGAAATCTCTCCCATCTCTCCTCGTCTCTGCTTGGAATCTCTCCCATCTCTCCTTGTCTCTGCTTTTGGAGGTGGGGAGACACTGTCAGTCAGGGGCCCAGGAGCTGTGTTGGGGAATGCACGCAAAGCCTGCTTGCACTCAGCCCTTTGAGCCCTCCGCTTTGAACGAAGGGTCTTTGGAGTTCCATTTAGCCTACCAGGTAACATGGAAGATCTGTCTGTCTTCATACCAGTTGGTTAGCGACTTGCCTTTTGCAGCCTTCAATTCTTTGTGTTCTGTAGAGTTACGGTACTTCGAGTTGTGTCGCCAGGAATTAGGGTGTAGACCTCTTTGGTGGATCACTGCATCCTGTGGAACATCATCTGGAACTGCGTTCCCCAAAGGGGCAGTATCTGCTGTGTGGAGCTGGGATAAGCCAGGGCTGGGATGATAGTGGTAGAGTCTGGCAAACTCCCCGTGGTGTACCCAGTATGCCAAATACCAGTAACAATGATGGGTCTCATTCTCCTAACCCTGAAAGAGCCTTGAATATGGCACTTTCTTAAAAATCTCAGGGCTAGGATGAAGGAGACGTTACTGGGGCCTGCTCAAGGCAATCGACGAATAACAGGATGGTCGTGTCGTTGTGATTCGTTGGAATGATAGTGGGGCCTGAGCCATAATTTTTTTTTTCTGAAAGGGGGCTGTCCACCAGTAAGTTGGGGAAAACCCGATCTAGAATGTTCCTTGGCACAGCAGCTGGGGTCAGTGTTTCGTCGCATGGAATACTGAGTTGAGAAGCATGCATCCCCTCTGAGGCGGGGCCTGGAAGGCATGGGGCCCCTTCAGGGTGACTGTTTGGAGCACGCCTTATTTATTTGTTTATTTTTATCCAGCATTACAGACGTCCTTAATTTTTTCCAAGGAGTTCGGTTTGATTGTGTTTGTTCGGAATTCACTTAACATTGAGGAAGTAAGTAGAAAATATTTTTCTTGTGTATTCCTTCCTGTTGTGTCATTGTTACTTTTGTCCATGTTTACTTTGTGTGTTTCTTTTATAGTTTCGTGACTGTAGAGAAGAAATCCTGAAGTTTTTATGTATTTTTGTAGAAAAAATTGGCCAGAAGATCACACCTTATTCTCTCGATATTAAGGTAAGAAGGCAAAATTGTACTTTATTATATGCCTCTATGTATATACATATGTATTTTTTTTTTTGGTTTTTGGGTCACACCTGGTGATGCTCAGGGGTTACTTCTGGCTCTGCACTCAGAAATTACTCCTGGTGGTGCTCGGGGGACCATATGGGATGCTGGGAATCAAACCCAGGTCGACTGTGTGTAAGGCAAACGCCCTACCCGCTGTGCTCTCTCTCCAGCCCTACTAGTATATTTTTAAATGTATTGTACCATAAGTTTTGGATTTGTATTTGATGTATGTTTTCTTTTCGGGAAGTTTGCTTATTTCTGCTAGATTGTGGTAGGAATAAATTAAAAATAAAGTGAACTGTAGCACTGTAGCACTGTCCTCCTATTGTTCATCGATTTGCTTGAACGGACACAAGTAACTTCTCCATTGTGAGACTTGTTGTTACTGTTTTTGGCATATGGAATAGCCATGGGGAGCTTGCCAGGCTCTTCCGAGTGGGCAGGATACTCTCGGTAGCTTGCTGGGCTCTCTGAGAGGGACAGAGGAATTTAACCCGCGATGGCGGCATGCAAGGCAAACACCCTACATGCTGTGCTATTGCTCCAGCCCTAAGGCCGTATCATCACAAACATCATAATTTTTGGCACATGGGATAGATAAGAGCTTTTATTAAAACTCATTATTAATTCAGTTTCTTGAAATGTGAGATCTCATGGTACCTTCGGAAAGTTTTCAGGATTTCTTCGATTCCTGTTTCTTTGAGTTCATGCGTTTTCTTTGACAGCACTGTGAAAAGGCAGCTTCTCTTGGGCCTCCCCGCCTTTTCCCTCCTGCTCTGGCTAGTAGTTTCCTAGTAGCCTCTGGAGCCAGTAGACATAAGAACCGGTTACTCTTCCCAGCCACTGCAGAGGCTGCGGCTCTGGTGCGTCCATGATTCCCACCATAATCTGCCGCCACGGCGGAGGCAGGCCTTGCTGCTGGGGTGTATTGGGGATGAATCCTGCTCTCCCGAGGTGCTGCCATTCACCATGGCCTAGCACGTCCCATGTGGGAGACTGGCAGAGCCTGAGGCCAGCGCAAAACCCATCTTTGTGTGCGTGCGTTCAGCTGTGATGAGCCTGTGGACGTCAGGTTGGTGCTGGACTTCAGATGAACGTAGTTAAGGCTGATGACAGCGAGAAACTGGGGGAGTAGGCCGGCCCCCTGGAAACTTGGCAGGGAAAGAGCCTCGAGTGGTTGGTTGCAGTTGTGTTGCGGCTAAGGACTCAGGCAAAGAGCTGCAGGCCAAGGATGTCATTGACGGACACTTCAAATACAAGAAATGGACAAATAAGAATTTTGGCTCTTGGCGCATATGCTGCCTGAGCCCATGTGCTGCTTGCGCCCATGTGGTGCCCGAGCATCTGTGTCGCCTGCGTCTCCCCTCTTGAGAGGTGTCCTTTCATGCTTTCGTGTCTAATGCTAGGATGTGTGTAGGGGCTCTCTCTCTGCCCTTGGAGAAGCCTGTGTTATCTCTTGAGTACGTTACTCTTACTCTCTCCCTCTCCACTCTCCAAATAAAATCTGTTTATTTCAAAAAAAAAAAAGAAAGAAAGAACTTTGGCTCTTTGGGGCCAGAGAGATAGTACAGTGGTTAGGGCATTTGCCTTGCCCAAGGCCGACCCAAGTTTGATCCCCGGCATCCCATAGGGTCATAGGGTCCCCCAAGCACAGCCAGGAGTAATTCCTGAGTGCAGAGCCAGGAGTAACCCCTGAGCATCGCTGGCTGTGACCCAAAAAGCAAAAAAAAAAAAAAAGAATTTTGACTCTTTAAAAATAAATTTGCTCGAGCTCGTACTTCTTCTCGGTAAGTAAAAGGAATGACATTTGTATACTGCTTCTGTTCACAAAGTTCTTTCATGTACTGTTTTGCTCGCTTCTTTAATTTCACCTAAACTCTATGGGATGGATATTCTTACTCTCTCTGGTTTAAAAATGAGACTTAGGAGTGAAGAAACTCACCCAGAGTTCCTGCTCATTCAGTTGTGTTGTTTTCCCCTAGACTGCTTGACGTTCTTTCCTGAATTGGTTTGATTACCAATTAGAATTGGTCTTCTTGATACATGGCAGCAAGTGCTACGGGACGTGTAGTAGGAGGAGAAACTTTCTTGTCACCATACTGGCATGACAACATGGGGCTATCTTTGTACTTAACGTTTTTTGTATTGTTGATGTTGCTTCAGTGTTTTCAGTGAGTTTTAGTTTAGACACTTATATACTGTAATAAATTTTCCTTTTTTCTTTTTTTATTAATTTTTTTATCGTTAAATGAATCATCGTGAGATACAGTTACAGACTTACAAACTTTCATGCTTACGTTTCAGTCAAACAATGATCGAGCACCCATCTGTCCACCAGTGCCCATTCTCCACCACCAGTGACCCCAGTATCCCTCCCACCTTCCCCCCACCCCGCCCGCCTCTGTGGCAGGGCTTTCCCTTTTGCGCTCTCTCTCTCCTTTTGGGTGGACCTTCAATAGCTAAACATTAGATTGTATTATGGCCTACGATATTGGTGTTGGTTCTCTCTCAGAAACATAGTTTTAGCTATTGCGAAGTCTTAGTTGTGTATTTTGTTCATGATTTTGGTATGTCTCCTTTTAAACCTAGAATGCTTGTACCAGTGTTTACACAAAAGATAAAGCTGCTAAGTGCAAGATTCCAGCCCTAGATCTTCTTATTAAGGTAATTTTGCATTTTAAGCATACATGTTTGATTTAACCACTTAAAACAATTGCAGATTGAAGGTTTGTTTGTGTTATGTTTTTATGTTTTGGGTGTGATATGTAGTAGGGTGGTTTTTAATCACGTGGATATATGGAAAAGCTGCACATTTTCCAACCATTACCGAGCAGTACTTTTATATTTGCTTCCAGGCTCTTCTGGTTAGCAAAAAACAAACAGCTGGAGAGATAGCACAGTGGGTGGGGCGTTTGCCTTGCATGCGGCCGACCCGGGTTCGATTCCCAGCATCCCATATCATCCCCGAGCTCCACCAGGAGTAATTCGTGAGTGCATCATCCAGGAGTAACTCCTGTGCATTGCCAGTTGTGACCCAAAAAGCCAAAAAAAAAAAAAAAAGCAAAACAAAAAACAACCCCCCCCCCCAACCTCAAAGCCCCCTTAGATTTGTGAGAATGGAGCTGGGGTTCTTGTTACCCTAGCTTTTAGAACCTAATTCTACTAAGAACTGTCAAAAATCTCCTCATGGTATTTGCTTCTTTTCCTAAACTGTTTTTTTTTTTTTCCCCTTTTTGGGTCATACCCAGCGATGCACAGGGGTAACTCTTGGCTCTGCACTCAGGAATTACTCCTGGCAGTGCTCGGGGGACCCTATGGGATTCTGGGAATCAAACCCGGGTTGGCCATGTGCAAGGCAAACGCCCTCCCCACTGTGCTATTGCTCCAGCCCCAATCTTTCCCCAAACTCTTACCATGGGAGTGGGGTTAGATGCATTTCCAGGCCAGGGAGCTAGCTGAGAGGGAGAGAGTGGCTTGCTTTGCGTGCCCACCAGCCCCAGCCTTGACCCCCAGCAACTGTATGGTCTTCCGAGCACTGCTGGATGCAGCCTTGAGAACTGAGCGGGAAGTAATGCCTGAGCGCTTCCCTGAGCACTGCCCGAACACCACCTCGTGTGACCCAGAAGGCAAACAAAAACAGTCGTATTTAAGTGGCATTGGGGGCTGTCACCTGCGTCTCTCTTAGAATTCCTTCGGGTCTTCATGGTCACTTTGTCTTAAGTGCACTGAAGAGAACTCCTCTAGTCAAGTGACTGGTTTCTTGGGAAGGTAAAATGTAGTCGACTCCCTCTTCCTCTCTGCGTTCCGCATTCTTTTACCACCCTCCTTAAGGCTTCCCTAATCTGGCTAGATAAGAATCTGGAGCAGCCAGGGGTAAATGCCTAGAGACAGGGTTTTCTGGAATTTTGCTTGTAAGGATGCACTGAGATAGATTTAGCTCTTTCATTTTCTTATTTTTTTTTTTTAATTTTTATTAGTGAAACACCATGAGATAGAGTTGTAGACTTACAAATTTTTGTGCTTGGGTTTCAATTATACAATGATCAAATACCCATCCCTCCACCAGTGCCCATTTCCCACCACCATGGATCCCAGTATCCCTCCCACCCCCCATCCCACCCTGCCTCTGTGGCAGGGCATTCCCCTTTGGTCTCTCTCTCCTTTTGGGTGCTGTGGTTTGCAGAAGAGGTGTTGAGTGGCAATCATGTTTGGTCTAGAGTCTACTTTCAGCATGCTTCTCCCATCCTGGGCAGATCTTCCCAACACCCTTTATTTGGCGCTCCTTTCTCTGTCTGAGCTCCCTTTTCCCGTACCATGTATGGTTGGCTTCCAAGCCATGGAGTAAAATTCCTGGTACTTATCTCGGCCACTCTTGGGTGTTAGTCTCCTATTTTGTTACTTTATGTTCCCCAGATGAATGCAGTCTTTCTATGTCTATCCCTCTCTTTCTGACTCATTTCGCTTAACATGATACTTTCCATGTAGTGCCACTTGCATGTAAATTTCATGACTTCATCCTTTCTAACAGCTACATAGTACTCCATTGTGTAGATGTACCAAAATTTCTTTAACCAGTCATCTGTTCTCGGTCTTATTTCATTTTTGATTTTGGGGGTCAAACCCAGTGATGCTCAGGTTACTCCTGGCTTTGTACTCAGGAGGTACTCTTGGTGGTGCTTGGGGACCGTATGGGATACAGGGGATTGAACCCAGGTTGGCTGCAAACAAGGCCAGAGCCCTATCCCCTGTGCTATCACTCCCAGCATTATTTCCTTTTTCAGACAATTCTAATTTGTGTTCTTTAGTTACTTCAGACTTTGAGAAGTTCTAGAGTCATGGAAGAATTTCGAGTCGGAGAATTATTTAACAAATTCTATGGTGAACTTGCATCAAAGACAAAAGTACCAGATACAGGTAAGATTCATTTTAAATGTTACTTTATTTCAGCAAATTAACAGTAAAAATTGGTTAAGTAGGAAAATTAGGTTTTTTTGTCTGTCAACGCATTTATATCTTTTACAGATGAATCCTTTTTGCTAAAAACAAACCAAAATGAAATAGACTAAAACAGTGTGGAAAGACTTCTGCTTGTAAAAGAAGTCTAACCTGTGGGCCTGGGCTATAGCTCCGCCCACTGGAGTGCTTTGCATGTGGGAACCCAGGGTTCTGTCCCTGGCACTGCATGGTGCCCAAGTACCCTTGAGCAACCCCCAAGCACTGAGCTTGGAGTATTCCTTGATGACTATTGGCAATGACACCAAAAGAAAAAAAAAATTTTTTTAAACTTTGTCCAGTCATTTCTTTAAATAGAAAATCCACAACACGTGTTTTGTAGTTTTGTTTTTCATAAATCGCTAAAACCAGTAAAGTTTCCAGTATGTGAAAGTAGGTACATGGCATGCCTTGTATGTGTATATTATTTTATTATTATACACTTATTTTTCTTATAATGGAGATCAAACTCAGGGTCTCATACATGTGAGACATGTAAGGTACCACTGAACACATCTACTCTGAGCCTGTTTTTTTTTTTTTAAAAGCTATCCCATTTATTTTATTTTATTTTATTTTTAAAATTTTTATTAGTGAGACACCATGAGGTACAGTTATAGACTTATAAAATTTTGTGCTTGGGCTTCAATTATACAGTGATCAAACACCCATCCCTCCACCAGTGCCCATTTCCCACCACCACGGATCCCAGTATCCCTCCCACCCCCCATTCCCCCCCATCCCACCCTGCCTCTGTGGCAAGGCATTCCCCTCTGTTCTCCCTCTCCTTTTGGGTCCTGTGGTTTGTAAGAGAGGCATTGAGTGGCAATCATGTTTGGTCTATAGTCTACTTTCAGCGTGCTTCTCCCATCCTGGGAGGATCCTCCCAACACCCTTTATTTGGTGCTCCCTTCTCTATCTGAGCTGCCTTTTCCCCTAGCATGTGTGGCTGGCCTCCAAGCCATGGAGCAAAATTCCTGGTACTAAGCTTGGGTGTTAGTCTCCTATTTTGTTACTTTGTGTTCCCCAGATGAATGCAATCTTTCTATGTCTATCCCTCTCTTTCTGAGTCATTTCGCTTAACAGTGATACTTTCCATGTAGTACCACTTTTATGTAAATTTCATCACTTCCTCTCTTCTGACAGCTACATAGTACTCCATTGTGTCAATGTACCAAAGTTTCTTTAACCAGTCATCTGTGCTCGGGCACTCAGGTTTTTTCCAGATTCTGGCTATTGTAAAGAGTGCTGCAATGTACAAACACCTGACCCTGTTTTTGAAGTAAACATCCTGTCATTTCTTTAATGCATGCTTTTATTCATTTATTCAAATGTAAGTTTTTATACTTATCTAAAATTTATTTTTCAGTTTTAGAAAAAATATACGAACTTCTAGGAGTGTTAGGTGAAGTTCATCCTACTGAGATGGTAAATAATTCAGAAAGTCTGTTCCGGGCTTTTCTGGGTGAACTTAAGTCCCAGGTAGGCCGAATTTTATAATCCTGTGCTTCCCTTGATTTGTCTGTATGGTTTGTTTCTATCTCTTGTAATATCTTCTAAAACTTGCCTTGTAGATGACGTCCAAGGTCAGAGAGCCCAAACTCCCTCTTGTGGCAGGATGTCTGAAGGGGTTAACATCACTGATGTATAACTTTACAAAATCCATGGAAGAAGGTATTGCTTGACCTCGTTTTTTCCTTTAACTCTAAAAATGCGATCACGATCACAATCATGATCGATCGTCCTGTTGTTTGTCGATTGCCTCGAGCAGGCACCAGTAATGTCTCCTTCGTCCTAGCTCTGAGATTTTAAAAAGTGCTTACAGCCTCACCTTGCAGGCAGGTGACCTGCCCCCAGCCTGAACGATACTAGGCCGGCTCCTGCGCCGTCTTGTTTGTGGAGACTCAGCCAGAAGGAATCTCGACCTTGCAGAGTTCCAGAGTGGCTGTCTCGGGTCTCCTGCGAGTGCCCCTTGTCTCCCTTTAGCCCTCCCGTCCCTTTTCCCTCAGCACCCTGTCACGTGTAAGCTTTGTTTTCGAAACAAAAATAGATTGTTCTGGCAAACACATTTTTGCTTTATTTTTTTGGGGGTGTCATGAGCAATCACCCCTGCTGGTGCTCAGGGCTTACTCCCGTCTCTGTCTGAGCTCAGGGGTCACTCCTGGCAGGGTTGTCGGGTGTTGGGGATTGAACCTGGATTGGCTGCTTGCAAGGCAAGTGCCGTACTTGCTTTTGTATCTCTCCAGTCCCTTTTACTTTTTTTCTTTCTTTTTTTTCTCCCCCCTTGGTTGTCGTGCTGGGGATAGAAGCCAGAGGTCATGTATGTAAGGCATGCACTTTACCCTTCCGCCACCTCCCGGCCCTAAACAAGTTGATTCTTGAGTGTCTGTGTTTGGATACCATTGTTCCCAGGGAGGAGAACTCAGTGGTGTAGACACATGATTTTTGGACATCTGCGTGAGCAGGACAGTGATAATGTAACTGGGTTATTATTAGGAAGATCAGTGTAAGACCTCAAATTATACTGTGCACCTATTTTATCTTCTCTTTTGGCAGTAAGCATACAGGGGTCAAACAATATTTTGTTCATATTTTAAGTTTCCATAGAAACTTGCGTGCTTGAGGCCCGGGTTCGATCCACAGCGTGGCCTGGTGTCCTGAGCACCGCTGGGAATGATTCCCAAGAGAGCTGGGAGTGGCCTGGGCACCACCAGGTGTGGCCTAATAGCCAGATGCGATGTATTTATTAAATGCTTAGGGGGCAAAATACTCATTCTTAATTGAGCTATTTAATCCTCCAAATCATTGGGTTCCATCCTTCTTATTTGAGGGCGGTCACACCTGGCAATGCACAGGGGTTACTCCTGCCTCTGCCTCTGCACTCGGGAATCACTCCTGGTGTTGCTCGGGGGACCCAGTGGGATGCTGAGGATCGAGGCTGGGTCCGCTGCGTGTAAGGCAAACCCCTCCCTGCTGTGCTATCGCTCCAGCCCCCTTTTTGTTGTTGTTCTTTTCCAGGGGGCCACAGGTAGCAGTGCTTGGTTACACCCAGCAGGATTCTCAGGGGCCACTCAGCATGCAGCTAGACCTCTGAACTATGTCCTGACCATGAAAACTTAGTTTGGGCTTGCTCGATTTTTTTTTTTTTTGGAGGTGCTGTGAATTTAACCCAGGGCCTCATGCATGCTGCCACTTAAGCTTTTCAGTCTTTGGCCCCTACAGCTGACACCTGTTGGCACTGAGCAGTGTCCTCACCTGTCAGCCGTAAGACACTTGTTCAGACAATCCTCCAAGCGTTATATTGGAACAGACCAGAGACTGGGGCTGCAGGAATCATCTCGTAGAGCTTGAAACAATGAGGTGGAACTAAAATCCGAGTCTCTGATATTCTGAACTCTCTTCCGACTTGACTGCCTGCAGTACTAGCTGTAGCAGGAGTAATTCAGCACTCTCTCCACACTGGGACAGCGACTCCTGAGGTCCCACGGCTCCAGGTGATGCAGAGAGCCTGCTGTCTGAACAGAGCCTTGGGTGGTCGCGAGCTCTTGGGGATGGCATTAGGGTTAGTGGTTGCGAGCTCTGCGGGGGATACTGTTAGGATTTGGAACCCAGGTGTCTTTCTCTTTTTTTCTAGATCCCCAGACTTCAAAGGAGATCTTTGATTTTGCACTGAAGGCAATTTCTCCTCAGGTAGGACTGATATCCTTTTGATTCTTTTAACTTTGAGACTTGTGATTCACACTAAGAGAAATTTTATTTTCTTTCTTATTGACAGATTGATCTGAAGCGGTATGCGGTCCCTTCAGGTATGAGTCTGTATTTAATGAGTCAGAATTTATCCAGTTCCCCTAAATGTCCAGAGAAAACATTCACCTACCCTGTGAATGAAGGTGAATGAGATGAATTAGGGTAAATAGGATAACTTCTGTGCTGCTCCACTCGCAGTTATTTACAGGAAGGCTTTTGGAGACTTGGTTTTTGGTACACAGACTTCGACATTGTCACATAATGTTTAAAAAACGGTTCAGGACAGTTTTGATTGGTCCTGACTTATGTAGGTCTCGATAGTGTTCCCAGACCTGGTTATCAGTGTCATTTGCCAGCCCCTGGCCATGCGGCTCCGGTGGGAGATTGGCAGCGCTCACGCTCTGACCAGGGCCCCTAGTCATCCTAGCTGCTAACTCCAGGTCTCAATGAACACAGCTCTTTTGTTCGTTTTTGGGCCTATACCTGGCAATACTCCTGGCTCCGCACTCAGAAATCACACCAGCAGAGTTCGTGGGACCTTACAGGGTGCCAGGGATCAAACCCAGTCGGCCACGGGCAAGGGAAGTGCCTTACCTACTGTACTGCCTCTCCTGCCCCTGGATCCAGTTTCATTTTGACGTATACCCAACGCTCCATTAGGTCTCTGTTGTGCCTTCCTTTGCCCTGTTCGAAATAGCCTGTTTCTCGCCTTTGCAGCGGGCCTACACTTATTTGCCCTGCACGCATCCCAGTTCAGCACCTGCCTTCTGGACAACTATGTTTCTTTATTCGAAGTGATGTCAAAATGGTGCAGCCACACAAATGTAGACTTGAAAAAGGCAGCGCTCTCGGCTCTGGAGTCTTTTCTGAAACAGGTACGGTCAGTCAGACTCACAAATGTTTCTCTACGCAAAAAGTTAGAGTCAGTTTGTGCACGTGCATTCGGGAAAAGTCACACAGGTTGATCTGTTAGCTTCTGTAGTCCTTTAGAAAATCACTTGGTTCCTACTCATCCACGTGGCCCAAGGAGGAGATCCAACGGGACCCACGAGCTCAGGTCGGGGTGACTGCTCGGAAGAGGAGCGCGCGTGGGGCGGGGGCAGTGGCACCGCGGGCAGGGCACTCGCCTTCGCGTGGTCGACCCGGCCAGGACCCTTGGCTCCACGTACGGTCTCTCCAGACCTGCCAGGAGTGAGCCCCCTGCTCCGCCAGTTGTGTCCTCCAAAACAGAAAAAGAAGGGACAGCGAGGCCCCAGAGGGAGCGCTGAGACGCCTCCGCCAGCCGGGGAGGCAGAGGCAGGAGGAATCGCACCTCCTTCGGGCTCTGTTGTCATGTTTAGGAATTTGGGGGCCAGAGAGAGAATCCAGCGCTGTAGGCACTTGCCCGGCTCGTGGCCAGTCTCTGGTGCTCAGGGCTTGTAGCAGGTGCCGGGACTGCACCCTGGCCCATGTCGTACACGCATCTTAACCTTCAGTCTCTCACTACTGCTGTTTCAGGAGACGCCTTCTCTTTCTTTGTGATGATCCCCCACTTCCTTATTCTTCTGGGGGTTTGGGCCCAGGCCGGGAGTGCTCAGGGACTGCTCCTGGCTCTGTGCTCAAGCGTGACCCCAGCAGGCCTCCGTGACCAAGTGTCATGAGGGGATCAGCTTGGTCGGCCGCATGCGAGGCACAGGCTTTCCTGCGGTCCTGTCTCGCCCCCCTGAAAGCTGCCAGCCCTGCCGGCTGCTGGGCCTCGGCACTCCTGGGATGCGGGTGAAGGGAAACACACTTCACATCACGTACCTGCCTCTCAGAGTCTCTCTGGGCCTCGTGCAGGCTTAGCGCGCCAAAGGGACAGGTCGTTCTTGCTGAGGTAAGAGCAGTTGGCAGGAACTGGAACAGTGCATGGGTGATATCAGTGAACAGTTGTAATCTTGTCATATTTGTGTAGACGCCTGTGTTTTGTTATTAACAAGTCCAACAAGTGAGTATAATGCCGTTGCAGGTGTCTCTTATGGTGGCGAAAGATGCAGAACTGCACAAGCATAAACTGCAGTACTTTATGGAGCAGTTCTATGGAATCATCCGGAACGTGGATTCGAGCAGCAAGGATTTATCCATCGCGATTCGTGGATATGGACTATTTGCAGGAGTATGGTTCTTTACTTGTCCTTTTTGGTTTTATTGGAGTAATATGATTTACTGCATTTTAAAATAGCTTCTCCCACTTGTGACAGTATTGTTGGTACTTTGTTGTTAAATTGTCTCTTAGTGCCTGCCGTGTACTATGACTTTGTGTATGCATTGTCTCAAATCCTCCTAAACTCTCACATAGGTGCTAGGGGTCCAGTTTTTACTCTAAAAATCAGGTCATGACTTAGAAAAATTAATTAGAAGGTACCATTAATAATTGATACGACCAAGGCATATCTTCGAAACCAAGTTTGAAGACTAGAAACGTGATGAGCTTTCCATCTCGTTCTGTTTCCCTTTGCTCTAGTTTTTGCTCTGGGGACCGTACCTGCCAGTGTTCCTCCACTCAGGACTGACCCCGGCAGTGCCCGGATACCCTCTGCACTTTCAGGGTTGAACTGGGGTTGGCCATATGCCACGCAAGTGTCCCAACACCCATGCCATCTCTCCAACCCCGTCTGTCATTCTGTTTTTTGGTTCTTGGACCATACCAGGCAGAGCTCAGGACTTGACCACGACTCAACCCAAGGACCATTCCTAGCTGGACTCGAGGAACCGTATGTGGTCTCAGGGATCGAACCCAGGTTGGCTGCAAGGGAAACCTTAATTAACTGCTGTAGTAGCTCTCGGACTCTTGTCCTTATTTATAAAATTAAAATTACACTTGCCATTACTGAAAGTTTTACAAAGAGTGTTTCTTTTGACAAGGTTTACTTAAAAATATTCAGGGGCTGGAGCTATAGCATAGTGGGTAGGCTGTTTGCCTTGCATGCAGCCGACCCAGGTTCGATTCCCAGCATCCCATATGGCTCCCTGAGCACTGCCAGGGGTGGTTCCTGAGCGCAGAGCCAAAAGTAATCCCTGTGCATCACCAGGTGTGACCCAAAAAACAAAAAGAAAAAATATTTAGAATAGAATCCAGAGAGTAGATAAAGCAGATAGGGTGTTTGCCTTGCCTGTGGCAAGATTCGATCCTGGCACCACATGTGGTCCCTGACCTCTGCCAGTAGAGCCAGGAGTAAGCCTTGAGCACCTGGGTGTGGTCTAGTAGCCACACACACACACACACACACACACACACACACACACCTGGGGCTGGAGTGCTCTACAGTGGGTAGAGCACTTGCCTTGCGTCTGATTGACCCAGGTTCAATCCCCAGCATCCCATATGGTTCCTGAGCACCATCAGGAGTAATTTCTGGGTGCAGAACCAGGAGTAACCCCTGAGCATTGTCGGGTATGACCCCAAAACAAGAACAAGCAAACAAACTCGCAAGTTGTTTTCTTTATAGTACATCTTTATTCATTACTTTATTTTTATCTTTTAATATTTTTTGCACCACACCCAGCAGTGCTCATAAGCTTACTCCTGACTCTGTGCCCAGGAATCTCTCCTGCCAGGCTGCCAGGGGCCAGTGTGCAGTGTGAGATCAAATCTGGGTTGGTCACCTCTAAGGTAAGTGCCCCACCCGCTTCACTCTCTGTGGCAAGAATTTATGGGGTGGCTTTTTTTCTTTTTCTCTCTCTCTCTCTGTTGGCCCTCTTACTTTGGTCATAAGAAAAAGCATCTGAGAAGATCCAGAAGTCAGGGAGAGCGAGGAACTTCAATGTCTAAAGGAGTTTTTGGGAAATCTGAAGCTAGAAAATAGCGTTATCGGAGCCATGAGTTAGTGGTCAGCTCTGGGAGCAGTGTGTAGTGTGGTATGACAACATAGTTTACGTTGAAGTTTAAACTTCTGGTGAGCGACTAGCCTTGAGTGATTTGGGGGTATCAGTGGTACCCAGAGTATATTTGACAGTCAGTAGAGGTTTTATATTTGAATAAATGTTTAGAAATGGAATTGCAGATTATAGTTTAGAAGCATCTTTGTAATATACGTTGTATTTTGTTTCTTTTCTCAGTAAAAAGCTGGTTAGTATTCAGTTTATAATCAATGAGAGCACAACACCACAAACATCATTGTTTTACAACGAAAAGACTAACACCTTTATTTTCATATATTTTAAAGCCTTGCAAGATCATAAATGCCAAAGACGTTGACTTCATGTACGTCGAGCTCCTGCAGCGCTGCAAGCAGCTGTTTCTCCTGCAGACGGACACTGCTGAGGACCACGTTTACCAGATGCCCTCTTTCCTCCAGTCCATCGCAAGTGTTTTGCTTCACCTTGACACTGTAAGCGGAATGGTTCATTTCATTTGGGGTCTGCTCCCGGTTTGACTTGGGGGTCACCAGAGCGAGGGTGTGGCGTGATGCCAGAGCATGACCACATTCCTGCTCCACTGTCTCATTTTCTGTATATCTCTATCTCTGTATGTGTATTTCTGTCTCACTGTGTGTGTGCTGTGCTGATAACGTGGTCTTTAATTTTTTATTGAATCACGGTGATGCACATGGGCAGAGCCTGGCAAGCTCCCTGTGGCATATTCGATGTGCCAAAACCAGTAACTATAACAGGTATCATTCCCCTGACTCTGAAAGAGCCTCCAATCATTGGGAAAGATGAGTGAGGAGAGGCTGCTAAAATCTCAGGGCTGGGACGAATGGAGACGTTACTGGCGCCCGCTCGAGTAAATCGATGAACGACGGGATGACAGTGATTCGGTGATAAACACATTTCCAAGGCTGTTCGTGATAGGGTTTCGGTCCTATGATGTTCCAGCACAGGTCTCTTCACCAGTGTACTTTTCCCACCACCAGTGTCCCCAGTTGCCAGGTTCTGGCTATTGTGAATAGTGTTGCAGTGAGCATAGAAGTGCTGATGCCTTTTCTGAGTAGAGTTTATGGAAGCTCAGTTCCTGTCCTTTTTTTTTTTTAATGCCCGTCTTGTTTTCCAAAAAAATTGGACCACTTGACCTCCCCAGCAGCAGTGCATGAGCTCCCTTTCCCCCACATCAATTTGGTTGTTTTGAGTATAATGTCTTGCAGTTTTTTAGTTGCAGTTTTCTATTTTCGCTGGGACCCTCCGGACCTCCTGGATCTTGGTGCCTGTGTTCCTCAACTCTGGGAAATTCTTAACTTCGATTTCTTTCTTTTTTTTTTCTTTTTGCTTTTTGGGTCACACCTGGCATTGCACAGGGGTTCCTCCTGGCTCTGCACTCAGGATCACTCCTGGCGGTGCTCAGGGGACCATATGGGATGCTGGGAATCAAACCTGGGTCAGCTGCCAGCAAGGCAAACGCCCTGCCCGCTGTGCTATTGCTCCAGCCCCACCTTCGATTTCTTGATTCTCCATCACATGCGTTTTCCTGTTCTTCAGGGACTCTGATGATTCTCGTGTCGTTCCTCTTGAACTCCTCCCATCGTTGTCTGGGTGCTGTTGATCCCTTTTTAGACTATTTCCCACTTCCTTTTTTATTTTTGGTGAAGCGAGAAAATTTTTATTGAAGTTTACTTAGAAAGACGTGAGAGGGGAGAAAGGGAAACGCGTGTGTTGAAGGGAGAGCACAGACTGCTCCAGGGTGGGCAGGCGGGAGACGTGTTCGAGCATGTGTGGGAGCCGCTGGTCCTGGTCTGCTGGCTCCTGACCGTCGCCCTTCTCGTCTCGGAGCGCATGGACATGGGTCCGCTGCTGCTGAGCTGTTGTTCCATGCTCTGATGGAGGTTTCTTTGATCACCTGCCATGCTCTTTCTTTTTGTCATTTCTGCTCGTGGTGGTTTTTCATCCCGACTCTTAGACTTTCTTGTGCTTTGCTGAGCACACGTGCTGTTGTCTCTCTGACAACGCTATTGCCGGCTTCGCTGCGGTGTCACTGTGGACGCCGAAGAGTTGCTGAGCGGCTGGTGTTGCTTGGTCTCGGGTGAGAATTGTTTTTGCTCGTTGGGCCTCGTGGGCGTCTGTGTGTCTTGCTGCTTCTCTAGGGTTGTCGCCGCGTGGGGTGAGTCTTCGTAGTTTTTAGAGTCCTGGCAGATGCTGAGGGGTGGGGCTGGGCGTCGCTGCCTCTGCCCGTCCTCGCGAGTGACCGAGGCGTAGCTCGGAGCAGCAGGTAGTTTGCGGAGTAGATCTGCTCGCTCGGGGTGCTGCAGGCCCGGAGACGCGCAGGGCGAGGGCGGGGGTAAAGTCTGAATCAGGGTCACAGAAAAGGCATCATTGTGAGGAAGCGCCACGTTTCCTTATTCAAAGTAGAAAAAAATTATTCACTCTTCTACATTTCTGTGTTTCTAAAAGATAAAGAATGATGCCTGGGCTAAATTGTACTGTTCACTTCTATTCTGATTTAATCACCACAATAAATAAAAGGTTTTATAAAAATCTAGCTTTTATTGTGTCTATTTGAGTTGTAATTACTTAGAATATTTGCACACTAAGGTACCAAACATTATTGTCTTTTACTATTCTTTTATATGAAGCTACCATATACTGTTGTATGAAATACTATTCCTATATTTATTTTCTCTCCTAACTTAGGGTTTTCTCTCTCTTTCTGGTAGGTTCCAGAGTTGTATACTCCAGTTCTAGAACATCTCATGGTGGTACAGATAGACAGTTTTCCACAGTATAGTCCAAAAATGCAATCAGTATGCTGTAGAAACATAGTAAAGATTTTCCTGGCCTTAGCCCAAAAAGGACCCGTTCTCTGGAATTGCATTAGTACTGTGGGTAAGTTTAAAATTCATTTTTTTATGTTGATCAATGACAAATGGTTGATATGTTTGATCTAAAGAACATTTGATTACCAGAATATTTTGTATCATTCTATTCATCTTAGAAAATACAGAATCTTCTTTTTACATCCTGATTTAAAATGTTTTGTTTTCATTTTCCTTCTGAAAAAAGGCAGAAAAAAAATAGAGACAAAGTTGTGTTTTATTTTTTAATTTTTTTGTCCTTTTTTGGGGGAGCCACACCTAGCGGTGCTCAGGGCTCACTCCTGGTGGGATGCCGGGCATCTGACTCAGGTCGGCTGTGTGGAAGGCAAGGGCCCAGCCCACTGTACTGTCTCTCCGGTTCCTAAAGTTCTGGGTTTTCAAAAAATTAAAAACTTGGGGGCCACACCTGGAGATGCTCAGGGATTGCTCCTGTCTCTGCACTCAGGAATCACTCCTGGCGGTGCACAGGGGACCATATGGGATGGCGGGGAATCGAACCTGGGTCTGCAGTGTGCAAGGCAAGTGCCCTGCCTGCGTAACTATCTCTTCAGCTCCTCCTGGAGTCATGTTTTGGACGTGTCTTTCTTGGGGGCTAGAGAGGTGTCTTGCTCAGAGCTGGCCCTCGACACCCCATCTGGTTCCCCAAGTAATGCCAGGCCCCAACCCCTGACACAGCCCCAGGAATCACTGTCATTGTCACTGTCCTCCTGTTGTTCATTAATTTGGTCAAGGGGGCCCAGTAATGTCTCCATTGTGAGACTTGTTACTGTGTTTGGCATATCGAATACGTCACGGGTAGCTTGGCAGGCTTTGTCGTGCAGGTGAGATACTCTCGGTAGCCAGGAATAAGCCCTGAAAGTCATCAGGTATGCGCCCCTCCTGCAACATCCCCTAAAGGTGGTCTTTATTGAGAGTTTAGTTGTTTTTCTCTGTTTCCTTAATTTTTGTTTTTGTTTTCTTCTTTTCAGTGCATCAGGGTTTAATCAGGATATGTTCTAAACCAGTGATCCTTCAACAGGTAAAATTTGATTTTCATCTTTTGAAAAATTTGTCTTGACACTAAAAGTTTGAAATGCAAATACAGGTTTGTTAGGTTTGTCTGCAAATACAGAAAAGAAAAGTAGCCCTTTCAGTCATGAGCCACGCTTTATGTTTTGAAAAGTACAGAACCTGTAAAGCTTTTCTGGTAAATAAGCTTGTAGGTTTTGAAACGTCCTTATGTGTAAAGTTACACTGGTACGCATTTTTTATGAAAAGGGAACGGTTTAGTTTTTGAATGTGTAAAACATGCTTTCGCTTGTCATGGGAGGCCTAGAGATGCCTTGAAGTTACAGGAGGCAGAGAGCATTAGAAGCTGGCTCATGTAAGGAACTGATGTAAATGATTTTGGTACTTTCTTCGGACATTGTTTAGACATACATGCGAGTGTATTGTTGTGTTAGGGCTACTCAGAGAGTTCATGACTATTTTCAGCTGGCTTTTTATTAACTCTCTGTAATCTATGATCTTCATTCATCAAATCGACAGTTGTTTGGCTTAAGGAGTTATGGACGCGATTAAGTTCTGGCAGTCGTGTGTAGTTTTTGGGCTCGTGAATATTGGAATGCTGTGTTCCTTGCCAGGGTGCAGAGTCTGAGTCTGAAGACGCCCGAGCCTCAGGAGAGGTCAGAACTGGCAAATGGAAGGTGCCCACATACAAAGACTACCTGGGTCTCTTCAGGAGTCTCCTGAGCTGTGACCAGATGATGGTAAACGTGATCGTTGTAAAGTCTTACAAGTGCCTCTTTATGTTAAACAGCTTAACAGTAACGTGCATTCTTCAGAGTAACTAGTAGTTCTTCTTTATGGTTTCCATAGCTTAATGCTAAAGCTATTTATTTCAGAATTATTTTTTTCCCACTCTTTCTAAATAGTTAAAAAAAATAGTTCAAGGGGCTGGAGAGATAGCACAGTGGGTAGGGAGTTTGCCTTGCACGTGGCTGGCCCAGGTTCGATTCCCAGCATCCCATATGGTCCCCCGAGCACCATCAGGAGTAACTCCTGAGTGCAGAGCCAGGAGTAACCCCTGTGCATCGCCGGGTATGACCAAAAAAGCAAAAAAAAAAAAAAAAGTTCAAGTAGGGCCTGGAGTGGTAGTACAGCGGGGAGGGTGTTTGCCTTGCACGTGGCTGACCTGGATTCGATTCCCAGCATCCCATGTGGTCCCCTGAGCACCGCCAGCAGTAAATCCTGAGTACAAAGCCAGAAGTAACTCCTGAGTATTGCTGGGTGTGACCCAAAATGTCACCCCCCCCCAAAAAAAAAACCTTCAAGTAAAAAGTTTGTGTTTTTACAATTTTTTTTTAAAAATTGAATCATCGTGAAGTTACAAAGCTGTTACTGATAGGGTTTCAGTCATACAATGTTACAACACCCGTCCTTCCACCAGTGTCCGTTTCCCACCATCAGTATCCCCAGTTTCCCTCCCGCCATCCCCACGCCCTCCCTCCCCCAGACTGTCTCTAGGGCAGGCACATTCCCTCTCTCCCCCTCCCCTCCCTCTCCCCCTCTTTCTCTCCCTCTCCTCTCCTTTTCCCTCTCCTGGGACTTTATGGTTTGCAGTATAGATCCTGAGAGGTTCTCATGTTCGTTCCTTTGCGTATTTTCTGCACGCAGTTTTTATCCAGAGTGATCATATCCAGATATCTGTGTCATAGTGACCCCTTCTTATCCCAACTGCCCTCTCCCCCAGCACTTGAGGCAGGCTTTCCACCCTGGACCCATCCTCCTGGTCCTTGTTTCTACTGTCCTTGGGTATTAATCTCATGTCAGGTTTCTTAGAATCCACGTAAAAAGTTAAAACAGCACTTTAAGTTTAGGTGCTGAGGGGGAGATGGAAAACCTGTTGTTTAATCAGTGTGTTTAAGACTTGTGTGGCTGAACCCTCACGTTAGCATTCAGTAGTGGCTTAATATAGTTGATGCCAAGTTCTTTCTAGGAGGGTGAACTCCCTACCCCCTTAGGGGAGCTATTCTCTTTTTATTGTTTAAGATGAAGATGAGTGCATCTATTGGTATGAAGAATTCTAGTGCACAGCTTAGTTACATCATCATCATCTGTAATTTTAGTGCTGCCTCCCACCTGGACAGAGCAGGAGTACAGCAGATAGGGGGCTCACCTTGCATGCCTTGACTTGGGCTCAGTCCCCGGCACCCTGTACGATGCCCTGAGCCCCACCAGGCGCGATCCCTGAGTGCAGAGCCAGCAGTAAGGCCTGAGCATCGCAAGGTGTAGCCCCAGAAAAACAACAGAAACCCTCCTGCCTAACAAATGTCTAGCAGACATTCCTTTCACCTCTACTATAAGCCACCAGGGAAATCAGACTTATCATATCTGTTTGTAAAAATTCTTTTTTTTTTCTTTTTGGGTCACACCCAGCGATGCTCAGGGGTTACTCCTGGCTCTGCACGCAGGAATTACTCCTGGACGTGCTTGGGGGACCATATGGGATGCTGGGAATCGAACCTGGGTCGGCTGCGTGCAAGGCAAATGCCCTACCCACTATCCTATTGCTCCAGCCCTTTTTGTAAAAATTCTTAAGAACCTTTGTCTTCCTACTCGTATCCTTAGGTGATGTCTATTCAGTAAAAATTCTTAAGAACTTTGTCTTCTAAAAGAACAGTTATCAGAGTATTGCATTTGATATTTTTTATTCTGAGTGATAATAGATATTGTTAAATTTTGAGATTAAGTTCCATAGAATATTTGAATAAAGTCAGAGGAATTGGCTGGTATTTTTGGAATAGGAGAATTAATTTTACTTCTAAATTCATCCTGAGGATAGATGTTTATATACATGTATTCTACATATTTGCATGTATGTGAATGTGTGGTTATGCATGCATCTGTATGCGTGTGTAGATGTATGTACGTGTGTGCTCAACTGTTTAACAATGCATAATGTGCATGTGTATACATAAACAAGTCAGTAAATTTGAATGAAAGCTTTGACAGTGATTAGCCTGAGTCTTCTTATTTGCTAGTATGTTCTTAGTGTTTGATACATGATTGGATAAGTGTATTACCTGACTAAAAAGATACTGTCTAATATTGACAGGTGCCTGTATTTCATAGTTTGAAAAACTTGGCTAGATATGTTATTTATATTAATATGACATATCTAAATATGTATCTCCATCTGTATACCTCTTAATGTTTATTTAATACTTATTTTTTGCACAAAATTTTGACTTTCGTTACCTTTTTTTTTAAAGGATTCATTTTTAGCAGATGAAGCATTTCTTGTGAATTTCTCCCTTCAAAATCTGAGTCATTTGCTATATGATGAATTTGTAAAATCCATTTTGAAACTTGTTGAGAAATTGGATCTTACGCTAGAGAAACAGAATGTTGGAGGACAAGAGGTTAGAATTTTTTTCATTAACTTTGCATCATTTTCTTCCCAACTCTTTTTGTATATAAATATTCAGTGAAAAACAGCTTGCTTATAGTGTCTTATGAAAAATTGAGTTAATATATATCATCGTTGGATTTCTGTTTGAATAGCTTAATGTGTCTTAATGTGAATAGCTTAATATTGTATCTGGATTTTTCAAAACTATTATATGTGCTAAATCAAATCAATTTTTTAGAAGTTGTTTGTTGTTCCTCATTCCTTAGTAATGGGGGAGTCAAACTATTTGATGCAGAAGTTACTTTTTGGTAAGTGAGGGTAACTTGGGATTCTTTTTGTTTTTCTTTTTGGGTCACACCAGCGATGCTCAGGGGTTACTCCTGGCTCTGCACTCAGGAATTACTCCTGGACGTGCTTGGGGGACCATATGGGATGCTGGGAATCAAACCCGGGTCGGCCGTGTGTAAGGCAAACGCCCTCCCCACTGTGCTATCGCTCTAGCCCCTAACTTGGGATTCTTGTTCATGGCTGTAGAAGCCAAACTCTGGGTGCAAGGTGCCTGTGAGCTCGGAAAGAGTCGACACAGAGAACTCAGCCCAGGCGCTTTCCTCGGCTGGGGGCCGCCACCCGGCCTCGGGAAGGGTCAGCCTGAGCTCAGTGCCGTCAGGACCTCTTGTCTGGTGTGATAGACCTGAGAAGTCGACAGATTCTGGTGGGACTTGCTTTGCTTTCGGATCCCAGTTCTCTCTCAGACGAGCTTGTCCCAGTTAGGGTCCGCATGGCGAGTTCGCCCCAGTTAGGGTCCGTGTGCAGAGCTGATGCCTGGAGAGCACTGGGCGGGGGGCTGGAGGCAGGACCCCAGTCCCAGCCTCTGTGCTGCCTTTCCTGCTCTTGCAAAGCAAGATCTGACCCCACACTGATGGTCAGCTTGATCTGACCCCACACTGATGGTCAGCTTACTGCTGACACTTCACTGAGTATAGAGTCACTCTGTGAAAAGCGTATTGGGGGCTGCAGAGAAAGGGGTCAGGACCTTGTGCTTTGAAATGTGGTTCTGGAACGCAGCTTAACGTGTCTTGACTGTTACTGTTCATTTTCCGTTTCTTAGTTTGGAGTCTTTCAGCCATTATCCTTTCTGTTCCATTTTCTATACTTTTGACATTCAAATTCTGTTATCATTACTCAGCCCCTTCACATTTTTTTACTTGACTGTTCTTTTTCTACTTCACTTTATTACCTTTCTTGTTTTTTATTTAATGTTTCTGTGAATTCTATCATCTTTTCCATATATATATATGCAGTCTTCAAAAATCCCTGTATTTTTCTTGATTTTAGCATTCCTTCCTCAGACCATTAGACCTTGACTATTTAAAGGTTTATTAATAATTTGATGAGTAAATGTGCGATTGAATGGAATTATGTTGGCTGTGGTACATTTCTTCTTCTTTATATTTTTCCCCTCTCCCTTAATGTATTTTCTTTTTAAGGATGAAAATGGAGCTCCTGGTTTGCTGGTTATCCCAACCTCAGATCCAGCCGCATACTTGCAACCTGTCAAGCCTAAAGATTTCTCAGCTTTCATTAATTTGGTGGAGTTTTGCAGGTATTTTAAGAAAGTAATAAAGAGTGAAAATGATCAGTTGTTGACTGTAATGTAGGAAAAAGTAAAAGGTGGAATGATTCAAAAAGATGGAAAATCTGAAATTGTCGTTAATCTTCCTTTAAACTGTTTCTAGATCCACTAAGTTGGTAGTAACTTTTTAATACTGAAAAGATCCTCAGGAAGTGAACAGGAAATATAGATACTCCTGGAAATGTAATGGAATTGTAAGCCTGCTTATTTTCCTTATGATGTGAAAACTGGATAAAAATATTAGTCTGCTGAGAATTTCTACACTGTTTTGGTTTCAACAGAGAGATTCTTCCTGAGAAGCACGTGGAGTTTTTCGCGCCCTGGGTCTACTCCTTTGCCTACGAGCTGGTTTTGCAGTCCACACGGTTCCCGCTTGTCAGTGGCTTCTACAAACTGCTTTCTGTTGCTGTGAGAAACACTAAGAAAATAAAATATTTTGAGGTAAGTGTTTCTTGGAAGGCTCTGGTGCACGTTTCTAAGGTTATGTGAGTATGTGTAAGTGCGTTATAAAATATAAGATCGGTCGTAATGCTTGCACACGTGGAGTGCCCCTTGGATTTATCCACCTATGCCGGGGTGTTTGCACACACTTGGTGCAGTGCCCAGAGCATGCGTGCTCTGCTCTGGGGCTGTGGGTCGCAGGGTGAGTGCTCCTGGGGTCCGTGTAGTGTCAGGATTCTCCAGAGGCAGGTGCTTTACGCAATGTCTGTGCTTGGGAAATGGGCAGAATGACAGCGGGCATTTCCCTAAGGTGCTTGGCATGCAGAGTTGGGCCCCGGGCACTGCACGGTCCCTCAGCCCTCTGGGTGGCCTGGTGGCCCCTGGCAGTTCTTGGCCACTGAACCATGAAACCGTGACACTGCTGGGTCTGATCCTTGAGCTGTCCAAGTGCCGCTCGGGAGGCCCCCAGGCCCCCAGTAAAAACTTGATAACATGAATTGAAATGAATGACACAGAAACATTTTCACAGGGAGTGTCGACTCTTCTTACCTTCAGGCACTGCTTATGTGCGAGTTACAGCGCACACCTGTTGAGAATCATCTGGCTTCTAAGCACCAGATCGAGTGTCAGAACAGAACTCACCGGGCCCACGCTTGCCTTGCAGGCTGAGCAGGCTGAGCAGGCTGAGCAGGCTTCAGTCCCGAGGCGGGAAGTCTCCGTGGCCCCTGGCGCCAGTGAGTGGGACCCCAGACAGATAGACAAGAACAGATCACACTGTGGAGGACATGCGTGTTCCCCAGGCCCCTGCAACCAGCAGTGTGTCATTGGGAGGCCACAGGCCTTGGAGGATCGTGTGTTCCCCAGGCCCAGAGGACCAGCAGCACCGTGTCACTGGGAGGTCTCAGGCCTTTGAGGACACACGTGTTTCCCAGCATGTCACTAGGAGGTCTCTGGCCTTGTCGGTTTTCTTCTCAGAGACTAGAGGCAAGGCCCTCGATTCTGTCTGCTTAGCTGACCTGTAGGTCAGTGAAGCTGTTGAACAGTTGGAAAGTCACTATAGTGACCAGGGGCCAGTCGTCATGAGAAGCTTCACTGCTTAGTTATGGATGAACAGCTCTCCTGACTTCCTGGTGTATATATTGGAAAACAGGGAAGGGAGAAGAGGATTTTGTTTGGGGACGAACACTTGGTAGGACTCGGGCTTACTCCTGGCCGGGCTTAAGGGACCGTGTGGGGTGCCTGGATTAAACTGGGCTCATGTTCCATGCAAGGCCAGTCCCCACCCACTGTACTCTCTGGCCTCAGGAGATAAGGATTTTTTGAGAACTTAGACTTTGACCACCCACCTCCTCTTTTCCACTTTTTTTTTTCACTGACCTCTGATTTACGTGGGATTTTTGTTTGTTTGTTTTGGGCCACACCCGGTGGTGCTCCTGGTTCTGTGCTCAGGATCTTGGTAGGCTCTGGAGACTGGGCTCAGGGCTGAAGTCCAAACCGGGCTCGGCCTCGTGCAAGGCAAATGCTCCACCTTCTCTGTTAGCTCTCCGGCACCCTTAAAATGTTAAAGCTGATTTTTCTCCCCTCTTTACAAAACTTTGGTAGAGTAAAAAATGATAAATGACTGGGAACTGGTGAATGAGAACACAGAATCTCTAGACGTTTGTTCGTGGTACTAATTTGTGATTTTATTTCACAGGGAGTTAGTCCAAAGAGTCAGAAGCAGTCCTCCGAGGACCCAGAGAAGTCCTCTTGCTTCGCTTTGTTCGCGAAATTTGGCAAAGAGGTAATGTACAATAAATTATGGGCTGCTTAAACACGAATGTTTAAGATAATTCGTAGTGATCCGAATACTTAAATTTTTGTTTGGTCAATCCAAATCTACAGTATGGTTTTAGAATAACACTAAAAGGAAATTGTTACGTATCTGAAGTCCATTGTTTTTGTTGAATCAGTAACAATTCAGTAGATTTATCTTTTTCATATAGTGACAGTTAAGTACTTTAAGAAATAAAATTTTTGTGGGCATCAGTGCTTAGTTTATAAAAGAAGGAAGTGTCCTGTTCAGTAAAGGCTTTCCGAGTATTCGCACTTGAGGACCGGGTACATCATTTGGTTTCAACCAGAGACTCTCTAAAGCTGCAGTGTCTTTCTCCTTCAGGTATCAGTCAAGATGAAGCAGTACAAGGATGAACTCTTGGCCTCCTGTCTGACCTTTGTCCTGACCTTGCCCCACGACATCATTGCCCTTGACATCAGGGCCTATGTTCCTGCACTGCAGGTGGGTGCCGGGATCACACACTGCTCTGTGTCCTCGCCTGGCTTGGCGGTCTCAGCGGGTGGCCGGGGGTAGCCTCCTTCCAGGGCTGCTGTCACTGAGTGGGGTGGGACTTGGCACACTCGGCGTGGCCTCTGTCAGCCTGATTGTGACGTGATTGGTGTGTGCGAGGGTCAGGCCCTCACTCAGTGTCCAGTCTCACTCCATGCGCACACACACACACACACACACACACACACACACACACACGCGCGCGCGCCTGACACTTATTCAGTGACTGTGGCATCAGATGTGCCCACTTCTCTTTAGCAGGGTCCCACCCTAGGGCAGTGGAAAGTCTTAGTAAAATTAGAAGCTCTAACTGATATTTTTTTTTTCCTTTAAACCCTAAATTCTTTGCTTTCATTGTCATACAGATGGCCTTTAAACTGGGCCTGAGTTATACCCCATTGGCTGAAGTAGGTCTAAATGCTTTGGAAGAATGGTCACTTTACATCTGCAAAAGTGTGATTCAGCCCTATTATAAAGATATTCTACCAAGTCTTGATGGATACCTAAAAATTTCAACCTTATCAGGTAAGATTTAGAAAGGACTGTGATGCATCTCTTAATTAAAACTGTAATATAACAACACAATTGCAGTAGAACTTCGGAAAGTTGTCTTTTGCCGTATTCTAAAACTTGAACTTGTTACCCAGAAATGGCAGGAATAACGAATATTTTATTAGCATGAAAGCAACTTCAGTTGGAGAATCAGGTCTAACCAGCACAGGCTGGTGAGAGAAAAAGTGAGGGTCTGATTTTATGCCGAGTAGAGTTAGGGTACTGACACAGCCTACACATATGAAGAGGGAAAAAAAGAGCATGTTTATGTGAGGGGGTAAAAGAAGGTCTGGACAGTTGAGGAAATGATTCTGATGACACAGTGTACTGAAAGTGGAGTGGTGTCCGCAGGGGTGCTCATGGTGACCGGTGTCCTCTGAGGAGAGCTCTGCACTCACCTGGGTCTGTGCTCACAGTGACTGGTGTCCACTGAGGAGCGCGCTGGAACTACCTGTGGTTCCCTGAGTATTATCAGGAGTGACCCCTGAATGCAGAGCCAGAACCCTGAGCCCCACCGGGTGTGGCCCCCCCAACAAAAGACGTGTTTTGCTCACATTTGGGCATTCACGCTTGTCGGCTTCAGTTTGGTGTCTGAAGATGTGTTTTGACGATGGGGGCTCGGGGCCATGGCCGTCATGCTAAGGGCCAGCAGCACACGCCCGGTGGCACTCGGGAGCAGGCCGACCGGCGTCAGAGCTGAGTCTCTGCCCCCGAGCTGGGTCCGTGCAGGCTCCTGATCACCAGCCTGGATCCGAGGGCTGGAGAGAAGGCGTGGCCTGTCCTGCCCGTGGGAGGTCCCACTCATTCCCGGCCCCACCCGGGTGCCTGAGCACTGCCGGCTGCGCCCCGCAGGACGCTGAGCACACTCGGGGACGTGGCGTCCCTGGGGCTTTGGCACCGCGGGGCCCCCCCGGTGGGTCATCCCTGGCTTTGCCGCCTTGGGTCTTTGCTTCGTGCCGCCTGCTTGAGACTTGCTGGTGTTGCGCTATCCGTGGACCTTGTTCCATTAGGAGCTCGAAATTTATTTTTACTTGTTTTGGGCTGTTAGGCCACACCCGACAGTGCGCCCGGGGTATTCTGGCTCTGCACAGGAAATTTTCTCTTGGCGGGGCTCGCTGGGACCGTGTGGTGTGCGGGGCTTTCCAGGGCTGGCTGTGTGGTGGCAGGCCTCCCGCCTGCTCTGCTAGCACTCAGGCCCTGCATTTTTTTTTTTTGGTATAACTTCGGTTTCTAGTAAAGAAATTTTCTCGGATGATATGTATTTGGTGTAGTTAGTGATTTTATACATGATAACTATTTAAATTTCATCGATTTCACGAGACCCCCTAATTCCATAACATTCAGAGGAATTTCTGGATTTCTCGTTCGGTGAGTGGATTTCCAACTCTTGAGGTGCTGCTTTTGTTTTTCCACTAGGAGGAGTTGCAGCCCTTGCCTTGGGCTAGTTTAGATTTTTCCCTCTTCTTGCGCCGGGCTGGGGCAGGTCTCTCCGTTCTTTGAGCCCTGCGGGAGCCAGTGTGGGTTTGCACTTTCTGGCTGTGACCTTGCTGGATCCCAGCTGAGCTCCTAGCTCGCCTGCTGTGCTTGGTGCTGAGAGTGATCCTGTGTTTCCCGTGACGTGCAGAGGGACCTTGGCTGCACGGGTGTGTCTCACCCACCCTCAGCTGCACAGTGTGCGGCCCTAGACCCTCAGCTGTGTGGGTGTGCGGCCCTAGAGAGCCTCAGCTGTGTGCGTGTGCCTTGCTGTAGACTCTCAGCTGCACTTTGTTATGGTGCCTCAGCTGTGTGGGTGTGCGACCCAGACCCTCAGCTGTGTGGGTCTGTGGCCCCGCTCTGGACCCTTAACTGTGTGGGCTTGCGGGCCTCACCAGGGACCCTCGGCTGTGTGGGTGTGCGGGCCTCACCAGGGACCCTCGGCTGCATTGTCAGTGTTACACGTTAAATATTTTATAAATATTCATTTTCATAATCAGATTTTATGTTCCCTGTGCTAGCTTGATTTTCTGGATCTACGTGATGTTTCTTCTGTTGCGTGACAGGGCATATCTTAGCAAAGCAGCAGTGTTTGGGGCCTTCGTGATGCCTTGGATGCATATGCCGTGACCCCCGTGGAAGCTTACTCCTAAGGGGCAGAAACGGAAAGCTCCGGACTAAGGCGATTCCAGCTTCATTTAGAACGAGCCCCTCGGGTGGCGCTCTCCGCTGCCAGTATTCCTGTTCCCCAGCAGGCTCGCCCGTCGGCCTTTCAGCACCCGTCGGTGCTTCTTATCAGCGTGCCATGATGAGACTCGCAGAATTACTCTCCAGCTCCAACTCCGTGCTTCTGCTCGTTGGGGTTCTAGTGTGCGCAGTAGCTTTGCTTCTCGCCTGTTTGTTTTCCTAGGGACCCTGAGTCTATTTTTCCCTGATCTTCGTCATTCGTTCTGATGCTCAGATGGTCCCGGCTCATGCCCATGCGTAGGGAGGGGACCCGGCTCTTTGAGTAGTTTCTTCCTGGCACAAGGTGATCGATGTAGGGTTTGGCTCTGGAAACCTGAAGGAAAGGAGTTGTGTTATGAAAACCCAGGGGAATGCTGCCACTCGAAGGAAAGATCAGACTCTGGCCGTTGACCTCAGCCGAGCTAGGACTGACGGGTGTCATGTTGAGTGAGTCAGAGGGAGGAGCAGTCCCGTGTGTCTCACTCAGCCGTGGGTGCAGGCGGACAAAGCAGGGAGTGGACGGGACCCGTGGCGACCCTGAGCTTGATTGATCAAACTCTGATTCCTAAGGAAGAAGTTGAGAGTGAAGAGCAAACTAGAGGGGAGACGGCGGTGGGGCACTTTGGTGTTGCTGGGGTGCAGTGACGTACATAAGGGCCATAAACAATATATTAGAGTATCCATGTTGCCTAAACGACAACTGTCGCACTGTCCTCCCGTTGTTCATTGATTTGCTCGAGTGGGCCCAGTAACGTCTCCATTGTGAGACTCGTTATTGTGTTTGGCATATCGAATACGCCATGGGGAGCTTGCCAGGTTCTGCCATGTGGGCAGGATACTCTCGGTAGTTTGCTAGGTTCTCTGAGAGGGGCGGAAGAGTCGAACCCAGGTCGACCATGTGCAGTGCAAATGCCCTACCCGCTGTGCTATCGCTCCAGTCCTAAACGACAACAAAAATTAAGTAAAGTAAAGGCCCTCCCGTTGATCATCGATTTGCTCGAGCGGGCCCAGTAACGTCTCCATTGGAGACTTTGTTGTTACTGTGTCTGGCATATCGAATACTCTCGGTAGCTTGCCGGGCTCTCCGAGAGGGGCGGAGGAATCGAACTCGGGTCGGCCATGTTGGCTGGGTGCAAGGCAAACGCCCTACCCGCTGTGCTATCGCTCCAGCCCTCCAGGCTGGAACAAAAATTAAAAATTTTGGAAAATAGGATGTTTAGGCTTTTGCCTCTTGGTGTCTGTCCAGTACTCTGGAATTTGCTGCTTCTCCAAGGAGCCATGCTCTTTTCAGTGGACTGTGGTGCTTAGAGCCAAGCCGGCCACTTTGAATATTTCCAGGTGGTGAATTCCAACTGGGGTTTTATGCCTGTGTTTGACAGTATACTGCAGTCTCCCTGACATGTAGCAGAGAAACGGCTAATGCTGTTTGTCGCTGGTTTTGTTCCCGTTAACAGAGGACACCCAGGAGACTTTGCAAGCACCAGCACTTGCCCGCGCTGCCCAGAAGGGATTTAATAAGGTCGTGTTAAAGCACCTGAAAAGATCAAAAGCCGTTTCATCGGTAAGAAATTCCTCGTATCTTAATTAGTTAATTTGGCTTTTGGGGTCACACTTGGTGATGCTCAGGGGTTCCTCCTGGCTCTGCCCTCAGGAGTCACTCTGGTGGCGCTCCAGGGACCATATGGGATGCCGGGGATTGAGTCTGGGCCGGGGATTGAATTTGGGTCAGCTGCGTGCAAGGCAAACACCCTCCCCACTGTGCTATTGCCCCAGGCCCTCTGATTTTTAACTTAGGTTTTTGTGAGAATCAATTTCCATTTTAAATTTTATTGTTTGCGTACGTTGTATATATCTAACATGTTTGTATATTAAAATTTTCAGAGTGAAGAACTGTCCTTACAAGAAATAAGACTTAGAGTCGTGAAACTGCTTGGCTCATTAGGAGGACAAGTAAATAAAAATCTACTAACAGGTAAACCTTCCTTTGAAATAAATTAACCTTTTGTAGATATGTGTCTTCTTAATTTGGGGCATAGGCAGTCATGGTCCATTCTAATAATGATTCTGCATATGATTTGCAGATTTTCTAATTACACAAGCTAATATTTTGCCAAATGAAACATTTAGAAACAAAAAAATGTTTGTTTCTACCACCTGATTAATTCAGCAGGGTAGTGTTCCAACTTGAACTCAAATTTACTGAAATTGGGGATGAAACATTCCAGGCAATTAAACTTACTTAAAATTATTTTTTAATTATTTTTGCTTTTTTGGGGTCACATCTGCCAATGCTCAGGGGTTACTCCTGACTCTGCACTCAGGAATTACTCCTGGTGGTACTCGGGGTACCCATATGGGATGCTGAGTCAGCCGCGTGCAAGGCAAACGCCCTCCCCGCTGTACTATTGCTTTGGCCCCCAGCGTTCAATAAAATGCTTAATTCAACATTTTTAATTAAGATGAACTCTAGAAACAATGCATCATTGATTTCTAACATAATTACACACAAGAGAAGAACATGTTAAAATTATAAGTGCTTCGATTATATTAATAAGTTATAGCTGTTGGTAATAGAAAATGTGAATTAAAAATGCTTTTAATCTTTTTAACAGCTGCAACGTCAGATGAAATGATGAAGAAGTACATGGCCTGGGACAGAGAGAAAAAGCTCAGTTTTGCGGTCCCGTTCCTTGAGATGAAGCCCGTCATCTACCTGGACACCTTCCTGCCTCGACTCACAGAGTTAGCACTTTCTGCTAGTGACCGACAAACCAAAGTACTTCTGCTTTTTATTTCACTCATTATTTAAAGCCCGTTGCTTTTAAGATAATGTAATGTTAGGAAGCAGGTCACGTGTTTCTGCCGTTCCAGTATCATTCGCTTTGAATTTTCTAAAATGAGAGAACTGCTCAGTTATCAGAGGCGGTTAATGCAGGTGAAGCGTCAAGGGATCTAACTAGATAACCTGGCAGTACTCCTAACCTGCTCGTGAGGGAGTATCTCGGCCTCTGCTTGATGACCCTCTCAGCTTCAGGGGTCAGGAATCTCTCTCTGTCTCTGTTCCGGGGCCCGTGTTGCTGGTGCTCGGAGCTCCCTCCTGGCTCCGGGCCCTGGGCTCCCTCCTGCTGCGATGGAGTCATACCTGAGGCGGAGAAGAGGCTGCGTCTGTCACGAGCAGGGCCAGCAGCATCCGCACTCTTATCTCCTGGGCCTAGTTGGAGACTATCGATTGTAATTTTTAAAGCAGGTGTGTTTTTTTTTTCAAAGGCTGCCAGTACACGTTTTCTGAAAGGCATCATGGGAAGTGTGCTAGAAGGGTTCACAGACGAGGCAGGGGGCTGGGTCCTCCGAGCTCCGGCAGGTGCAATCCCTCCCCCCGCCCCCCGGACTCCAGGAATGAAAATGTGCTAACAAGTAAAGCACATTCTGTAATTTGTAGCCGGTGAATATATTTCTCACGAGTATTTCGATTATAGTTTCTAAAGTTTTCTTAACCATTGTATACAGATGGAAAAAGATAGAAAGAATGATTATATGCAGGATATGTTATTTCCAGTTAGCTTACATTTCGGTATGATTATCTGCTACACAAGGTCTTTTTTTTTTTTTAAATAGTGGTTGAGTTGAGTATCATTTTAAAATAGTCTCTTGTAAGCCTGAGAACTAACCCTTGTCGAACGCCTGGCCTGCTCTAGGTGGCGGCCTGTGAGCTGCTGCACAGCGTGGTTGTGTTCATGCTGGGAAAGGCTGCGCAGATGCCTGAGAACAGCCAGGGCCCCCCGCCCTTGTACCGGCTCTACAAGAGGACTTTCCCGGTGCTGCTTCGCCTCGCCTGTGATGTCGATCAGGTAAATGGAGGAATCTTAGTCTGAAAACCTTCTCAAGCTTTTAGAAGTTCTGTGGGAATTCAAGAAGCCTGCTGGGCCCGAGCAGTAGTACATCAGGTCGCGCGTTTGCCTTGCAAGCTGCCCTCCCGTGTGCCATCCCAGCCCCCGGTGGTCTCCGGAGCCCACCAGGATGATCCCTGAATGCAGAGCCAGGAGTAAGCCGTGTGTGTGGCCCCAAAACAGACACAAACAAAACAAAACAAAGCAAACCAAAGAGTTGCTGTGTTTTTGGGCCAGAGAGAGAGAGAGTACGCTCACCTTGCTGCTGACACAGTTTGAACCCCCAGCATCAAGACACAGTTCCCCCAGCACCTCCGGAAGGGATCCCTGAGCATTGCTGGGTGTGGCCTAAAAATAAAATTTCAAAGTTGCTGTGATTGAAATTACTGACAGACCTTTTGAGTTGGGGAGGAGTCATTCTGGATCTGTTGGTGTGGGCCAAGGAGCTCGATCACAGGGCTAGTATTCATGTGTGTACCTGGGACCCCAGGTCTGATCCTTACCACTGCAGAGTCTTTGTGCACCCCTGGGAACAGTGTCCATCACTGCGGGGTGTCACCACAAAGTAAAAAGAAGGAAAAGATACTGCTACCCCAGATTCTTTGATTTGATCTCTCTAAGAGAGAGAGGGGCCAACGAGAGTATCCAGCAGGAAGGGCGTTTGCCTTGCATGTGACCCAACTGGGTTGGATCCTTGGCATCCCATATGATGGTCCCCCAAGTTTGCCAGGAGTGATCCCTGTGTGCAGAGCCAGAGTAACCTCGGAGCACCATTAGGTGTGGCCCCCCAAACCAAAGATGAAATGACCTGTGATTGGGGAATTATAAAGGGAGTCTTGATATGCTGTACGTCTTGGAACCACTGTGTCAGCAGTTACCCAAAGCTGGACATCTTCATCTGAATTAGCTATAGCCTTTGTCATAGATTTAAAAGTAGTGAAAAACTGCGGGACTATATCCAGTAGTCGTGGAAATAGACATTGGAAATAATGGCGGTGATGTCTAATGGTTTACTTCTGGACTTGGTTCTAGTCCATTGGTCTGAGAATCTGCCTTTCTACCAGCCACACAGTTGGAATAAAGTTGGTTGGCATAACTGTGCAGTGTAGTTTAAAGACAGCAAATGCTATGCCTCCTGTACTCTGCTTCATACTTGCTTTGGTTATTTAGGGAGTTTTCTACAAATTTTAGCAGTATTTTTCTATGTCCTTGAAGAGTGCTAAGGGAGTTTTGATGAGGTTTGTATTGAATCCGTGCAGTACTTCACATAGGATGGTTGTTGTAATGATGCTAATTCATCTAATCCAAGAGCATGAATGTATCTCTCGTATTGTTTTCTTCTTCTTTTAATAGTTATTTATGGCTTACACTGATTGTTTTGCCTCCTTTGCTAAGGACTTGACTTTTTGGGGACATAATGTAAACGGGATTAAGAAATTTTCTTTCTCCTCTATGTTATGGTTTGCATATAAAAGTGTAATGTGCGGCTGGAGCGATAGCACAGTAGGTAGGGCGTTTGCCTTGCATGCGGCTGACCTGGGTTTGATTCCCAGCATCCCATATGGTCCCCTGAGCACCGCCAGGAGTAATTCCTGAGTGCAGAGGTGCAGAGGGAGTAACCCTTGAGCATCACCAGGTGTGACCTCCCCAAAAGCCAAAGAAACCTGTATTGACCAGGAAACTGGCTCGAGTGAGTGTGTGCCATTGGGAAGCTGGGTCTGGACCCTGAGCTGCCCGGGCTGCTCTGGTGCTCTCAGGGGTAGCCCTGGGGCCCAGCACCACTAGAGGTGCAGAAACAAAGAAAACCCAAACCACCAGCAAAAAAAGATGTTTGTGGACTGATTCTCTAGCCTGCCCCTTGACTGTCTACTAGGTTGTTTTTTTGTCTTTTTTTGGGGGGGGGTTAGATTTTTTGAGGAATCTATGTGTATGTCATCAGTATGAATTGTGATAGTTCTAACGTGACTTCTTTCATTTCTTTTTCTTGACTAGTTGCTGTGACTCAGATTTTCAACACTGTGTTGAGTAGTAGTGTGAGAGTAGAACTCCTGGGCTTGATTTCTTATGCTTTCCTTGTTGGGAGTGGCTCCTGGGCCGCTTGGGGATAATTTAATACTAGAAATCACACCTGGGCTGTATGACGTGAACTCTAGCCCTCCTAGTCATCGCCCAGCCATGCATCTGTTTAGGGTGCTTTTTTTTTTCTGTTTTGGGGCCACCTGGCAGTGCTCAGGGGTCACTCCTAGTGGTCTTGGGTGTCCATTGGTGTGCCGGAGACCTCCCTGCATCAGCAGCAGGCAAGGCAGGTTCCTTGCCTGCTGTCCTCTCTCCTGGCCCTGAGAGGACTTTCAGTTGGATATGGGCCCGCCTGTTTCTGCCTTTGCTGTCTTTGCCGGGGAGATGGCGTTGCCGAGAGCCCCTCAGCACTGCAGGTTCTTAGAGCGTTTTCCTGCATGTCTGTGCTCCCCTTTCTATTGCTCGGGACTTGATCAGGTTTTTGATTTGACACCCGAAGGTTTATGGAGCCATAGGGTCTCACTTCGCCTTTTACTGGAATAACAATAACCCTCTGGCCAGGATCAGATGCATAAAGAGGATCCGTAGCGAGAGCTCTAAGTTACCTCCTGATTTGAGGAACATGGCTATTAGGCTGTCTTTTCCCCAGACTTCTGGGACAGAGTGCATGAAGTGGAAAAGGAACCAATTCAGGTCTAGTGATAATAGTGCTTAATGTTGCTTCTCTCTCTTAAGCGGAACTGTTTCATAGAAATCATCTCACTGTAAATAATAAGCTGATGATTTTGTTTCTCCAGGTTACCAGGCAGCTCTATGAGCCACTAGTCATGCAGCTGATACACTGGTTCACGAACAATAAGAAATTCGAAAGTCAGGATACTGTTGCCTTGCTAGAAACGATATTGGTGAGTAATGATCGATTGATTGTTTTTCAGTTATTCCTACTGACTGGTTATTTTTATTTTTATTTAGAATTGAAAGAAAAGCTCAGACAGCAGAAGAATATAGCATCTACCCAGTTTTTTTCTTCTGTCTCAGATTGATGAAAGGTTATTTTAATAATAAGTTGTCTTAACTATGTTTCTTAAAATTTTTTTTCCTTTTATTTTTCTTCTTGTGACCACACCATGCTGTGCTCAGGATTTGTTTCTGGCTCTGCACTCATGAATTACTCATGGTGGGGTTTGGGGGAGCATATGCTAGTGCCTGGAATCAAACCCAGGTCAGCTGCATGTAATGCAAGCATTGTATCTGCTCCCCGATATCTCTGTCCCATATATATAAATTGTGTGTGTGTGTGTGTATATATATATACATATATATGTATAATGTATTAAGTGATGTTTTTATAAGTTTGTAAACAACTATTCACACTTTTTTTGGTTCTCTGGGCTTCTTTTTGGAAGATGGGTATGAAATTAAGATTGTTGCTTTGGGTCATACCCGGTGATGCTCAGAGCTTCATCCTGGCTCTGTTCTCAGGAATCCCTCCTGGTGGTGGGTACCATATGGGCTGCCGGGGATAAAACCCAGGTGGGCTGTGTGCCAGGCCAACGCCCTCACCACTGTACCATTGCTCCAGCCCTCGTCAGGTGTTTGTAAAGTATCATCTTACTTGATCTTAACCTATAAGTTCGCCTTACAGTTTTGGTTTTATTTACAAATTGACTTTGAAATCAAAACCCCCAGTTAAACACACGACAGTTTTGTTCAAACTTGTGTCCTTTGATTCCATCCTTTTGCAAGTTGATAGATTGAGATTTGAATCTTTTGGGGCCGGAGTGATAGTACAGTGGGTAGGGTGTTTGCCTTGCACGCGGCCGACCTGGGTTCAATCCCCAGCATCCCATATGGTCCCCCAAGCACCACCAGGAATAATTCCTGAGTGCAGAGCCAGGAATAACCCCTGAGCATCACTGTGTGTGACCCAAAAAGAAAAAAAAGATTTGAATCTTTTATTCTGTGTTAAGTTTGACCAGAATTAGGAAATGAGAAGAAATCCAGGCAGAGGGCGTAATGGCCCTGGGGGCTGGATGTGCTCCCGAGGATCGTGGCCGGGCCTGGGTTTGTGTGCGCTAGAACTCTTGGAGGTGGGCTGGAAGGTGTGTGGGCAGAACAGCAGAACACTGCACGCTGGGCAGAGAGAATCCCCTCGGCATGCAGTGTGCTCCTTCCAGTTAGACTTTACCTAGGCCTACGGGGGAGAATGCCGAAAGGGAAAGAGAACATTCAAGTGGCCGTTGGTGTGTGCTTTCGGTGTTCAGAGGATTGATCTTAGGCGAGAACTCTTACAGACAGTGGCTGTGCTGGTGGTGCCCAGGCCTGTTCTCAGCTTAGCACCGGACTGTGCGGTACCTGCCGGGGTTCTGACTCAGGGTTCTGACCCTGGCAGGCCTCCTGCACACAAGGGAGCCGTCTTACCAGCTCAGGGTGGCTTACTTTCTGTACTCTCAAGAAATGGATCCTCTCAGGTACTGTTGTAAGGCAAAATAAAATCAGCAGGAAAAACACTTAATGGTTTTGTGATATAAAGCATTCTCTTTTAAATCTTTCAGATTCTCATTTTGTGTAATGAATTATTTTATTTATATCAAAAGAAAATGAATGGTAGAGTGAGTTCTGATTTGAGACAAATGTGTTCACTAGGGTTTACCTGAATTTTGCCGTCAATTTTCATGACACGCTCTGGTTGTCTTCAGCGCAGGATCAGGTACTGTCATTTTATGTTTTGTTCAGGAAGGAATTGTGGACCCTGTGGACAGTACTTTGAGAGATTTTTGTGGCCGGTGTATTCAGGAATTCCTTAAGTGGTCCATCAAGCAGACGACACCGCAGCAGCAGGAAAGAAGCCCAGTAAACACCAAGTCGCTTTTCAAGCGCCTCTACAGCCTTGCACTTCATCCCAACGCTTACAAGCGGCTCGGAGCCTCGCTCGCTTTCAATAACATATACAGGGAATTCAGGTAAGCTGCTTCTGCCGGAGGGAGGCAGCCGGCCTTTCTGCTTTCAGAGTGATTTTGCGCGACGGATCCATCTATCAAGGGCAAGATGCTGTGGCGACTGGAAAGTGAGTTAAAATCCAGTTGAGAATCTCCTAGAAATACCAGTGGATACAATCCAGTATGTAAAGGAACAGGAGGTGTGACGCAGAGCGCAGTCGAGCGCCTGCCCCTGAGCGGGTTGTGGGAGACTCTCCTGGTGATCATCTGAGGGACAGTCAGCCAGAGCGTCTCAGACCCTGGGCCTGGGCTGGGCAGGGAGATGGCTCAGGGCTCGAGTCATACCAACCTGCGTGAGGGTCTGCGCTCAGGCCCCCCGCCGCTGTTCCCTAGCCCCACGCCCTCGCCCTGGCCCCTGAGGACCTCCAGGCGTGGACACTGAGCCAACTGCCTGGGAGTGACCGCTGGCTGTCCATGCACGCGCAGGGCCCCAGAGACCTGCAGCTTGTAGACCGGAGTCAGGTTTGGAAAGGAGCCTGGAGAGGCCGAGGAGTTTTGCTTGGTGACGTGACGCTTAGATGACGCACTGCAGCTGTGGGGCAGAGTGACCGTCGGATGGCCTCTTCAGACCCACAGGCCAGAGCAGCAGAGCCCAGGGAAGGGCTGGGAGGCGCCGGAGAGTTTGAGCCAGATGGCACGCACGAGCCCAGCCCCCACCCCGAGCACTGAGATTGATTTCCTGAGTCTTGTGAGGAGTGGCTTCTGAGCACAGAGTCAGAAATAAGCCCAGAGCACAGCTGGGTGCGGTCCCCACACCCCCCATCAAAGGGTCCTCAGGGGCTGGAGAGATATTTGAGCTAAGTGCATGCATTGCCTGCAGGAGGCCGGGGCCCATCCCCGGGCACGGTCAGTAATGACCTCTGAGCACAGAGCTTGGAGTAACCAACCTTGGAGCATCCAGACGTGGCCCAGAAGAGAAAGAAAGAAGAGGAGAGGAGAGAAGAGAGAGACAAAGAGAGATGGAGAGATAGAGACAGAGAAAGAGGAGGGGGGGAGGCACCCGTGTGTGGCCCCAGAGACCCTGGGCACTGTGAGGTGTCCTAGTGACCCTTAACGCCACAAGCCCTGAGCAGCTCTGCTTCCTTGGCCCGGGTTGAACCACGGAACCTGACTGCTGGATATGGCTGGGAGTGTTCTCTGGCCCCTGAGCACTGCTTGGGAGCCCTCACCCCGCTGGAAGAAGATAATCACATTCATTTGTTTCTATACTCTTCCTGCTGCTATTTCTTTTTTTTTTGTACACTTTTTTTTTTTTTTTTTTTTGCTTTTTGGGTCACACCTGGTGACACACAGGTGTTACTCCTGGTTCTGCACTCAGGAATTACCCCTGGTGGTGCTTGGGGGACCATGTGGGTTGCTGGGAATCGAATCCAGGTTGGCTGCGTGCAAGGCAAACACCCTACCTGCTGTGCTATTGCTCCAGCCCGTTCTGCTGTTATTTCTAATTTTAATTTTTTTTTTTTTGCTTTTTGGGTCACACCCGGCGATGCTCAGGGGTTACTCCTGGCTCATGCACTCAGGAATCACTCCTGGTGGTGCTAGGGGGACCATATGGGTTGCTGGGAATCGAACCCAGGTTGTCCGCGTATAAGGCAAACAAACACCCTACCTGCTGTGCTATTGCTCTAGCCTGTTCTGCTGTTATTTCTGATGCAGGGGACTGAGGTGGGAACTCAGAGCTCTCAGTCAGAGGCCATACTCTGTGTGCAAGAGGCCCAACCCCCCTCAGGGTCTCTGGTTGCCTTAGGGCACTTAGGGGAGCAGCCCCCAGCACCACGCCCAAGTAGCCATAGAGCATCTTCAGGTGAAAGCACAAAGAAATGGAAGGAATACGGGGTAGGCACCCTGGTAGAAACCAGGAAAGTTGCCCTGGAACACAGCTGCCACGCAGCATCTGTCTCTGCCCTTGACCCTGGTGACTTTGTTGAATAATCTCTTAACCACACTGGGTATGCTTGCAGAGGGCTTGGAGTTGGTGCCTCTTTGTACAGGGTCATTAAAAATATGGTGTTCGGTCAGGACTCAGCCTTGATCCAGTGTGGGAGGAGGTCTGAGAGCAGGTCTGAGCGCTCCTCGGTGCAGGGAAGAGGCCAGTCTGCTCTGGAGAGTTACTGGAGGTATTCCGATTGGAAGTACTGGAGAACGTTTTTAAAAGCCAGGTGTAATCTCTGTGTGTACTTTTAAAATAACGTTAACTCTTGCTTACTCATTACTGACATTAACTCGTTCCTACTTTATTATTTTCTTAGGTGAGACTCAGTGCTTACTGTTTATTTTATAGGGAAGAAGAAGCTCTGGTGGAACAATTTGTGTTTGAAGCCTTGGTTATATATATGGAAAGTCTGTCCTTAGCACACACCGATGAGAAATCCTTAGGTGGGTCTTAATTTCAGCTTTTCTTTTGTGTGCCGTTCCGTTTGCCTTTTAGGTAGAGCTTTTACGATCGGGGATTAAGCCTGGGCTAGTTCTCTCCTACTCAGTGTTTCCCTTTTGGGGTGATGAGTGTGAAGGGAGATGGACCCCTCGAGTCTGAGATCCGGTTCGTGAGAGATTTTTCCAGACTTCCTTTGAATAATCTCCCTGTGCCCCTGAGCCGTGGCTGGTCAGAGTTTGTGTCCATCGCTGGGGGGACAGCCTTCTTGAAGCTTCTGAGTTTACAAACACACAGGCTGCACGAGGCTGAATAAGCTGGGAAAATACAGAGCTGGGAGTACATACAGCATTCCTGTACTTACTGATGATGGTTGGGAGAGAGAGTAGGGAGCAGTCTTGGTATAAGGTTTTGATAAGCGCTCTTTGGGCCATAAGTAAAACTTCATTGTCATGAATGGTCTAAGTAGCTAAGAGAATAATAAATTATAGTCCTTCTAGTTAAATCTGGTCAGACACATCAGAGAAGTCTTGGTGATGCTAGACTTCTAGATAATGACTTGTTGTGGTAGCTGGGGGTGGGCATACAAAAATAGAAGGGGCTGCTCTAGTTATCAGGGGTGAACTCGATTCTTCACATCAGTAACTTACTTTCAGCAAAATACTGGAAACTGAGTCCTGTCATTCCATAGCTTAAAAATTGCTTCATTTATCTGATCGCCTATATAGGTGATTTGTCTCAACAAATTAACTTTGATTCTTTTTTTGGTTTTGTTTATTTATTTATTTTGCTTTTTGGGTCATACCTGGTGATGCTCAGGGGTTACTCCTGGCTCTGCACTCAGGAATCATTCCCAGCAGTGCTTGGGAAACCATCTGGGATGCCGGGGATTGAACCCGGATTGACTACTTGCAGGGCAAATGCCCTACCCATTGTACTGTCACTCCCGAAACTTTGTTCTTTAAATTCATGGCCATGTTGAAAAAGCACAGAAAGAAATCTTGATTTCAGAGCTCAGGCCTTCCTCTGGGATCACTCCTGGCATGCTCGGGGCACATCTGAGATGTCAGGAATGAACCCAGGTCGGCCGTGTGGAAGGCAAGTGCCCTCCCCGCTGTGCTATCACTCAGCCCGTGTGTACTTTTGAGTTTCTGTTTTCCTATTCAGTGGCTCTATTGTTAGGTGACAGTATTGTTTAATCTACGTAAGAACTTGAACCTGAATATGTCAGTGATTGTTTCAAGTTGTGGTTGGCTCTGACGTGGACTGAGGGTTGATTACTCCTGCACAGCGAGAGCTGCCACAGGCTGTCCTGTGAGGCTGTGCATGGCTGACGGAGTGTGGACCAGTTTCGGGGAACTGTGATGTTGTTCCTGCCTGTGCACCCACCATCCTGCCAACTTAAATACGGATTTTGTTTTTGGACACACAATGTAAAACATTTCAATATTTTTTATTTTGAGGGAAGAAAACATACTAACTATAAAGTTGCCTTTTATGTAAAGTAGGCCAATAAACTTGTAATGCTAAAAATGACTAAATATTTTCTTTGGGAATCTATTGTGTCTTGAGAACAGGCACAGTTCAGCAATGTTGTGACGCCATCGATCACTTGAGTCGCATCATTGAAAAGAAGCATACTTCCTTAAACAAAGCAAAAAAGCGTCGCTGTCCCCGGTATGTAGTCCTGCTCTCTTTTCTATTTTTCTACATAAAATAAATGATCACTTAATAAATGAGAAGCTAGGAGGAATGTGTGGGATTAAAAAGGCTATTTTTCTAAACAAGTGTGGAAGTTGGAGGGGTACATTTTCCAGAGAAATTAAAAGTTTGAAGTTTGGAGTTGCTTGGTTTAAGACAGAAGCTTGATCTTAGGTGGGATGGTGGATCGTTTGAAAATCAGTTTTCTAACCAAGGCATTTATTTTCCTTGCTCTAGTTTTGAGTTCAGATGTAACTAGACTATCTTAAACTATTTGGAGTAAATGTCGTTTTGCAAAGAACTGACATCAAAATAGAATTTTGAGCAATACTCACATTCCTCAAAAGAGTAGAATTTTGACATATGAAATTGTAGAATTATGAAGGTTACATGAAAATTCAGATGAGACAGTGACCAGTGGCTTCTTCCAGGTGCGTCTCGTTCCCGTGTCGGGGAAAGGTGTGGTGTGTGAACGGGCGCTGTCTTCCTCTCTCTAGCTGCCTGGCTCCCAGGCTCGAGCAGGCTTCAGGGTCCCTGTAGGTCCAGTGAAGACAGCCTTCCTAGTCCTAGGCTCTCCCTCAGAGGCCCTGACTGACGCGAAGAATTTGTATTCCTCCCCAAATCATACCCTCCTGGAACCGCAGCTTAAGAAACATTGCTTTAGATCGTGAATCTCTTTGTTTCCGAGTGTATCAAAAAGGAAATAAAGTACCTGGTGCTGCTCTTTTACGAAAAGCTTTTTGGGCCGGTGGTCAGTGCGCTGCCTTTGCACGATGACCTTGCACACTGTTGACCTGGGTTTGATCCCCCAGCATCCCAAATGGTCCCCTGGCCCTACCAGGAGTGATCCCTGAGCACAGAGTCAGGAGTAAGTCCTGAGCATTACTGGGTGTGGCCTGAACTTTAAAAATAATTAAAGAAAATGTTTTACTTAGTTAAAAATAAGGACCTGAGAGTTAGGACGTGCCTTGTACTGGCCTTGGCAGTCCGTGTGCGGGATCAGGAGCTAGACCCTGCGCACCTGCAGGTGTGGCCGACCCTCTCCCACATAAGTCAGTAGCAAAAGTAAGGGACTGGAGAGAGATTTCAGGGGGCTTGGGCACCTGTGACGAATGTGGAGAGAACAGGAAGGGGCTGGAGGGATCCGAAGGCTGGAAGCACTCGCCTGTCCTGCTCGAGGTCCTTGGTGCCACAGGGCTCCCAAGCACTGCTGGGTGTCACCTGGGGACCCCTGCACCAGGGTCCCTCGGGACCCCAGCACTGCCCAGCCAGAGCAGCTCGCTGTGTCCCGAGCACCCTGGCACTGGTGGCCCTGGGCACCCCACACTGAAAGAAAGAGACAGGAAGGGCACTTAGGGCCTGCGTAAGCTCTGGTGTCCTGGTTCTGTTCTCATGGTGATACAGTGGAGCTAAATGGAGTGCTCTGGAATGATGTTTCTTAATGTGTTGGTGTGGCAAAGTCAAGTTCACAATTCCTGTGCTGACGGAGTGCTAAGTACTGGTGTGTGTTACTTACGACATGTTACCTCCACGTAGAGGATTTCCGCCTGGTGAACCGTTGTGCCTGTTGAATCTGGTCCGGTGGCTTTTGGCGCAGTGTGGGAGACCCCAGACAGAGTTCCGACACAAGTCCCTGGAACTCTTTTACAAGTTTGTGCCTTTGCTGCCAGGTATGCGATCTTTATTGTGGGTTGCTTTACCGGTGCTGACGCGGTAAAGCAGTAGAATGCAGTTTTCCGATTATTTAAATGAATGCAGCGAATCATGTGTTTGTGGGCTGAAGAGAGAGTATAGCAGACAAGCCTTGCACTCGGGCACCCGGGATCCATCCTCGGAACCCCATATGGTCCCCTGAGCTCCGCCAGGAGCAGAGCCAGGAGCAAGCCCTGAGCACTGCCGGGTGTGGCCCAAGCCCCCCAAGCAAAAAATGTTTCTAATAAATAAGATTTATACTTACAAAAGTGTTTTAATAAAGATTGTTTCAGGTCATCTGTGTAACAATACATGATTGCTGATAATTTGTATAACATTAGGAATGTACAACGTTTCAAAGATTGATAGAAGGAAATAAAAAATGCTGTTGATGTTGGGAAATGATCAGAAATTTCGAATTTCCCCGTATCTTCCTATGCTACATTTTCAGTTTTCTATTCAGTTAGAAAGCCGTAAAGAAGAGAGTTGTTATTTTCTGTTTATTAAAATGACATTCAGGGGCCGGACCCATAGTCCAGCGGGAAGGGCGTTTGCCTTGGTCTGCAGCACAAATACCGAGAGGTCGTCATGCTCGTCGTGCTTGTCCCTTGGCCTCCTTTCAGCGGGCAGTTTGGGGTGATCTGTTTGTTCCAGCTACCTTTGTCGTAACGGTCCCTTCTCTACTCGCGTTTCTCCTCGAAGGCAGCAAACCCCCTTCCTTATGGCTGAAAGATGTTCTGGAGAAGGAAGGCCTGTCGTTTCTCATCCACACATTTGAAGGGGGCGGCGGCGACCCGGAGCGGCCCTCCGGCATCCTGGCCCAGCCAACGCTGCTGGACTTGCAAGGGCCCTTCAGCCTCCGGGCGGTGCTGCAGTGGCTGGACATGCTCCTGGCCGCTCTTGAGTGCTACAATACCTTCGTGGAAGAGAAGACCCTGGACGTGGCTGAGTTTCTCGGTAGGTCACGCGTGCTCCCTGCGTCCCCTGTGTTCGGGTCTGGCGTCTGCCTGGAGGGGACGGGCAGGCTTTGCAGGTGGCGTCTCGGGATGGTGTCTCCAGTCAGCAGAAGATGCTGGATGTGAGGCCTCGGTGGGCGCACGCCCTCGGGCCAGCGTCGCCCAAAGCACCTGAGCTGCCCTCGTGTTCTTCTCACAGGTTCTTAGTGATGCCTTTATGAAATGACTGCTTGAGCTTTTCATCTAGTTCGCGACAGAAGTTTTTCCTGACAAAAGACTGTACGATCTTATTTCTGTCTTTATATGTTTATTTAGTTTACTTGGGCTGGAGCTATAGCACAGCAGGTAGGGCGTTTTGCTTTGCACGTGGCCGGCCTGGTCAAGCCAGGTTCGATTCCTTCGCCCCTCTCGGACAGCCCGGCAAGCTACCGAGAGTATCTCGCCTGCACGGCAAAGCCTGGCAAGCTGCCCGTGACATATTCGATATGCCAAACACATAACAACAAGTCTCACGATGGAGACGTTACTGGGCCCGCTCGAGCAAATCAATGAACAACGGGAGGACAATGATGATTGCTGGACAGTGATGATTAGTTTACTTGCCATAGCCCCAACTCCTCGTGCATTCTCCCACTGGTACGGTAGAGTGTTGTCTGCAGCGGGCAGGACGCAAGGTGGATGTTGCCCCTGTCCCTCGCCGGGAAGAAGTCAGGCAGGCTGAGAACAGGGCACTGCGTGTGAATACCACTGTCTTAGCCGTTCACCTGATGTTGGGCGTTTGGGTTCTTTCTAAGTCTTAGTAGTGCTGCAGTCAATTTAGGAGTGCATTAAGATGTGTGCACATTGCACACATCTGTCTTCATTGCAACACTTAGCTATAGCTAGGATGGGGAAGGGACCCGTTTGTCCAGTAAAGGGGATAAAGAAGTTGTGGCATCTGTGCATAGTAGCATACCACGCAGGTGTAAGAAAAGAAGGAATCTTGCAGTTTGCTGTAATTTGGATGGAACACAACCCAAAATTGCTGCCATCCTCCCCTCCCCCCGGCCAGATTCCATCTTCTCTGGATGGATCTCACTGAGATAATTATCTTGGGTGATAATAATAATTCAGGTGTGTGGGTTTTGTGCCTGAAATCTCCAGGCTTTCTGGCGTCAGGAAGAGCTCCCCCCCACCTCCCCATACCTCCGGAAGCCCTGGCAGTCACGTCCACACCCCAAAGCTACCACCCCGTTGAAAAAAGCTACTTCAGCCTTACCTTCCTGATGAAGATACTGAACGCCCTGAACAAACACGGTGACCTCTCAGCACCTATTATTGCAAATCATTATGCACAAAAGGAGAGAGAAAGAGAAGAAAGATACCTGCCACCGAGGCAGCTGGGGTGGGTGGGGAGGTGATGGGAGGGAACCTGGGGACCCTGGTGCTGGGAAATGTGCCCTGCTGGAGGGATGGGTGTTGGGACACTCTAGGACTGAAACCCAACCATGAACAGCTTGGTGAGGGTCTATCTCACGGTTATTCAAGTAGGAAAAAAAGGGTATTAGTGGAGAGTGTTGGGCACATTGGTGGTGGTGAGGTAACTACATGTGCAGTAATTGCACATGAGGACCGTAAACTTTTTTTTTCCCTTTATTTTTATTTATTTATTTATTTTTACAGTTGTAGATTTACAATTTTTTGTGCTTGGGTTTCGATTATACAATGATCAGATACCCATCCCTCCACCAGTGCCCATTTTCCACCACCATGGATAATATCCCCCCACCCCCATCTCCCCATCCCCCCCGTCTCTGTGGCAGGGCAATCCCCTGTGTTCTCTCTCTCCTTTTGGGTGTTGTGGTCTGCAAAAGAGGCATTGAGTGGCAAACATGTTCAGTCCATAGTCTACTTTCGACATGCATCTCCCCTCCTGGGAGGATCCTCCAAACACCCTTTATTTGGTGTTCCCTTCTATATCTGAGCTGCCCTTTCCTCTAGAATGCCCGGCTGGCCTCTAAGTTATGGAGTAATCCTCCTGGTGCTGATCTCAGCTATTCTTGGGTATTAATCTCATACTTTGTTACTTTATATCCCCCAGATGAATGCAATCTTTCTATGTCTATCCCTCTCTTTCTGACTCATTTCGCTTAGCATGATACTTTCCATATTGTACCACTTGTATGTAAATTTCATGACTTCATCTTTTCTAACAGCTACATAGACTCCATTGTGTAGATGTACCAAAGTTTCTTTAACCAGTCATCTGTTCTTGGGCATTCAGGTTTCTTCCAGTTTCTGGCTATTGTAAAGAGTGCTGCAATGAACAAACAAGTGCAGATGTCACTTCGACTATACATTTTTGCCTCTCTGGGATATATTCCCAGGAGTGGTATTGCTGGGTCAAATGGGAGCTCAATTTCTAATTTTTGGAGAATCGTCCATACTGTTTTCCAGAAGGGCTGAACCAGTGGACATTCCCACCAACAGTGAAGGAGTGTCCCTTTCTCGCCACATCCACGCCAGCATCGGTTGCTTTTGTTCTTTTGAATGTGGGCCAGTCTCTGAGGTGTGAGATGGTATCTCATTGTGGTTTTGATCTGCATCTCCCTGATGATTAATGATGTAGAGCATTTTCTCATGTGCTTTTTTGCCATTCGGATTTCTTCTTTGAGAAAGTTTCTGTTCATTTCATTGCCCCATTTTTGGATGGGGTTGGATGTTTTCTTCTTGTGGAGTTTAACCAGTATTTTGTATATCCTGGATATCAACCCCTTGTCAGATGTGTATTCGGTGAATATCCTTTCCCATTCTGTAGACTGTCTTTGTATTTTGGGAGGACCGTAAACTTTAATACAGTATTATAAACACGTTCCTTTACAATAAAAATGAATATAATACTAATCTCTGTTTCTGTAAATAGCGCTTAATAATTAAAGCCTATCACCCACACATGTGTGCCGAGACTACAGGGCGTTCCCTTCGGGTGGTATTAATTTTGAAATTTTGAAGTAAGAAATAACTGCTATATTTTTCCAGTTTTTTTAACCTTTATTGGGGAAAACTCTGAATTTTGACTGGAGTGTATCGTGCCTAGACTGAAGCAAGGGATTCCTCGCACAGCGGTAGGGCGTTTGCCGTGCACGCAGCCAACACGGCCGACCCGAGTTCGATTCCTCCGCCCCTCTCGGAGAGCCCGGCAAGCTACCGAGAGTATTCGATATGACAGACACAGTAACAACAAAGTCTCCAATGGAGACGTTACTGGGCCCGCTCGAGCAAATCGATGATCAACGGGAGGGCCTTTACCTTCTACCTATCCACATGAGTGGGGTTGGGGGAAGCAGGTCTCAGTCCCCTCCTCTTCCTGTAGGTGCTGCGGCACAGTCTTCCCTCTGGAGAGCCGTGGCCTTCTTTCTAGAGAGCATCGCTCTGCACGATGTGGCGGCCGCCGAGAAGTGCTTTGGCTCGGGGGCGACGGGGGGCAGTTTCAGCCCTCAGGAAGGAGAACGGTACAATTACAGCAAATGCACGGTGGCCGTGCGCCTCATGGAGTTCGTCACCACGCTGCTCGGCGCCTCTCCGGAGCGTCTCACGGTACGTCATGCTGGCCAGACACGGGGACGGAGCTGTGGGGAGCGCTTTGACCTTACAACTCTCCATCGCTGTAAAAAACAGTGAAAAAAAAAAAAACAAGAAGCATGGGCTGTATTTCTCTGGTGTGGACAAAATATAAAATGGTTTTCCCCAGTGTTTTGCTAAGTGTTGCCTTTTATGTTACGCCTAAGCATCTATTTTAGACAGGAAGCATTAGTGAATGCTCTGACTCTAGCTCTGCAGTGCCAGCCGGCCCACCCAGTTAACAGGCTGAGCACTGGGTGTCAGCCAGGCCCTTTCCTGGGGATCAGCATTGTCCTTGCCAGGGCTGATCCCAGAAAGATCATGGCGTTCTTTCCTGCTGCCTGCTAGAGCTTTCATTAGAGCCGTGGATACCTGCTTGCTTGTGTGCATGGGTGTGGGTGTGGGTGTGGGTGTGGTTATGTGTTTGTTGGTGGTGGGAGACCCTTCCTCACTGGCACAGTAGTTATGTTGTCGCAGCAGCACCGTGTGACCATCCAGATCTAAGTATTTTATTGTCCAACACTTTACAGAGGAAGGTGCCAATCCCTGCCTTGGTCAGGCAAAAGTTGCCAACTCCTGGACTCTAGTGAGAGTCTAAACGCGGGCGAATAACTGTGTTTTCATTGAAATCACGTCCCGTAGCTCCTGGAGAAGGACGTGGGTAGTGGAAGCCTCATGACGCTCTTGGTGGAGACCGTGTGTGAGCCCTCGAGCGTAGGCTTCAACGTGGCCGACGTCCTCATCATGAAGCATCTTCCCACTGTGTGTGTGAGCCTGATGGCGGCGCTGAAGAAGTCCCCCTACAGAGACACCCTCGAGAGGCACCTCAGGGAGAGAATCAGCGCCCAGAGGTGGGTCTGCCAATGACGTCCAGCCCTTAGTGGCCTCCAGGCTCTCGCCCGCTCTGTGTCCGGCATCTGCCTGTGGGCTTTCTGCCGGCCCATGGAACCTTCAAGCAAAGGTTCTCATTGGGGCTGGGGTGATAGTACGGCGGGGAGGGCGTCTTCCTTGCACACGATGGACCTGGGTTTGATCCCTGGCATCCCATAGGGTCCCCTGAGCACTGCCAGGAGTAAGTCCTGCGTGTTGAGCCAGAAGTAACCCCCGAGCATTGCCAGGTGTGACCGAAAAAACAAAAAATCTCGTCAGTGGGTGTTTGGTACTGCGGGCCAGTTGTTCGGATCTTCTCATCACAGGTCCCTTCCAGCACCTGCTGGGAGCTAGCCCGGGCTGGCCAGCCCCAGGCTGAGTCCCCGTTTTCCGTTTGTGGGTATACGTGAGGGCGCTCTCTGCTGTTGGCCCGTGTCTGTTCTCCCGGGTCACAGGGGTCCAGAACGCTCTCGCGTTTTCCCGGTTCTCACCTGCTTTCTCTGTTTCTCTCCTGTGACAGCATCGAGGAGCTCTGTGCTGCGGACTTGCGTGGCCCCAGCGTCTCCAGGGCCAGGGCCAGGCTGACGTCCATCGTGGCGGCGTGCAGGCAGCTTCAGAGGGCTGGGCTTCTGCACGCGATCCTGCCGTCTCAGGTAAGCACAGGCGGTTTGCTTGCTCAGCTTTTCTCTGCTGGGAAACCACTGAGCTTTAGTCGGTTTGTTTCTTGGGCCGCAGCCAGCAGTGCTCAGGGCACACTCCTGACTCTGCTCAGAAAGCATTCTTGGCAGGGCTCAGAGGACCAGCCCCGAGGACCCAGCCCTGGTCAGTCACATGCACGGCAAGTCCCTGCCTTCCCGACCGTTCCTCTGGCCCTTCTAACCTTTCTTAAACATTCAGTATGTAGTGGATATGAGCGTGTCCCGAAATGCGACTTACAGAAATACTCCAGAAAAAGGAGGTGTCACCTAAATGATGAAAAGAAATATGAAGGCGAACATTCGTCTGTCGATATAAAGTGAAAATAAAGGACATTTGAAAGTTTTCGTCAGTCTTAAGAAGAACTTTAGAGACCAACTTTTTTTTAATTGAATCACCGTGAGATACAGTTACAAAACTTGATGTTTGAGTTTCAGTCATCCAATGATCGAGTGCCCATCCCTCCACCAGTGTGTGTTTTCCACCACCAATGTCCCAAGTATCCCTAGTTTAACGCCCCCCCCCACACACCTCTCCAACCCTCCCCCTGCCTCTTTGGCAGACAATTTAGGGACCAACTCTTAAAGCATTCTCGTAGCTTGACATCAGAAGTGAAAATAAAGCATGGGCAGCAGAGAGGCGCTGGAGAGAGAGTCCAGCGTAAGACTCATGCTCGGCTTCCGTCTCTGTCACCACACGGTCCCCTGAGCATCAGCAGGGGCATTCTGAGCACGAAGCCTGGAATAGCCCCTGAGCACCAAGGTAGCCCACCCCCAGTCTCTCAAAGCAGTGAACGTTTCCCTGGTAATCAGAAGGGAGTTGTCATTAACAGGGATTTTCTGAAAGATTAATGAGAAGTAGGAACTTGTGTGTTACTGTGTAGCATCTCATTGCTTGATATTTCAGCATTGACTTTATTTTAGTCTACAGACGAGCATCATTCAATTGGCACAAAACTCCTCTTCCTGGTGTATAAAAGCATCGCACCTGCAGATGAAGGACAGTCTCTGTCTTTGCTGGACCCCAGCTGTAAACGCCTAGCCAGTGGACTTCTGGAGTTGGCCTTCGCTTTTGGAAGAGTGGTAGGAAAAATAAAGTCGTGCTGTTCTTTCCTAATGCTATCAATATGAAGCTGAGAATGTGCAGTATGCCTCTAAATCAGGGACATAGTAGGCTTCTTAGCCGCTCGACTATTGTACTTGCATGAACTAGCTTCAGAGACTCCTTAAAAAAAATTTAAATGAAAGTAATAGGTCACAGTATTCTTAAATTGAGATTTTTGTCTGTCCCACTTTATTTCAGGACGAGTTCAGCATTTTTGAAGCTAGAGTGAACTATTTCGGCCGTGTCCTCTTTTTACCCTAGCTTCTCAGTCCTAGCTTTTTAAAATTTTTGGTGTTTGGTTTTTGGGCCACCTGGCAATGCTCAGGTCTCCCTCCTGGCCCTGCACGCAGGAATCACTCCTGCCCGGCTCAGGGGGCCTTATGGGGTGCCAGACACCTGATGTCGGTCAGCCTCGTGCCAGGCAGATGCCCTTTCTGCTGTATGTTGCTCTGGCCCATGACCCTGACTTCTTCAGCTGTGGGTTGCAACCCCATTTTGGGGTCGTGAAACTTTTGAAAACTTTGTTTCTTAATGGGCTTACTTTGATTTATTTTCAGCAAGTGTTTGATATTTGTGTTTATATATCCAGTTGCACCCAAGGTCATGTAGGATTTTCTCAGGTGAAAGAGCTGAAAGTGGAAGAAGTTTAAGAAGTCCTGCACCAGATACCAATTTTGGGACAGCCCAGGAAGATCATTCCAGGTCCATGACAAAAAATGTCTTTATGACTGTTTAAACCATGCAAGGATGGCCTCAGCCCCTGTCGTGACTTAAATTCTGCAGCCAGGCCTGTGGGTTCACTCGGTCACACGCTCCTTCTCTTCTCTGAGGCAAACGCCTTTCCTTTGCTCCTCAGTGCATTTGTTTTTTAAATTTTTGGTTTTTTTTTTTTTTTCTTTTTGGGTCACACCTGTTGATTGATGCACAGGGGTTACTCCTGGCTCTGCACTCAGGAATTACTCTTGGCAGTGCTTGGGGGGACCATATGGGATGTTGGGAATCGAACCCAGGTTGGCTGCGTGCAAGGCAAACGCTCTGCCTGCTGTGCTGTCACTCCAGCCCCTCCTATGTGCATTTAATAGGAACAGATTACAACCTGAATTGTCAGAAATTACTCAGCCTTTCAGACAGTTGGTTTTCATCTGTAGGTTTTCTGGGAAGTGAATGTCAGTGAAGATTGCTTCACCTGCGAGCGGGTCCTCTAACACCTGGTCTGTTTTCAGACCTTTCAAAGTGACGAGCCGGTCGGTCGCCTCTGGAGCCTGCCGGCTGCATTACCCTTCTCCTTTCTGCCTCCCAGACTGAGCACCTTGTGACTCTTCTCCTGGCCCGTACCATGTTGTCCCTGCCAGCCTCGGGAGGCCTGCAGAGAAGCGCCGTCACCTTCCCCCACGGAGAGTATTTTTATAGCTTGTTCTCAGAAATCATTAATGCTGAACTGTTGAAAAATGTCGATAATGCTGTGTTGGAGCTCATGAAGTCCTCGGAGGCTAATCCCAAAATGGTAATGACCTTTTCTTTTCCGTTGTTATTTTCTGTCCTTTTTGTGTTGCCGGTGGGGGTCCTTCCCTGTGGTTCTTGGGGGGTTTTGGGGCCGGGCAGTGCCTGAGGACGTAGCTCGGGGCCTGGCACCTCCAGGCAGGTGTCGACCCCAGAGCCGTTATTTCCGGCCTCCAGTCGGTATTTTCTCACGATGCTTGTATAGGTATTGCCATGTTTCTGAAATGGATTCGTTGATCGCTAAAACAATTTTTTTTTCACATTGCTTGTTCCCGCTAAATGACTCACGGAATGATCAAAAAAATACCTTAGGAAAAGAAAATTGGTGCAAATTGTTGCATCTCACCACGGGAACATTTTTAAGTCCTTGTCTGAGGGGTTACCGAGCTCTTGCTCTGAGGGAAGCCTCTGAGTTAGTGAGCGTCACCGGCTTCTGCTCCACTCCCATCCAGTCTGGTGCGCTCCTTCTGGGATGTGAGTATCGTAGAGTTCGGAGATGTCACGTGGCCGTGCACTCCAGAAATCTAGAATATTTGAGCGGGCAGCCCAGCAAGAGGCCCGGTGGCAGCTCTTGGTCAGTGGGCGCAGCTGCTGGGGCTTCGGTAGGGCCGGCACTCGTGCCATGATTGCCTGAAGGTCTCGGCTGGGACTGGACGTGGCAGTTGATCTCTTTGGAGATTTCATTCTGCATCTCTGGGGCAGGGCTGTAGATGAGCTTTCAGGCCGAGGTGATGGGATGTGCGTCAGGCGGGCGCTGTGGCTTCTGAAAGGACGGGAAACGGTGGGGCGGGGTGGGCGTGGCCCCCCAACTCTGGGAGGGGCTGGCATTCCAGCCCGAAGAGCCTGGTGTACCTGACGTGTTCCGCAGGCTAGCACCCTCGGACCTCAGTCGCGAGGTGGTGGAGTCTGGCGGGAGGTGAGGCGGCTGCTCTTGGGGCGAACGTGGCGGGAACTTGCCCTGCTCCCGTGGTTTGGGGGATTCTAATGATGAGTTAGGTTAAGCGTGTGCTTAGCAGCAAAGAAAACAAATTCCAGGGAGAACAGAATATTGTATAAGAAAAATTGGGCATGGGCTGGAGAGAGAGCACAGCGGGTAGGGCGTTTGCCTTGCACGCGGCCAACCCGGGCTTGATTCCCAGCATCCCATAGGGTCCCCTGAGCACCGCCAGGAGTAACTCCTGAGTGCAGAGCCAGGAGTGACCCCTGTGCATCGCCAGGTGTAACCCAAAAAGCAAAAAAAAAAAAAAAAAAAAAAAAAATTGGGCAGAAAATTACTTAGATTATCCTGTGAAAAAAATATTTTTGATGTCATGGTAACAGGAATTGTGTGTGTGTGGGAATATGAATGTTTCTGTGTGTACATGTGGGGATAGAACAGAGATGAGTTTTCTTCTTATAATAAAGAATGATAGTAGGATGAGTATGAAGTATTTTCACACAAATGAAAATACTAAAGTTCTTTTAGTATCAATGTTCTTAACTACACAAGTCTATAGTAAAAATTTAAGAAATTGTGAAGTATGTAACGATTTCAGAGTAGCCTTTTATCTTCCAAGAGTAACTAGAATTGGAGGTAAAGTTGGCTGCATATTCTCAGTTGTTGAACCCACCTGCTTAGGTGAGCACTGTTCTGAACGGCCTCCTAGACCAGAGCTTCAGGGACCGCGCCACTCAGAAACACCAGGGGCTGAAGCTCGCCTCGACGATCCTGCAGAACTGGAGGAGGTGCGACTCGTGGTGGGGCCAGGACTCGACTCCGGAGAGCAAAGCAGCGGTGCTGACACTGTTGGCAAAGATCTTGCAGGTATTTTGAGCGGCTTTGAAATGGTGTCAGAATTTAAAAAAAATTAAAAATAAATGAATAAGATAAAATGAAATATAAGTATGAAATCTAAGTATAAGTAAAATGAAGTGTAAGTTTCTCGTGCATGCGGCAGCTCTGGGGGCAATTTCCAGCACTGGGAAAAAATAATTAAAAATGTAGTCATCTTTGTTGTTTCGTATTCTATAACTTGTATTTTTGTTTTTTTGAGTCTTTTTTGGGTTACGCCCAGCAATGCTCAGGGGTAATTCCTGGCACTCAGGAATTACTCTTGGCAGTGCTCAGTATGGGATGCTGGGAATCGAACCCGGGTCGGCCGTGTGCAAGGCCAACGCCCTCCCCGCTGTGCTATCGCTCTGGCCCCTGTAACTTGTATTTTTAAACATTTTATAATGGCTGCTTTTGGGTGATGCTTGGAATCAAATCTGGGGCTCCCACATGTAAGGTAAATGTTCCAGCCCTTCCAATCATCTCGCTGGTTCTGATAGAGATTTCCTGAAAGTGTATTGGCTTACTATATAGAAAAAAAATCTGATTGGATAAATTTCTGGTTCCCTTTCATTGTATGCTAGTCCTGTTATTTTTCTCCATTATCATTTTTATCTCATACACTTCATTTTTCATTTATAATTTCTTTACAGTATACTTTTGAGGGATCTAGATGACTGCAGTGCTTGGCCCAGCACTGTGTGTGTGTATAATATATGTAATTTATAATTATATATAAAAACTTTTTTCTATAATTTTAGTTTTTAGACCCCATCTGGTGCTGCTCGGAGCCTAGTCCTGGCTCTGTTCTCTGGGATCACACTGCATTGCTTTAGGAACTCGGTGGGTGCAGGGGATTGAATGCAGGCCTGCCACATTCCAGGCAAGGACCTTAACTGCACTATCTTTCAGACCCTTCTTATTCTTTGTTTTATATTATCTTTTTGTGTGTGTGTAAAGATACATTGTCTTATTAGAGAATTTTATAATATCCAGCACAAGATTTTTGGAATACCGTTGAAGCCCAAGAACTTATCTATACTTCTGATATTAAAAAATGTACAGAATGTTTTAAGGAGAGTTGGAGGTATAATACAGAAAAGTTTCATTTTTTATTTCTTCTTCTTTAGATTGATTCCTCTGTGTCTTTTAATGCAAATCATAGTACGTTCCTTGAAGTTTTTACAACATATGCTAATATACTTGTTGATCCCAAACTGGGTTTACATTTAAAGGTAAGAGATTATAAAGGTTTATTTTCAAATAATATTCTCCATCATTTTACATTTTATATCTTTGCATTTTTGTGATTTTTTAAATTTAATTTTATTTTTCAGAAAATAGAAAAGTTTATTTAAAAGTAGAAGAGAAACTCCCCAACCAGGGAGGAGCTTAGTGCAGGACGAAGTAATTTTTTATTTTTTGTTATGGAACATTCCAAACATACTGAAGTAGGAAGGACTAGCACAGTAACTTCCCCTGTCCCTGTCACCAGCCTTAATAGCCGTGTCATTATCCAGCCACTCACTCCCGTCACCTCGAAGGAGTCCCCAGGTGTCCAGTTACCTGCCGTGTAGATGCTTCAGTTTATCTTTACAGAAGAAAAGTCTCGGAGCAGGGAGGGGTCAGAGGGCTGGAGTGCATCCCTGGCGTGAGCTGGGCCCATCTTCTTCCCGGGCCACTCCACCTGCAGCACCACCAGGTGGGCTCTGAGGCCTCTTAAGCCTCTTGGTACAAACAGCACCAGACTAGCAGCCTGGAGCACTAAAGCGAGCAGGCCAGGTACATACACCGAGCATCACTGGGAGAGGCACCTGGAGTTCCAGAGCCCTCCTCAGAGGCCCACTCTGCAAATACAGCAGGAAAGGCCAATCCAGTGAGATCGCCATGCTTAGACGAACCTTCATTTGTCTTCGTGTGGGGAAAGTTTAAGTTGCAGTTTTCTCTCTTTCTTTTGTTTTCTTTGTTTCTAGGCCAAGCTCATGGTGCTTAGAACTTACGCTGTGTTCAGGGGCCATACCGAGCATGGAGTTAGTCCTGAGCACCACCAGTTATGGAAAAACAAGCAAACCCCCCCCCCAAAAAAAAGTCTTTTCTGTATCAAACTAATTAGTATATTTCTACTGGTATCTTATTTAATTTGTAGAAAAGGAAAGGACATACAGAATCATTAGAGTTTCTCATTCATTTACCTGTTTATAGGAGCAAGTCAGCCCACTGACCTTTATTTTATATTCACTTATTTATTTTTCTTTTTGGATCACACCTGGTGATGCACAGGAATTACTCCTGGTGGTGCTTGGGGGACCATATGGGATGCTGGGAATCAAACCCCGATTGGCTGTGTGCAAGGCAAATGCCCTACCCGCTCTGCTATCGCTCCAGCCCCCTGACCTTTATTTTTTCATCAGTTAATTTTTGTTTGTTTGCTTTGGGGCCTCACCCGGTGGTGCTCAGAGCTTACTCCTGGCTCTGTACTCAGGGATCACTCCTGGCAGTCCTGGGGATCCAGATGGGGTGCAGGGACTGAATTTGGGTCTGCTGTGTGCAAGGCCGGCGTCCTACTCTGTCCTGTCCGTCTTAGAGGCTGAATTATTCTGAAGTCATTCATCAGATTCACGCAGATCCTGATCTGCAAAATCTTCGGAAGCCAGTCATTTTGATTTAATCTCTATTGTCTGTATGATATGGGTGTCATTTTGTACGTGCGTTTGTTCTGCAGGGTCAGGCTGTAATCCTTCTTCCGTTCTTCACCAATCTCACTGGGAGCAGTCTGGAGGATCTGAGGCAAGTGCTTGAAAAGTTCATTGTTTCTAATTTCCCAATGAAGTCTGAAGAATTTCCCCCTGGAACTCTGCAGTACAACAGTTATGTGGACTGCATGAAGAAGGTTAGTGGGGCTTATGTTTTTTTGCTTGGTTGTTGTTTGGCAGTAGCAGGAATTAAACCTACCACCTGGAGGCCACTGCGCCACCCCGGCCCTAGGAAGGTTGGTCCTTATGGGGAGTGTTTGAGATTTAAGCGAGCTGCTTCCCTGTTGCTTTCTTTTTTTAAAATTTTTAAAAAATTGAATAGCCACACCCACACGCACTTTCTCTCTTTCTGCCTTGACTGCACTGTGTGCCTGAGCCAGGCCCATCCCAGACCGAGTCACAGTGAGTCCCCACATCCCCAGAGTTAGCACGCAGCTGCTCTTGGAAGGCACCTGGCAGTCACGTTAGGACCCAGAAGAACAGCGCCAGCCACAGCATTGGGCATTGGTACACAGAGACCAGCTGAAAGTATCGTTCAGATTTTCTGTTTTCATGTAAGCTATTAATAATGAAACACGGAAAATGAGAATATCAGCAGCAGTATGATTATCATTTTTTCCCCTTAGTTTCTGGATGCACTGGAGTTATCCGAAAGCCCCATGTTGCTGCAGCTGATGACAGACGTCCTTTGTCGCGAACAGCAGCATGTTATGGAAGAGCTGTTTCAGTCCACTTTCAAAAAGGTTATGAGAAAGTGAGTCATTCAGATTGGAGAACTCGATACGTTTTCTTTATGTGATAAGTGTCTTTTGTTTTAAAATAATTGACAGTTGCACTCAGCTCTGAACTAAATTTTAGTTATCTTTGAAAATTAAAAAAAATCTTTATTATGAAAATCATACTTAAAGTTAGGACTGTAGATGAAACCTTACATGGAGTGCGCCTCAACATTTTCTCAGCTGCATCAACTCGTCGGTCTTTGTTTGCTTTTGCTGTTAGTTATAATTTCAGCAAATGTGTGACCTGTATCATTTCATGTCTGAATGTATCTATCTCTGAAATACGCTGTGCTTTTGTAGCTATGATATTATCCTCAGTAATTACTGTTTCAGATTTCTCCAGGAGACTAAAATGTTGTAGGCTGCTAGAATAGTTTATGACAATTATGACATAGTGATGACAATTACGATGTTGTATCGCTCTGGCCCAACTCTCATTTATTTTTTCAAAGAGTCAGCTTATGGTTTGATTGAATCTTTTGGATTTTTACTTTATTCAGTTCATTGACTTCTGCTATATTTTGTTTTGATACGGATTTGGGGGCATACCTGACAGTGCTCAGGGATCACTCCTGGCTGTACAGTCAGGACTTAGCTCCTGGTGGTGCTCGGGGACCATCTGGGATGCTGGGGGTTGAGTCTGGGTCGGCCGCTTGAAAGTGCCTTTCTGTTGTCTTTCTCGCACCCTGCCCTCTGCCCCCAAATTTTATTATTTTCTTCCTTCTGCCTGCTTTGGGCTCCTTGTGTTAGTTATTTTACCATTTCTGAACTGTGCGGCCGAGTTCCTCCTGGGGGCCCTTCCCTCCTTCGTGATGAGTGCTTGCAAGGCAGAAAGCTTTCCTCCTGAGGCCTCTGTGATGTCTCCCACGGGCTCCTGGTAACGAGCCCGTGTCCTCGTTTTCGTGCGTTTCCAGGAATCTTCTGATTCCCACTTGGATTTACTCTCTGACCCCACTGGTTTTTCAGTAGGGGGCGGTTCAACTTCCAGGTGTTTGAGTCATTTCTCCACTTCCGTTTGTGGTTAAAGTCTGTTGACAGTGCCTCATGGTCTGGGAAGACAGTTGATACTTTTTCTATCTCCTTGATTTTATTGTGATATGTTTTGTGTCCCAGCATTTGGTCGGTCTTGGCGAATGTCACAGGTGTATTGAAGAAGAAGGAGAAGAATGTGTGTGCCACTTTCCAGGAATGAGAAGAAGTGTGTGTGTGTGTGTGTGTGTGTGTGTGTGTGTGTGTGTGTGTTAAACCCCTATCTTTGTTTCTATCTTCAAACTCAGTATTTCTTGTGTATGTGTGTATGTGTGTGTGTGTATGTTAAATCCCTTTCTTCCTTCAAAGCCAGTATTTTGTGTGTGTGTGTGTGTGTTAAACCCCTATCTTCCATTTCTTCCTTCAAAGCCAGTATTTTGTGTGTGTGTGTGTGTGTGTGTGTGTGTTAAACCCCTATCTTCCATTTCTTCCTTCAAAGTCAGTATTTCCAGTGTGTGTGTGTGTGTTAAACCCCTATCTTCCATTTCTTCCTTCAAAGTCAGTATTTCCTGTGTGTGTGTGTGTGTGTGTGTGTGTGTGTGTGTATGTGTGAAACCCCTATCTTCCATTTTTTCCTTCAAAGTCAGTATTTCCTGTGTGTGTGTGTGTGTGTGTGTGTGTGTTAAATCTCTGTCTTCTGTTTCTTCCTTCAAAGCCAGTATTTTGTGTGTGTGTGTTAAACCCCTGTCTTCCATTTCTTCCTTCAAAGCCAGTAGTGTGTGTGTGTGTGTGTGTGTGTGTGTGTGTGTGTGTGTGTGTGTTAAACCCCTGTCTTCCATTTCTTCCTTCAAAGTCAGTATTTCCTTGCTGACTTTAATCTGGTTGTTGTATTAAGGTAATAGAGTAGAGTTGAAGTCTCCACCTACCATTGTGTTGCTATCTGTGTCCTCCTTGAAATTCGTAGCAGTCTTTCTAAATATTTTGCTGGTCTCTCATTAGTCCCAAGTTGTTGGGGTCTGGCCAGAGGCACAGCGGCAATTTGGGATATCAGGAAGCCTAAAGGCACCATCAGGCTGCTGGTGCACTCGCCCGTGGGTACAGGTCGACCAGCTGGGCGGCACTGTGCCCCCATCTCTCACCTTTTTGTTTTAATGACTGCATGGAGCCTAGGGCTACACCAGCAGACCTGGGGCCAACAGGGCCACTCGGGGTCCTTGGAGGCACTGCAGTGCCAGGGATCGAACTCCGAGCAGGGCAGGTGCTAAATATGAGCTATCCCATATCTGCTGTGTTTTAATCACTTCTTTTTAACTTTCTGACTCAAAAATTATTTAGGTCTTACCTTGATCTGGAATTGACACTTATTGAAAGAACCCAGGGCCTTTGGTTTGCTTATCCTTTTTTGTTTCCTGTTCTTCCAGGGTGTGGGTTGTTTTGCAGTAGGGTTACACCCAGCATGTCCCTGGGCCATCTGGGCAGTCCAGGTGTGTGTGCCAGCCTCTCAGGCCATCTACAGCCCCTTTATTCTTGCTGGTGGTGGGGCCGTTCCCCGTGTTTCTCAGAGGGCATTAGGCCACTCCCAAGTGGCGTTGAGGGGTGTCGTGGTGCTGAGGTTCAAAGTAGGGACTCTGTCGTGTGAGTTATGTGCTCTGCCACTCGAACCAGAGTCTGGCTCCTCAATAAGCTTACTCTACTGGCTTGTGTTGATAGTCCATCCTTTCACTCGACTCACAAGAATATAGATTTGTTTCCCTCAAAAAAAAAAATACTAGAATACTGGTAAATTCTCTTTTAAACTTAATATCATAGGGTTTCTGCTTTAAACGTGTTTTTCCCTTCACATCATCTTTTCCGCCTTTGACAGAGTTGTTGACAGTAACAGTCCATCCTTACTGGGACCAGAGAGGGTTCAGCCAGCAGACCATAAGAGAGACTTTACGTTCAGGAGGCCCAGGCTCTCTCCTCCAACTGAGCACTGAACTGGGAGTAGCCCTCTGAATACAGCCAGCTGCAGCCCCTCACCCCCCCCGAAACTACCTGATCACTTGCTTTGTCCCTTGATATGCGTGAAATGCATTAAAAATCAGTACTATTCCTAATGAAAATGACAACAGTTGGATGAAGTTCACATTTTTTGAGTTACAGTTTAGAATACTCTCTGAGGATATGGTCAATTTTGTGTTTCAAAATCAATAGAGGTTTTTCAAAGTGTGAGTATTACTCAATGCTCATTTAATCAGATTTTGTAAATCATATTTGACATTTCTTTCGGAGTAAGTAAAACACTTCCATCATTCAGAAGCATGAAATCCCCCTGGCGACGAACAGGAGTCTTGCCCTGTCCGCTCTCTGCTTCTCTCTCCTCCTCCCTCCTTGAAATCTGTCACGTCTGCCACAGTTTATCGTTAGCGGTTACTTGGTTTTGGTTTTGGTCTACAGGAGGTTTGTTTGTTTGTTTGTTTGTTTTTTGGTTTTGGGTCTAGCTGGCTGTGTCCAGGGCTTACTCCCGGTGGGTCTCGGGACCAGGAGCGGGGCCAGCAGTCAGATTTGAGCAGCAGCACACGGGGCCGGGGTTTTACTCACTAGATGGTCTCTCCAGCCCCATTTTATTTTATTTTTTGAAGGGGAGGCCTCCGTAGTAGTGCCCGGGACCTTTGGGGACCCCCCTCCCGGAGATTCTCTGCCAACTCTGATGGCAGTTCAGTGTGAGGGCCAGAGTGTGGGGTGCTGAAAAGCTCCCAGGACTGCGCCCAGCGACGCTTGGAGATCATGTGCTGGGGATCTAACTGTGGTCGGCCGGGCGGCGGGCACAACTGCGTTCAGCACTCACTGCAGCCCCTTGTTCCTAGTTTTATTTATTTATTTTTGCTTTTTGGGTCACACCTGGCGATGCACAGGGGTTACTCCTGGCTCTGTACTCAGGGATTACTCCTGGCGGTGCTCAGGGGATCATATGGAATGCTGGGAATTGAACCCAGGTCAGCCATGTGCAAGGCAAATGCCCTACCCCATGTGCTATCGCTCCAGCCCCCGTTCCTAGTTTTAGATCAACTGTAATTCATTGTAGTTAAGTATCATGGTATTTGGAAGCATCCCCTGCTCACTGGTTTGGGTTCAGTTTCTTGCTACTGAACACTTGAATAGTCAGTGGACACTTTGAATAGTCCAGTGTTAATATAATTTTCAGCGTATCTCTGGAGTGAAAACTTAGGTCAAAAGGTCCGTGTGCCTGTAGTTTCCTGGACTTCACTGAATCCCTGCTTTGGGCGTCGTGCATGGCATTCTCTCCCCTAGTGTAGGAGATTATCTTTTCATCATGTTTACCAATAAGAGTATGTCGTCAGACACTGGAGTATTTTCCAGCGGAAGGGTGATAACAGTCCCAGTCCTTCATTTTCTTTTATTATGAAGTAGAGCATACGTTCCTATGTTTAATATTCTTTGCATCTACCTGTCAGCTACCATCTGTGTGTCTGGTGTTTAAACTGCTTTTGCTCCCCTTGGCCGCTCCTTTCAGCTTTCTGTAGAGTAGCTGAATGTCTCAGGGTTGGAACCCATATGCATGTTATTATGTTCAGCAGCATCAACTTCTTAAGAAAATTTTAATCCAAAGCAGCAGCACCGAGATGAATGTTGCAAAATATCTTCCTTAAATCTAAAGATGTTAAGATATAATTACCTTCTGAATCTCCTGTTTTTGCCTTGGTTCAGATCTAAGTTCAGATTATTGGGATTTTAGAACCGGAGGCATTCCCACCCACCCACCCCTCACTTTGGGCCACGCCTGGCTTTGTGCTTAGGGTCACTCCTGGTGGGCTCAGAGTCCATATTGGGGTGCGAGAGATTGAACTTGGATCGAACATGTGCAAGGCAGGTGCCTTGCCTATGATACTATTTCTCTGGACCTAGAACCGAAAGGATTTTAATGATTATATTTAGTCCAAACTTCTCATTTGTTGTAGATGAGAAAGGTAACTATGTACTTTTAAAAAATTATTTATTTTTTTTTATTGAGTCACTGTTGAGGTACACAGTAATAAAGCTGTTAATGATCAGATTTCAGTTGTACAATGATTGTCTGCCTGCCTGCCTGCCTGCCTGCCTGTCTCTGTCTCTGTCTCTGTCACTCTCTCTCTCTCTCTCTCTCTCTCTCCCCCCCTTTGGGAATTATGATTTGTAATAAAGATACTGAAAAGTTATCATGTTTGTTCCTTTATTTCCTTTCAGCACGCAGTTCTTGTCCAGAGTGATCATTCCCAGCTGTCTTTGTCATAGTGTTTTCTTCTCTGTCCCAGCTGCCTTCTCCCCCAGCACTTAAGGCAGGCTTCCAACTGTGGACCAATCCACCTGGCCCTTGTTTCAACGTTCCTCGGGAAAGTAACTGTATTCTTAATATAGATAAGATCTTGAGGTGATCATTCACATATCTTAGTTCCCAGATGAGAAAAATGAAAGACCAGATGGATATCTCTGTATAGAAAATAGAGATAATTCATTACTTTTTAGTATCTGGAGACAAAATTATATATTTTAATTTATGAGTTTCAAATTCCAGAAATATGTCCTACCACTCTTCCAAGATCTTCCAGATGTTCTTTAAGCAAGACCAGATATAAAATTCAGGAAAAAGAAGCTTGCTAGCGCCTGAATCTGTATAAATACAGTGTGTAATTCTTATATAAATACTCTCTGTACTTCATGGTTCTTATTTATAACCTTAAGGTATTTTTTCCAAATCATAACCACTGGCATTTACGTAGTCTGCAAAGTAGGAACTTGAAGTATTGTTCAGAGAATGGGTGGGAGATGTTCCTGTTCTGCCGTAGGAGTCCGTGTGGCACGCAGCTGCAGCTCCTGGAAGGCGTGTACGGGATGTTCCGGAGGGAAGACCTCCTGTCGAATGCCACCCGCCAGGCGTTCGTGGACCGCTCGCTCCTCACGCTGCTGTGGCATGCTAGCCTGAGCACCCTGGAAGGATTCTTTAGCAAGATCGTGGTGGACGCCATTAATGTACTGAAGTCCCGATTTATAAAGGTATTGTGCTCTATGGGCCAGAGCCATAGCACAGCGGGTAGGACGTTTGCCTTGCATGCTGCTGACCCAGGTTCAGTTCCTCTACCCCTCTTGGAGAGCCTGGCAAGCTACTGAGAGTACCCCCACCCGCACGGCAAATCCTGGCAAGCTACCTTTGACGTATTCGATATGCCAAACACAGTAACAACAAATCTCACAGTGGAGACATTACTGTTGCCCGTTCAAACAAATCAGTGAACAATGTGAGGACAGTGCTTCAGTGCTATTGTGTTGCATATTAAATAGCAATAACGATTGGCACCGCTCCTTGACCAGCGGGTTTAGTCAGGTGGTCTCTTGTGCAGGAACAGCACCTCTGCACTTTATTGGGACCCATGCTCACGTGAAAGTGGCCTGGGGCTAGCGGAACACCCAGGACTGGCCCGAGGAACTCGCATTCGGGTGTGAGACTAGAAATGATGCATCCGTTTTTGGGGGCTGAAATCAAGAGGCCACACGTGCTCGCAAAGCTCGGGGGCATTTTGGCGCTTGGCTCTTTCCAACCTCTGGAGCCTGCTGCCAGGGAATCTGACTTGTGCCCTGGCTTCTGATAGATAGAAAGTGTATACTTTTGTTGAAATGTTGTATTTTGGGGGGGGGGCGGTTTGGGGGCCACCCCAGGTGGTCTTCAGCCTTATTCCTGCACCCCCGTCTCTCCGGGCAGTTCGAGCCACCAAGTGTGGGCGTGGGGCCAGGTCAGCCTCCAGCAGACAGCACCTGCTTCTCTACTATCACCCTGACTTTTTTTTTCTGAATTTTTAAAATGAGTTGATTTTTTTTTACCCTGAATAATATTTTTGCAGAAGTTATATTTTTTATAATCTAAGCTCATTATTTGGACAATGGAGTCATGCCCTGCAAAACTCACTGTAGCATTTTGATACCTACATCGACATTTAGATCCCAGACAACGGGGCTAGGTCTTTTTTTTAAATTTTATTTTTCATGAAGCTGTTCACAGTAATGGATTCCTTTCTATATCTGAATCCCAATCCCACCACTATGACACCCTCCCACCACCATTATTTGGAATTTTCCCGTCAGCTCTCCAGTCTTCCCCCATAGGCAGATGCTGGGTGATTTATTTTGTATTGCTGGTATTGCATAAGGTGCCCGTACTCCTGGAATTCTAAAAAACTGGGGTCTGGAGACATCTCTGAGGCGAGCTGCTCGCTTTCGAGATTCGTCTGTGAGTCTCTGAATCGTGGCCTTATGCACTTAGATGGCGCCCGGAAGCAGTTTGTGGAGGTGCCAGCCGGGACTCCGAGGGGCGGGGACGTGGGAAGGAGGCCCAGAGCAACAGGGCTAGGCCTGAAGTGACTTAGCTGCTTGGGTAATTTTGTTTTCTATGAAAAGAGAACTGTGTATTGAATGTTATTTCAGTAAGACTTCTCAGAATTGAGAAGACCAGAGATAATCATGTCCCATTTTTGCAGTTAAATGAATCTACCTTTGATACTCAACTCACCAAGAAGATGGGATATTTCAAGATCCTAGAGGTCATGTATTCTCGTCTTCGGAAAGAGGATGTGCACTCCAAGGAATCCAGAATTAACCAAGCTTTCCATGGCTCATCTGTAGCAGAAGGAAGTGAACTTACAAAGACACTTATTAAGTAAGGTTATTTTTGATTTGTCAAATTTTTATGCATAATGTTTAAATGTTTTCATGCATCTCATACAGTTTTATTAAAATACTGAGTTTTCAATACTTGTTTTTCCTTGTGTATCAGCTACTTAATTTAGCATGTTTCAGAGTAATATTTTTCCCGATACATGTCTTCTCAAAGAATAAAACTTTTTACTCTTATTGTTTTTCCTACCATTTTTCTCCCCTTAATAACTTGTTATAGATTTTCAGTGATATGATTTACATTTAGAAGGGAATTAGCTTTTTAATTTCTGTCAGTCATTTGGAATTAGTGGAATGTTAGAATAGTTTATTAATTTTTTTATTTTTTGCTTTTTGGGTCACACCTGGCGATACACAGGGGTTGCTCCTGGTTCTGCACTCAGGAATTACTCCTGGAGGTGCTCGGGGGACCGTATGGGATGCAGGGAATTGAACCTGGGTCGGCCACGTGCAAGGCAAATGCCCTCCCTGCTGTGCTATCACTCCAGCCCTGGAAAGTTAGAATTTTTAAGTAATCATTCTATAAGAAGAGCAATCAACACATTTAAAAGCTGGCCCCAGAACAGTTTCCTCCTGGTTAAAGTTGAACACAGGTGTTGCCATATCTCATTTTGCATTTCCAAAGCCAACTAATGGTTGTTTCTCTTATTTAACCTCCTCATGTACGTGAACAGGAGACTTGAGGGTCGTCATTCCCTCCCCCGAGCTTCCTTCTGCCTCTGTGCACACTCTGTCTGGCCAGATTTTGTCTCTTCAGGCCTGTGGAAACTTGGTCCCCATCCTCCCTCTCCTCGGAGCATTGTGTCACTAATCCCAGCGGTCTCCCGAGCGCCTGCTCTCTGCTCCCGGCCTCATTTCCCTCAGTTGTCCCCACTGCTGTCAGGGTGATGTGTCTGTGGCAGGAAGAGCCTCATTATTTCATTTCCCTCCGAACCGTTCAAAGGAACCTCATTGCAATAACAGGGTTCAACAGAAATTTCCAGTAAAGGCCTGGCATGCCCCACTGGCGAGCGGAGGGCACTGTGCTGAGAGCAGCTGTGACCGCAGAGCCTGAGGCTGAGTGCAGGTGGTCACCTCTGCTCGGCCTGTGGCCTCAGTGACGTCCCAGAGCACCTCCTTGCAGGCAGGCTCCCCCAGAAGGACCTTGACACCCGGTCCTGCTGCTCCCTGTGCCATCTTTGGGTTCACCTGACGCCTCATCACAGGGCTGGCATGCAGAGAGAATTCTGTTGCTAATGTCCACTTGTAGACCTTTTCCCTTGAGACTTCTTGGCTTCGTGGCCTGGGTTACTGTGTCTCTGCTCTTACAGCCCTGGTGCCGGTCCTGCCGCTCGGACCATAGATGCTGCTTCCGCTGAGCTGAGCTGAGCTGTTCTATCACCAGCACTTTGCCAGGCACAGGGCAGGCACTGCCCCAAGTGCGCTGAATGAGATCCTTCCATGTGGCATTGCCAGACTTGAGCTGTCCTTTCCCTGTTAGAGGAACTGACCTTGACCCTGGCTCTCCTTCGCAGATTGTGCTATGACGTGTTTACTGAGAACATGGCGGGTGAAACCCAGTTGCTGGAGAAGAGAAGACTCTATCACTGCGCCGCCTACAACTGTGCCATTTCTGTTCTCTGCTGCGTCTTCACGGAGCTGAAATTCTACCAAGGGTTTCTCTTCAGTGAGAAACCGGAGAAGGTAGGCCTCTCCCGAGGAGCTACCTGTTGTCATTTCCCAAGAGAGAGGATAACAGTTCAAGTTAGAATCGGTGCATTCTCGGATTACCAACAGTGTAGTTCTTCCCAGTTCTGCATGTATAATTTTGAAGCCGAATTTCTTCTCCCCAAGGAGTCCGTAGCATTAATTCTGCAGCATTGGTGGCATCTCTGTAGTTCAGCTGACTTTGTGATTCTTTGGTTTTCCAGAACTTGCTTATTTTTGAAAATCTGATTGACCTGAAGCATTGCTATACATTTCCAGTGGAAGTTGAGGTGAGTAGAGGTTTTTGATGGTGTTTCTAAGTTAAAAACATAATAAATTGGGGCGCTTTACACCACAGTATCTGGCAGTTCCATTTGGTCAACCTGCTGTACTGACTGTCTGGCCACCCCAGCCCCCAAATATTTTTTTCTTAGCATGGTCTCCTTCAGATTTACCCATGTGGTAGCGAAAAGCAAGCCTTTCGTTTTTCTCCCGACTGGTTTTCCATGCAGACAGTGATGGCGTTGCCCACCCAGCTCGCCCTGGAACTGGTTTCTCTCTGAATCTGTCATAACGAGCCCCCGCAGTGAGCAGGTGCACACACCGTGTACATGAATCTTTTTGGGTTTGTGGTTCTGTATTCTTCAGACAGATATTTAGGATTGGAAGGGCGGGATTATATGGTTGGTTTATTTTCAACTTGAGAGCAGCTCTCAACACTGTTTTTCAGGGGGTTGAACCGATTTCCATCCTCATCGGCAGTGTAGGAGGGTTCCCTTTTCTCTACGTCCTTGTCAGCACTTGTTTATGCAGACTTCTTGATACTCTATTCTCAAATGTGTGGGATGATATCTCTTGTCGTTTTGATTTGCATTTCCCCGATAACGAGTGATAATGTGCCTGTATGTTTTCCTTGGTGAAGTGTTTGTTCAGCTCTTCTCCCTGTGTTTTGGTGAAGTAGTTCATCCTCTTCAGTAGCATATTTTTTTGTTTCTTTCCCTGGGCAAAAAGCTTTTAGATTCATGTAATCTTAGTTATTTTTGCTTTTATTTTCCTTGTCTGTGGAGTTGAATCCCCCAAATACCACTGAAGCCAGTATCATCGAAAGTGTCTTCGATTTTCTCCCGTGTATTTTGTAGCGTGAGGCCATCCAAGTCTTTCGTCCATTTGGAGTTGCCCTCCGTGCATAATGCAGTAATGGTCCAGTTTCATCCTTTTGGGGTGGTGGGCACCCTCTCCAGCAGTGCTCAGAGGTTGGGGAGCCTCTCCGGTCATGGAGGCCAGCCAGATGTGACGCCCAGTGCTCACACCAAGTCACGCCGCGCAGTTGGACTCCCCAGCCCTCGCCTGGCAGTGCTCAGGCCTCCAAGGCTCCCCCGGGCTGCTCGGGACCCTGCGGCTCTGGGATTGAGCTGCGTCTGTGCACCTGCGAGGTGGGTGCTGCTGTCCTCTGGGCTGTCTGCCTGGCCCGGTAGCGTTCCTTTACGTGTGACTGACCAGTTTTCCTAGACTGGTTGAAGAGACTGTCCTTCCTCTGTTTTATGCTCTTAACTCCTTTGCTGTAAATTGTATTAGTGAAGATTTATTTCCGTGTTTCAGTTCCGTCCTGTTGATCTGTGGTCTTTATTACAGTACCACAATTTTGGTTACTATAACTCTGTAGTCAAAGCCTGGAAATGTGATTTCCCTATCTGGAAAAAGTTGAACATTCCCCAAGCCCCCGCAAATAACCCAGTAACTCTTACCAAATAGGAGCATTCTGCTTTCACATAGTAAAGAAAACCTGCAAGTGGGAAACTTGCTCTGGTAGATGTGTGACAAGCTTAGGTTTCAGCCAACCTAGTGCCGTGGGGTTGGAAGGACTTGGCCGAAGCTCTCGGCAGGCTCAGGGAACCCACAGGATAGAGGTGGGCGGGGCTTCAAGCCTCATTCGCATCAGCTGGTGGTGCTCAGGGCCTTTTCTCTGTGCTTAGGGATCACTCGTGGCATGGTTCGGGGGAATGACGGGGTGCTGGGGAGCGAACCCTGCTTGGCCGCCTGCACGGCAGACCCTCTGCACTGTCTGGCTCATCACCCACACCCCTGCATAATTGCACCCTGAACAGGCCCTGGTGGCTCGCACGTCTGTATGCATGGCTTCTACCTTCTGTCTTTTGGAACAAAACTTGGGCTTCTTTCTCTAAGGATATACCGAAAGACCTGCAGAACAAACGGGGAATAGCGCTTGTGTGAGTGACTTCTAAGCTCAGTGCTGGTGACTCAGGCCTGTGTCCTAGTGCTCAGGGGGAGCGAGCAGGTGCTCTGTCGGAATCTGTGGAAACGCTTTCCGGGGAGCTTCTCACTCAATTTCCTGGGTCCGTGGGTTTTGGTTTTGTGTTTTCCAGTCCCCTTCACCCCCGTTTTTTGAGTGTGTCCACAGTTGTCTTTCTCACAGGGGTCCTGACTGTTGGTTGTGGTACTCACACGTGTGACCACAGGAGTGAGTCCATCTGGTCCGTGTTTCATGGTGGCACCATGATGCCTGCAGGAGCTGCACACACCTTCCTGGGCCCTGGGACCCACCCTGCCAGCCTGGGACTCACCCAGCCTTCCCTGGCATGCACGCCCCCCCAGGGCAGCTCTGAGTCCTGAGGAGAGAGGCCCACCCAGCTCCTCCGTGCATCTCGTAGCCTCGGGCCACGGCAGGTGCCTTTGCACTGTGCTCTCTGCAGGCCCAGACTTAGGTTTGATGCAGTTTCATCTCACAGGAGTACCTGGGGCCTGAGGGACAGTGGCCAGGGTGCATGTCCTGCCGGCCATCCACCCGGCCCGTTGGGTCCCCCATCCTTCCCGTCGGGAGCCCTGAGCGCAGAGCCAGGAATTGCCGGGCGTGGCCGAAAACCAAAATGAAATTAAATTAGTAACTGTGGGTTCTTATTTGCTTTCCATACTGCTACTGAGTAGAAAACATGACCGCAGTCACAAATGTTTTGAATTTTGTTCTGCCTAATAGGTTCCTATGGAAAGAAGGAAAAGGTACATTGAGATCCGGAAAGAAGCCAGGGAAGCAGCCAATGAGGGCTCAGGTAGGATGTTTTTCCAAATGATGAACAGATTCTAGTAGCTGGCATTTGTTGAGGAATAATTGAAAGTTAATTACCCCGAAGCATTCAAATTGGAATTTTTAGTTTTAGTTGGTAAGTAGGATTTAGAAAGAAATGCAGTGAATTAAACAGTGCTGCACAGAGAGATCATTTTGGCCTGGCAGGGGTGGGGGGGAGGGGGCTTAAATATCTCAAAAACACATTTGGAGGTGTAGACTAGCTTTATCTTTGTTTGCATATAGAACCTGGCGTTCGTTCCTTTTTGCTTTATTAATCTGGGGAATTGTCAGAGGATCAATGTACAGATGAAAAGTGTTCCTTAATTCTAGTGTCATTTGAGTTCAGAGAAATATGTTACTTACCATGTGCAAATAAATGCATTTTTTTCTTTGTATTTCAGGTGGTCCCCATTATATATCTTCCTTGTCGTATCTGGCAGAAAGTAGCCTGAGTGAGGAAATGAGTCAATTTGATTTCTCTACTGGAGTCCAGAGTTATTCTTACAGTTCCCAACACACTAAATCTACCACTGGCCATTTTCGGAGACGGGTAATCATATTTCGCGAGTTAAAGAATGTTGTTGGGCCAGAGATGCGGCTAGGGGTTCAAGCACGTGCCTCACATGCATGGACCTGGGTTTCCCCCCCCTGTACCGCATTCACAGAAACTCAAGAATATTAGTAATAGTCGAGAGAGGACAGTGCTGTACTGGAGAATACTGGGTCTGTCAGCACACCTCGGTAGAGCATTTGTTCAGAGAATTGTCCAAGAGCGAAGCTCAGGTTTTCATCTTCTTGGCAGTCTGGTTTAATCGGCGTAGGAGGGAAGGCATGCCCCAAGGGCCCACTTCACGTTAGCTAATGTTGAGGTTTATGTTTGAAGTCTGAACTGCTTGCAGATTTCTTTTCCTTTTTTGTGTTTGGGGGCCGTGCTCAGAGACACACAGGGCTTCCTACTCTGCCCTCAGGAGCCACTCCTGGTGGTGCTCAGGGACCAGATGTGGTGCCGGGCGCCACGCCAGGTCTGCTACGTGCGAGGCGGGCACCCTGCCCTCTGTGCCGTCGCTCCAGCCCCGTGTTTGCACATTTCTACAAGAGAGACGAGCCCCGCAGAGCCCTATGTGCTCGTGTTGTCCTTCTGGAGAAAGTGAAGCGTCTCCGTGACAAGGGAATGTGGAAGAGTTTTGTTCTTTTTATAGGTGGAAAGCGACCTTTTCTTTCTTGAGACTTGTAATGGTCTCTAGCAGTCTGAGTTACTAAATTTTACCGGTTCTTTATGCTTTCTTAACTTGGATTGATAATGCTTGCAGAGTCCATGTGTTTGAATGATTTTTTTTCATGACACATCATCACTCTCTGCATCCCGACTGTTTTTTTATCTTCCTTGACACTCACAGTATCTCTGGAGTAAAGCAGTGTCATTCAGTGCGTGTCTCATGCGTCTTCATGAGTATAGCAGGAAACGTCTGGGGAGATAACAGCAGTGATGTTCTGGCCTTTAGGAGAGATAAATTCACCCTGTTTTCTAGAGTAGTTTTGTTCTTGGTGGTTTTGCTAGTATTTTGATGTGGATCTTTGGATCTGTGTTTATCAGGAATGTCGGTCTTAGTTTTCCCTGGGTGTGGGTGTGAGTGGTGTTTTTGTCTAATTTTGGTGTCACGATAACCTTAGCCTCAGAGAAATTGTTTGGGAGGATTTCTGTTTCTTTGATTTTTCTGAAAGAGCCTGAAAAGGATTGGAAGTAGATCATCTTTAAAGGATTGGAAGAACTCACTGAGAATTACCAGAATATCGGAGCAACAGGAAGCAATTCCAGTGACGAATCATTAGTCGAAGAAATCATAGCTGGGAAGTTCCCACAGTTGAGGAGTGCATATACCAGACTCAAGAGGCTCTGGAGACTGTCAGCCAAAGGATACCCAAGTGAGAGAACTTCAAAGACACATCAAAATCAGAATTACGAAAGCCAAAGATAGAGGTTGAATATTGAAAGCAGCATGATCAAACACGGAAACTACAAACAAAGGAGTGGCCCTAAGATTCACAGCAGATTTATCAGTTGTGACCCTGTGGGCCCAAGGACAATGGTGGGGATATATGTTAAAACAAAAACGCCTCAATAATGTGAGTACCTCACCATGCACACTGCATCTCAGCTTGAGCAATAGTTACAGCAGGTAGGGGTGCTTGCCTTGCACATGGCCAATCCAGGTTTGATCCCCAGTATCCCATATGGTCTCCTGAGCCCACCAGTAGTAGTTCCTGAGTGCAGAGCCAGGAGTGAGTACTGAACACAGCTGGGTGTGGATGTGCCCCCCTCCCCCTAAGAACCCACTATACCCGACTAGACCATCAGTCAGATTTAAAGGAACAACACAGAGCTTCTCCGACAGATAACAGTCTAGCAACTTCGTCGACAAACTTTAAACCAACTTTAAAGGATTGTGCAAGAAGCACTAACGCGGCGTCTTTAACTCAAGACAAATTTTACAAACAGGTCTAACTTACACAGAAAGATGACAAAAGCTTCATGAGAATAATCTCACTCAATATCAATTAAATGCACCAACTACCAAGAGTAGAGAAATGCATTAACTTTACATTAAGAATCACAGTGAGATACACAGTCAAAAAATTATTGATGATTGGGTTTAGTTATCTAATGTTCCAACACCCCTCCCTTCACCAGAGTACATTTCCCACCACCAGTGTCCTCAGCTTCCCTCCTGCCTACCCCTTACTCCCAACCTCTCTGATCGGCTTTCCTTCTTTCTCTCACTCCCCCCTGCCCTTTTCCTTGTGGGAATTTTGATTCACAGTACGGATGCTGAAAGGTTATCATGTATATCCCTTTACCTACTTTCAGTACTCAGTCTTATCCAAGTGATCATTTCCAACTATTACTGTCATATTGGTCTCTTCTCAGGATTAGAGAACTTAAACCAACCTTCTGCTGCCCGTAAAGAAAAACAAAAAATTGAATAGTCAAGGCAAACACAGACTCAAAGTCAGAGATTGAGAGACAGTATTTTGGGCAAATAACCTTAAAAGGCTGGGGTGCCAAGGTGGTCATGCTTATATCAAACAACACAGACTTCAAGCTAAAAGAAGTTATAAAACAGATGGTTATTTCTTAATAATTAAGGGGTCTTAATCACCAGTTCTTAACGATCAGTCATGAGGAAGAACTCACTCCTAAACATGTATGCACCTAATGAGATCACGATCACGACCATCCTGTTGTTCGTTGATTGCTTCGAGCAGGCCCCAGTAACGTCTCCTTCGTCCTAGCCCTGAGATTTTTTTTAAAAGTGCACCTAATGAGATACCGCTGAAATATTTAAAACAGCTTCTAAGAGACATGAAAGAAGTTGTTGATGGCAACAGAACAGCATTTGGTTCATCCCTGTGTACATCAGCTAGACTAAAACTCAGCAAGAACACTGACTTTGAAGGACGAAATGGAAGAAAGGAACATAGCGGCAGATATACATATGACGTGTGTATATATATATATATATATATATATATATATAGGACTTTTTGCCCCCCCCAAGTTGAATACGCATTCTTCTCCATTGCATGGAACATTCTACAAATGGGCTACATGCTGGGCCCCAAAACATACCTCCATGAATTCAAGAGTTTGGAAATTGTATCAGCCTATGAGGCTTTGAGTCGAAGTTAATCACAAACAGAAATGGGGTAAAAAGTCAGAACACTTGGAAACGAAAGAGCTCGCCACTGAATAAGCTGCGGGTCAAAGAGGAAATGAAAAGATTCCTGGGCACTAATGAGAATGAGCATTTGAGCTACCAGGACTTTCGGGACTCAGCAGAAGTGATGTTGATAGGAAAGTTCTAGCAGTGCAGGCGCTCATTAGCAAGGAAGAAAGGGACCAAATAAGTAACCTGACCGCACGGCTTAGCAGCTGGCAGAGCACCGCCAAACGGAGCTCCGAGCAAGCAGAAGAAAGGAAATAAGCAAGACAGAGCAGAAATTAATGAATTTGGATTAAAAAAGAAAACAATTCAGAAGATTAATGAAACCAAGAGATGGTTCTTTGGAAAAATAAACAATATTGACAAACCACAAGCAAGACTCAAAGAGAGAGAACCCTAATAAGCTGAATCAGAAATGAAAGGGGGGCGTCACAGCAGATACCACAGAAATTCAGAGGGTCATCAGGGATTACTTTAAAAACCTATACGCCACAAAACAGCAGAGCCTAGAAGAAATGGATGAATTTTTGGACTCTTACAGCCTCCCTAGATTGAACTGAGAAGAAACAGAGTATGCAATCAGACCAAATGTGTTATCGAGGAAATCAAAACGGTAACCAAAAGTCTCCAGAATCAAAAGCCTGGCTGAGATGGGCTCACTGTCTTTATGTTTAGGGGCTACCTTGATCTGTGGTGCTTTGGGTAGGGTTGTCATTTTGACAATATTATTCCTCCCAATCTGTTAACGTGGGCTGTGTTCCATTTCCTTGTGTCTTATTTATTTATTTATTTATTTATTGCTTTTTGGGTCTCACCCGGCGATGCTCAGGGGTTACTCTTGGCTCATGCACTCAGGAATTACTCTGGGCAGTGCTCAGGGGACCCTATGAGATGCTGGGAATCAAACCCGGGTCATCTGCACGCAAGGCAAACGCCCTACCCACTGTGCTATCACTCCAGCACCACCTTGTGTCTTATTTTTAAGTAGTAATTTGAAGTTTCCTTTCTATCAGACTTCTACTTCCTTCATTACGTGTATTCCCAGATACTGGATTTTTTTAAGGTGCTGTTGTGGAAGGAATTTTTTTTTTCTGTCCTGTTTCATTGTTTATATATAGAAGTGCCATGGATTTCAAGGTGTTGATTGTGTAGCTTGCTACATTACTGTGTAGACTTAATGTTTCTTAGGAGGTTTCAATGGATTTTATGAATTTCTAACTCTAGTACGGTGTTAGCTACAAATAATAGTCGTTTGACTTCATTTCCAAGCTGGGTTCCCTCTTGCCTACTTGCTATGGGAAGGGCTCCCAGTGCAGTAGTGGGCAGTAGTGATGAAATGGGCGACCTTGACTGTGCCTGAGCATAAAGGGAAGGGCTCAGGGTCTTTCCATTGAGCGTGATATTAGCTGTGGATTCACGGTAGATGACTTTGATTACATTGAGGTATTTCCTTCTGTCCTCAGTTTTTATTTTTAAATTTATTTTAATGTACTGTTGATACAATTCTAGAACTAAAACCGATTAGATAAGAGATCTCCAATATTAAAATCAATAAGTATAAAAATCAATTTACGGGGGTTATGGTGCTGCAGTCTCCTGCCCCCGCGCCTGACTGTCCTCGCTCGCCGGGACCCCTTAGAGGGGAGCAGGTTGAGCTTTCCTCCCCGCCCCGACCAGGGCTCCGGCAGCCAAAGACCTCTAGGACCAACCACCACCATGCTGAGACCACTCTCCGCACACACGAAGGTACTGGCAGAGGGACAAAGTCACGCGGGTTCCGGGGCCGAGATCTCTAAGCCTACTCGGATTTGGGCCGAGCATCCTCCACCCAGATCCTCCAAATTCCAGTAGGCGGGGTCACACCCACCAACTGGCCCCCTGGCGCCGTGTAGTCCCATCAACGGTCAAGACTCAGAGACTATAAAAACCAGCTCCCGGAAGCGCGCGGCTGCATTTGCGACTGCGCAACATCTTATTATCTCATTTCTACTTTGGACAAACTGGCAGGTTACCGAATGTAGCCTGCCCACACGGCAGAGTCTGGCAAACTCCCCGTGGAGCATCCAATATGCCAAATACCAGTAACAATGATGGGTCTCATTCTCCTAAAGAGCCTTGAATATAATCTCAGGGCTAGGATGAAGGAGACGTTACTGGGGCCTGCTCGAGGCAATCAACGAATAACAGGATGATTTGTGATTTGTGATTTGTGATGGTGCCGCCAGCAGGTCGATCTGTATCTGTGAGGCGAGTGCATCAGCCAGCAGCCTGATGGTGCCTTCAGACTTTCAGATACCCCAAAATTGCTGCTGGGCCTTTGGCCAGACCCCAAAAACTTGGGGCAAAGCTTACCAAGAAAGCAAATGGCCAGAAGTTAGGTATGTGGGAAACATACCCACAAACCACCTCCGACTCAGCTATATAATTGGAGGCATGGCCTCTCTGGTTCCTGATCGAACGACTTAACTGCCATGATCCCAGAGACTCAGAAACAAATCTCAGAACGCAGTGGCTTTTGGCAGAAATGCGTCCAGTCCCTGCTGGGGTTACCGGTGCTGGGCCAACCCAGGTGGGAATAGGTTTTGTGCCTTGGCCTGTTCCCCTGGTGGCCCAGTGGCCACATCCTTCAGAGGCCACTCAACAGTCAGGTTTGGGCCTGCACTGATGAAACTTGTTGGGCCTCACGGGATGGGGGTGGACGTGGGCATGTCTTCCCCACCCTAACGAGACCCCAAGTCATTGCCCACAAAAAGCCTCTCTGGCTCCTGATCAAGCTGCTTAACGGCCATGATCCCAGAGACTCAGAAACAAATCTCGAAACCCAGCGACTTTTGGCAGACATGCGTCTGAACCGCGCAGTAGGTTACTGTCGCCGGGCCACCCCTGGGGGGAAAGGGTGTTTTCCCTCCGCCTGCTCCCCCTTGGCGGCTCGGTGGCCCTCATCCTCCAGAGGCCATTGGACAGTCAGGTCTGGGCCCGCAGTGATGAAACTTGTTGGGCCTCACAGGATGGGGTGGAGCCAGGCCTGTCCTCCCCATCCCAACAAGACCCCAAGTCATCACCCACGAACGGCCTCTCTGGCTCCTGATCAAGCTGCTTAACGGCCATGATCCCAGAGACTCAGAAACAAATCTCGAAACCCAGCGACTTTTGGCAGACATGCGTCTGAACCGCGCAGTAGGTTACTGTCGCCGGGCCACCCCTGGGGGGAAAGGGTGTTGTCCCTCCGCCTGCTCCCCCTTGGCGGCTCGGTGGCCCTCATCCTCCAGAGGCCATTGGACAGTCAGGTTTGGGCCCATAGTGACGAAACTTGCTGGGTCTCACAGGAGGGGGGTGGGGCTGATCCTGACAGGGTCCCAATGAGATCCCAAGTCATTGCCCACGAACAGCCTCTCTGGCTCCTGATCAAGCTGCTCAACAGCCATGATCCCAGAGACTCAGGAGCAAATCTCGAAACCCAGTGGCTTTTGGCAGAAATCCCTCCAGATTTAAGTGTTAAAATTTCGGAATTTCAAAATCACATGGCCACGTGACATCATAAGTTATTTATAACCGGCAATAGAACACAAATTGTCTACTGTGCCTTTTCAGCAGATCTGAGTGTTGGGGTAAAATTTCAAATTTAATAATGGTGGGTCTGTTGTCGAAATATTGAATGTGATCAAAGTAGAGAGAGATTAATGTGGAAATCATCTGCCCCACAGGTAGGGGGAGGGTGTGGGATAGGGGTATACTGGGGTTTTCGGTGGTGGAGAATGGGCACTGGTGAAGGTACGGGATTTTCATCGTATGACTGAGACTTAGACCCGAAAGCTTTGTAACTGCTCTCACGGTGATTCAATAAATAAAATTAGAAAAAATGAAAAAAAATCAATTTACATGAAAATTGTTGTATCTGATTGTGGGCTTGTTAGGTCCTTGTCCAAGAATGCACTCAACTGTTTGCTGCTGGCTGGGCCTTCTGTGTTCCTGCTTCTGGGGGGGGTCTGAGAGACGGCCCAGACGGTCAGTGTCTGGGTTCCGGAGGCCCAGGGTTAATCCCGCAAGCAGCAGAGAGCAAACCTGGAGCTGGGAGCCACCCCCAGACCCAAGTAAAAGCACACGAGTGAACCTGAGTTCAGCCAGACATCTACATGTATTCCTCTCCCACCTGAGCACGAAGATGGAAGGGGGCATTTAGAATAACTTTATGTCAGGGATAGATCTCAGCGGTGCTGTCTGGAGCTTTGCTCAGGGCTTTTGTTTTGGAGGGAAGAGATTGCTCTGACTTGATGGCCGCTGAGCATGGTTTTCGCGACTTGTCTCACATGACCCTGGTGGTGCTGGCAGTCCCCTGGGCGGTGCTCACCTGCTTCTGCTCTGATTCATCTTGGCCTTCCTTCCTCTCGTTTCCGAAGTCCTTGGCTTGTAGCAGTTGTCCGTTGACTCTGAGTGGAATTGCGTTTCCAAGTACTGGTCATCCTCTACGTGACGTGCTGGAATAATTCCTGCCACCAGGACAAGCAGAATCATGAATCACATAAGGCCACTTTGTTGGTTTTGGTTTCGGGGCCTCACCTGGCCATGCTTGGTCACTTTTCCTGGCTGTGTTTGCTGGACCAGGTGGCATCAGGCATTCAAACCAGGCAGGCTTCTTAACCTCTGGACCATCTGTCTGACTCTGAAAGACCATTTTAACTGCTTTTCTACTCGGTCTCTAGCAATACTTTAAAAATAATGATTTAATTGTAAGACTTTTTTTTTTTTTTGCTTTTTGGGTCACACCTGGTTATGCACAGGGGTTACTCCTGGTTCACGCACTCAGGAATTACTCCTGGCAGTGCTCAGGGGACCATATGGGATGCTGGGAGTCGAACCCGGGTCGGCCACATGCAAGACAAACGCCCTACCCGCTGTGCTATCGCCCCAGTTCCTGTAAGACTTTTTTTTTAATTGTTAGACTTTTCATCTCAGATTTTTCACATTTTCTCCTGGAAATGATCTGTGCTAAGAAACATTTGGTTAGAACTTAGTTCTGTGCTAAGTTTCTCTCTGGCTGGGGAGTTTCTTTTCTTTTCCCTTCTACTTTCTAATACACCTTTCTCTTTTCCAGAAATTTAAAAAAAAAAGGAAAATACCCAGACAAATCAGTTACTCCCCCACACCCTGTGTGTCTGTATATGTGTGAATAAAATTAGCGTGAATGTATGCTGAGACCCAGTTCAGCATTGCACTTCTCAGTGTTTACCACAGCTGTATGGAGCCAAGAATTTGAGGCCCCAACATGGTTAAAAGGTTTTATTGTTAAATTTCTAGACGCATAAGAAAAGCTCAACAAGAGATTACTCTCTTTTCCTAGGAAAATAAAGAGGCCGACATCCCCAGTGACGTTCTGGAGTTGGAGATGGATGAGCTGAACCAACACGAGTGCATGGCGCCCATGACAGCCCTCATCAAACACATGCACCGGAGCCAGATCCTGCCCAGAGCAGAGGTCAGTCGCTTGCTGGCCGCCACCACTCGGGTGCCTCGTTGAGGGGTCGTATATAATGTGGGAGACTCTTCAGTTTCGTTGCTCTGTCGGACGAGTATGCGTTTTCTTAGGTCTTATTGGTGTCTTAGGACATCAGAATATCAAAAGGCATTTTAACACACTTTCTAAGATAATTTTGACTTGATTTCAGGGTACAGTGCCACAAAGTCTTCCTCCTTGGATGAAATTTCTTCATGATAAACTAGGAAATCCATCCGTATCACTGAACATACGTCTCTTTATAGCCAAGCTTGTTATCAATACCGAGGAAGTAAGTGATGACTTTGTCTTGGCTCGCAGGGCTCGGGGTGGTGCTGGGTCACACGTGGCATTGTTGGGGCTTCTTGTGGCTCTGTGCCAGGGTGGAACTCACTTCATGTGCGTGCGTGTGTGTGTGTGTGTGTGTGTGTGTGTGTGTTGGGGGCCAGGGGGTGGGCAGTAATCGGGACCACTCCTGGCTTTGTGCTCAGGTTGACTGCTGCTGGCGGTTGGGGCTCCAGGAATCAGCAGATAGGGTACTTTCTCTCCAGCCCGAGCTGCTTCCATAACTGTCGTTGCTCCAAGAGTCTCTGCACTGGCCTGCTTTTACCTAGAAGCCCACGACAAGGAAAGATGTGGAAGGACGGATCAGAACCCTTTGGCTCTCTGAATAAGTCAGCCAACCGTATTAACTTGCTTGTTGATGTCATTAATTTATCGAGAGACTGTGGTCAGGCCTCAGTTCCTTAACTCCCCTCTCAGTTTCTGATTCCTGGACCCTGTAACAAAGTGACTTAGCAGGAACACACTGTCACTCGATTCGGAAATTCAAAAGTCTGAGAGCGAGATGTTGGTAGGGTTGGTTCTCTGCGGTTGTTGGAGCTGGTCAAACAGTACCAGCACTCACCTGGTGTGCAGCTGACCTGGGTTTGATTCTTGGCGCTGCCAACCCCAGCACCCACAAACACACATAAAATGAGTTCTAAGAGTTGTGACTGTCCTGGGCTTTGTCCCAGTTTCTGGTGGCCTCAGGCAGTCCTTGGCTTGTAGATGCTGTTTCTTTCTGCGCCTTCTCATTGTCTGCCTCTCTCTGTCTGTGTATAAGATCTCCCCATGACCCCATTGCGTAGAACACTCAGCGGATGGGGTCACACTCTGATGGCTGGCCTGCCTGCCTGCTTTCCTTCCTTCCTCCCTCCCTCCCTCTTTCCCCTCCCTGGTGATCTCTCTAACCAGGCCATCTTCAGAGACCCCCCAGTTCTGAATAAAGTCATATCCACAGGTCCTGGGAGTTAGGGTTTAAATATTTGGGGGGCAGACATAGTTCAGTCATAGGACTTGGAGTTCCATGTTATTTCTAGTTCTGTAAGTGTGGACTAGGTTTCTACCCAAAACAGGAGCTGGTATCTGTTATCTTTATTTTTGTTGGATGATGTTTTGGTAGATGGGATGGGGTAGGTAGACCCAACATGGAAACATGGTGAAAGGTGAGGGGCCCCTGAGGTGGCAGACAGCTGACCCTGGAGTTCGATTAATCTGGAAAGATTAATCTGGCCTGAGCACTATAGTCTGAGATCAGAAGCAAGATGTCCCCAGGAGAGCCACCCTACAAGCTTAATGTATCTCTTACTGTGTCCATACAAAATAACTAATATCGTATCACTGTAGCACTGTTCTCCCATTGTTCATTGATTTGCTCAAGCAACATCTCCATTGTAAGATTTGTTGTTACTGGTTTTGGCATATTGAATACACCACAGGGGGCTTGCCAGGCTCTGCCGTGCGGGCGGGAAACTCTCGGTATCTTGCTGGGCTCTCCGAGAGGAGCAGAAGAACCGAACCCGTGTCGGCCACGTGCAAGGAAGGAAAGAAGCTTAGCACTCCCCCTGACAACTAATATTACGAAGTAGAATTAAGATGTTAATTAGGTGATTGGACTAAGGAGAGGAGAAACATCCCTAGGTGGTATTTCCGCCCTTGAGCCTGATCAGAGATCAGGAATGACTTTTGGTATGTTGATTGTGCTACTGGATGGGGTGTGGTGGCTGCCCCCAGTGCGGGCAGTTGGAGAGAGACCAGAGAGAGCCCAGGCTGCGAGAGGGAGTGCAGACAGATGAGCAGGAGGAGACGGGAATGAGCGGCAGTGTGAGACCAGAAAGGGAGGCTCAGAGAGACTGGGGCAGGCGCGAGGGAGAATGGAATAAACGGCAACTGATCACCAACCAGCCTGGCCCTCGTTTCCTCCTCCGTCTGTCCATGGCCTAGGCTGTCCTGGGGGGAAGCGGCGCAAATCCACCGAATGCAGGTGGCGAGAGAGAGTCACGGGGGTCTCCCTCGCCGCCTGGACATGACACAGCAGTGGTCAGTGTATTGTTTCCAGAGGTCGTTGAAGGTGGTTGTTGTCTCTTGGAGAAAGACTTGTATTCCCTTATCTTTCTGATCTCGGTCTTGGCAGCCAGGGAGATAACTCAGGGCGGACTGCATGCTTCGTCCGTGGATCCTGGGTGTGATCTCTGGCACCTCGTGATTCTCCGAGCGCAGCTCAGGGGCTCCTGGGCACTGAGCTCTAGTGGGGCGGGACCACGGCAGCAGTGTGGAGGATGCAGTCGCTCTGGAGGAGGACGGGTGCCGAATGGAGGGAGGTCATGGTACCTGGTCAGCAGGTGTGGAAACCACAGTGCCTGAAAGGAAAAGAAGGGAAGGGGGGATGGAGGGACCTTCGGGACACCGGTGAAGGGGTAGGTGTACGCCTGGAGCTCGGTCATGAGTGACTCTGGAACTTTGTCGTTCATGTGCTTCAGCTAAAAAAATGTATTTATGATTTATAAATGAGCCAGTAAATGTTTAGAGTGTACATCACACAGATTTCAGCTTTGGGAGTATGAGAGAAATGCTTGAGAAAATCTTGGGGAAAAGTGGCTGAAGTAAGTTAAGTAAGTAAATGGTTTGAATATATACTTTCATCTGTTCTTTGCATCAAAATACCTTCTCTTGTAATTTTAAAAATTAAATGGTATTAAATTGAGCATACAAACATGCTTTCATGTTCGTTTCAAGAGATCCTGGACGTAGGAAGACCATAGGAGAAGTTGCTTATATGACATAGGAAGAAATGAACATAAAGCAACTACTTGCACCTATCTAATTTTATATTCTAATTTCTCATTTATTCTGCCACTTGCATGAAAGAAAAAATGGAATTCTGTATGTGGCCGTATTATTCAGATGCCCGGGGATGATAATAGAATACTTTGATAGTGATTTTTAGAACAATTTTTGTTATTTCAACAGTATTTTGATGTTTGACTTTCAAACTGTCTTCCAGGTCTTTCGTCCATACGCGAAGTTTTGGCTTGGTCCCTTAGTGCAGTTGATCGTCTCAGACAACAACGGAGGAGAAGGAATCCACTTCCTGGTGGTTGAGATAGTGGTCACGGTGCTTTCCTGGACAGGACTGGCCACGCCTGTAGTAAGGAGATATACATCTTTCATGTTGTTTGCTAATTTTTTTTTTTTTGTGGAGGTGGGTTGGGATTATACCCGCAGATGCTCAGGGGTCACCCCTGGCTCTGCACTTCAGAATTACTCTGGGCAGTGCTCGGGTAATTATGAGGGATGCTGGGAATCGAACCTGGGTTGACCGTGTGCAAGGCAAACAACCTGCTGTACTATCACTCCAGCCCCCTCATTTGCTAAATTTTTTTTTTTTTTTTGCTTTTTGCTTTTTGCTTTTTGGGTCACACCCGGCAGTGCTCAGGGGACCATATGGGATGCTGGGAATCGAACCTGTGTCGGCCGCGTGCAAGGCAAATGCCCTACCTGCTGTGCTATTGCTCCAGCCCCTCTTTTGCTCATATCCTAAGTATAGAGTATGACAAGTAATTCAAGCTCTTACTTGTTTCAGCATAGTAGTAGCATTGCATATAGTTATTTTGCTGTTATGCTGCTTTACAAAATGATACTGTATTGCCTTAGTTCTCTTCTTGCTTTCAGCTTTTGATAATTCCTTTATCTTCTGTTTTTGAACCACCTGATATTTTGTTGTTGTTGTTGTTATTCTGTTGCTTTATTTTTCTAGGAGTTTGGAACTGAATTTTAGTTTGTTAACATTATGTTTAAAATAAATGTCAGCAGGTCCTTAATGTAAAGTTTTAAAAACCAAAAATCTATTGTGACAAGTCTCTGTTTTATTTTGCCACTTGTTTTGCCATTGTATCTGTTTTCCAGATGATTGACTGTGATCCTTAAGAGATAGCTAAGAACTATTAGGTGAAGGACGCTATTAAAATCAGTCTACCTTGTGATATCTGTCAACATAGATTCATGCGTGTCGAAACTTTGACCATTCATCGAAAGTCATTATCACTTACGTACAGAAGTTTTCATGGAAGCTTATCCTGGAAAACCTCCTTTCTTACTAATCACGACATTCACATCTGCAACCTCTCCACATGGTTTTCTCAGGATGTTTCTGTGTTGCTTCATAGTGAATCAAATTCAGATCCTTAGCCTTATTGTGATCAAATGATTTCTAGGAGCCAGGGCTATAGTAGAGCGGGTCGGGTGTTTGCCTTGCATGTGGCTGACCCCGGTTCAGTTCCCAGCCCCACCTGTATGACTCTTGAGGGTCTCCAGGAGGAAGCCTTGAGCATCACTGGTGTGGTACCCCAAACAAAAAATTATTTTTTGTCTGTGATCAGACCTGAAAAGTTCACAAATGGGTTTTTAGGCAGGAGCAGAGAGCCTCAGAAGAATGCTGGATTTTTTATCAGTGGAAAAATATTTTTCTGCAACAGAATTCTAAATATTAACGTTGACTTTCTTTCCTTTTTAGGGGGTCCCTAAGGATGAAGTGTTGGCAAATCGATTGCTGCATTTCCTGATGCAGCATGTTTTTCATCCAAAAAGAGCTGTGTTCAGACACAACCTGGAAATTATTAAAACCCTTGTTGAGTGTTGGAAAGAGTGTTTGTCTGTCCCTTATAGGTATACTTTTTCTAAATTTTGCAATGTTGTTTAGAGATTTTGCAGCGTCACTTGTAAATGGTGATTCTCATGAAATGATAGAAGGAAGAGAATTTAAAGTACAGAGTTCATTTGAATATTTAGAATGTTGCCACAGAACATTCCAGAGGTTCATCAGGATCTGCACGCCCCTCTGCTGTGTCTCAGCTGTCTGGCCCCCACTCCGGGCCTCTCGCGTGCCCTGCCCCTCACCGGCCCCGCGCATGGACCATCCTGAGACCTTCCTCCCTCCCTTCAGTATAGCCCGAAACAAGCTGAGCTTTGAAAAGATCCCAGTAGCCCTAGGGCAGACTTTGACATCAACTAAATCATAGAGAACTGCCTGTGTTGCCAAGCTCTAAGGGACAGAGAGGATATTAGCAAGAAGGGTATTCAATGGAAGGGGGCTTTCTTACGTGGAGAGTTGGTCATGGGAAATTCTGTGCATGTTTCCAGCTTCTTATTCTATCCTGTGGTAATCTCTCTCTCCCTCTTTGTTTCTTTTTTGTTTATGTTTCAGGTTAATATTTGAAAAATTTTCTAGTAAAGATTTGAATTCGAAAGACAATTCAGTTGGAATTCAGTTACTAGGCATTGTTATGGCCAATAACTTGCCTCCCTACGACCCAAAATGTGGCATAGAGAGTATAAAGTAAGTCTCAGGGGTTTTGCTGTGATTCTGTTTTAGGTGAAAGAGTACTGAAAAACGAATTTGCTTCAATTCTGCTAAGGATGGTTTTTAACCACAGCCTGTGCTGAAATTTAGGTGGTTGCCTTTGGAGAGGTCATGTGAAAGAAGAAATGACTATTGTGATGAACGAAGACACCAGTCTTTAAAAATCAAAGCGATGCTTTCTTATGTCTTTGGGCAGAAGGGAGGCCCCTGGGACCACGGGTGGGGCGGGTGCCTCACTGCCAGACTCGCTGCAGTGCTGGAGAGTACGTGAAGCTGCACTGCAGCCCTTGACGCAGCCGCCCCTTTGCTCCTCGGTGTTTTCAGTTTGATTTTTCTTTTTTTTCGGGCCACACCCAGAGCACTCGGTGGCAACTACCGGTTCCGTGCTCAGGGGGCCATGGGTGCCAGTGACCAAACCCGGGCCTTTCAAGTACAAAAAAAAAAGTCCTTTGAGATATTTTTCCAGTCCATTCTATTTTGTTTTCTTACTTTCCAAACTTCATTGAGACCCTTCATTGTTACTGGTTTTTGGCATATTGGGTACGCAGTGAAGGGTCTCATTCTCCTAACTCTGAAAGAGCCTTGAATATGGCACTTTTTAAAAAAAATCTCAGGGCTAGGACGAAGGAGACGTTACTGGGGCCTGCTCGAGGCAATCGACGAATAACAGGATGGTTGTGATTGTGATTGTGACTTTCCAAACTGAGGTTTTCCTCTTTCAAGCAGCGTGGGTTGTGAGATTGTTCATAGACCTCTGCCTGGAGACAGCGCCCGGGGCAGGACTTTCGCTGCCACCGTTGCTGTGTCTTGGCTCTGCAGCCCCTTAGAGGCTGTCCAGGCTGATGGTCCAAAGCGCCTGCACATGCGGTCTGGAGTTCCTCTGCCTGCTCCCTCGTCAGAAGGATGGTTTGGGGGCGGGGCAGTGAGCCGCGGGCTCGGGGAGTGATTTCTTTTCACGCCAGTGTTCACGGCATCCCGCACGGATTCTCTGTGGTTCCAGCAAGGCCCTGTGGCTGGGCTGTGGCCTTTACCAGAACCTTAGAGGAAGTAGTTTCGTATGTGCAGTCTCTCTGATTATTCAGATCAAGTCTGATCTTCAGATTTTCTCAGCTTATACTGTCATTTGGCTGGGAGAAGACTTTTTTTTTTTTAATTTTTATTAGTGAGACATCATGAGGTACAGTTGTACACTTACAAATTTTTGTGCTTGGGTTTTAGTTACACAATGATCGAGTACCCATCCTTCCACCAGTGCCCATTTCCCACCACCACGGATCCCAGTATCCCTACCACCCCCCATCCCCCCCATCCCACCCTGCCTCTGTGGCAGGGCATTCCCCTTTGTTCTCTTTCTCCTTTTGGGTGCTGTGGTTTTCAAAAGAGGCATTGAGTGGCAATCATATTCGGTGTATAGTCTACTTTCAGCATGTGGGAGAAGACTTTTGGGGGTCACACTACTCTCCGTGTGTTAACTGTCTGTATCTGCTGTAGATACTTCCAGGCTTTGGTCAGTAATATGTCCTTCGTAAAATACAAAGAAGTCTACGCAGCTGCCGCAGAGGTCCTGGGACTGGTTCTCCGATATATTACTGAGAAAGAACACGTGAGTTTGCTGTGCCGTTTTATTTCTTTATTGGATCATATCCGGCTCATTTAATTGCTAGGCTCAAACCCATATAAAGTGGGTTCACACGTAAAACCGTGTGCAGTCCCACAGGAGACACTCGTCTGGTCCTGTGCAATTTGAAGCAAATGTTTCTTTTTGAATTTTGATTTATCTCTTCTGTACCACAAGAAAGTCAGTTGGGCATTTGGCGTTTATTCAAGTTTTACTCCTTCCTACTGAATAATTGCCAGTCATTCTTAAAATGAGGACAAGTTATTTTTTTAAACACTAGAAACTTGATAAATACTTAAGGGCTGGTAGCTTAATTGTATTTTTGTGAAGGGTCCCCCCAAACTCAGAGGCTGGGACTTGCCCAGCCATGGCAGTGGGGTCTGGGGACCCCCAGGGTGGTACCAGCAGTGTTCGGGGGTCATGCAGACGCGGGGGTCAGACTGGGGTCTCGCACAGAAGGCGTGCGAGGTAGCCCTATGAGCTCTCTCTATCCTGATAACTGAATTTGTGTTGCAAAAGTGATGCTCTGAATATATATAACCAGAATTCCTCTGCATGTCTCAGGATTTCCTTTGGGAATAAATTATCCTGCTTGATTTCTGCCGTGTTACTGCGACATTAAGCTAGCGAAGCCTCTGCTCTCAGTTAGACATGATGGAGTTGTCGAATCGCCGAGGGTGCTTCTCATACCGGGAGTGCGGGGAGTGGACTGAGTCTGCCTGTGTCCTCCCCCGAGCAGGCCGCGCGGGGAGTGTGGCGTCGAGTGTGGGAGCCTAGGGAGAGCGTGGTGGGGCGGCACGCTCCGTAATTGAAACTTGGAAAAGAGAGATGGTTTTCAGATTCTTTTAAGATTTCCGTTTAAATGCTGGGAAGATGTCCCGGTTCCAGACTCCGCTCACGCGGGGTGCTGGTCGGTGTCCGTTGCAGCCCCTTAGCTCTGCTCCCTCCCACCCGGCCGCCTGCCCTCCCCTCCCCTCCCCTCCCCTCCCCTCCCCCCTGCGGCCCAGTCTCTTGCCTTCAGAACCGCTCGCACATTCATGATTCTAAACTGGTGTTTCCGGTCCACGTGCTCTCCCAAAGGAGAGGTGCACAGATGGTCAGGGGAGCTGCAGAGAGTTTGGAGAGGCCGGGACAGGACCCCCCACCTTCAGACACCAGCCAGGCCACTGGGCAGAAAGGAGGACGAAGCCACAGTGGCAGGAAGCTGGCCCCGGGGAGAGTCAGACTGTCTTGCGGTATTGCCAGCCGTCCTGTAAGACGGATCTCTAGCGTCCAGAACAACCTGTTGCAACACGATTCTGCTTCCCTGAATGTTGATTTATGGAGTGTGGAGTTAGGTCACAGCAAGCCCTCGGGTTCAGTATTTCAGCATGATTTCCCTTTAACCAGAATGAGTTCTAGAGTTCTTTTCTGAGTGACACTGACATTGGAATAATACAGAAATTTGGAGAAAAGCGTTAAACATAAATCAAGTCACTCATATTCTTACTTCTGTAGAGTGTGTGTGTGTGTGTGTGTGTGTGTGTGTGTGCGTGCGCGTGTGCGCAATCACACATACGTTTGCCTTTATCTGTACTGTTAGGCTCCCGTTTTGTGTGACTTGTGCACTTGTCTATGTTGGGTGCTTCCAGGCGCCTCTAGGCCCATGCACTCAGCCACGGCTGTGTGTACCAAACCCTCCCCAGAGGGACATGCAGCAGGGAAATAGGTGCGTGAGTCATTTAGAAAGCCAGGAGAAAACAGTATCTCGGGCGTCAGTGCTCAGGGCTGTTCCGTTGCGTTCCCCGATCTTCCGTGTGCCGGGAAGGCTTCACCAGAGGTGCCTGCTCCTGGACTGACCTCGTCCCAACAGCTTTCAGGCCTCAGCTGACTTGGCAACAGAAAGCCCCAGCCCGATCCCGCTGGCCACCCGGCCGGGCGTCCACCCTGCGCCCAGCCCCACTGCTGTGCCCCTTGCTTTTGGCCTTGGAGGCCTTGTCGGTTTTTGTGACACGCTGTTTGTGGAGTTTGGGCCTGAGGTTGTTCGTGGTCCTCCAGGCCACCCGGGCACCTGCACTCATGACAGCCCTGTGCTGTGCACTGCTCAGGGGAAGGCCGTTCCGTGTCGGTCGCCGCCTTCGTGTGTTTGAGGGGGGCTTGACTTTGCAGCCCCTGGAGGAGCCTGTGCGGGAGCTGGTGGAGAAGCAGCTGAGGCAGCACCAGAGCACCATGGAGGACAAATTCATCGTGTGCCTGAACAAAACCGCCCAGCACTTCCCTCCGCTGGCCGACAGGTAGGGCCGGCGCGGGTCCGCGGGTGTCCTGGGCGGGCAGGGTCGCCGCATCTCCTCACCCGGCTGTCGGCCGCCGACAGGTTTATGAGCACCGTGTTTTTCCTGCTGCCCAAGTTCCACGGGGTGATGAAGACACTGTGTCTGGAAGTGGTGCTGAGCCGCGCAGAGACGCTCCCGGACCTCTTCCTGCAGCTACGCAGCCTGGGCTTCACTCAGGTCCTCAGGCACAGGTGAGCGGCCGGGCAGGCTCACTGCTCGGGCCAGGGCTCACCGCTCCGCTTCAGGGCGGAGCCGGACTGGGCCTGCCCAGGCCCCAGGCCTGTCCACTCCTCAGTGGCTGGGCCTGCCCGGGCCCTCTCCCACTCTCTCTCCCAAGTTCCTTGGTTTAGTCACCTTCAATCTTTTTTTATGGCGGGGGGGTCCCACCCGGCGATGCTCAGGGCTTACTCCTGGCTCCGCACTCAGGAATTACTCTTGGTGGTGCTCGGGGGACCCTATGGGATGCTGAGAGTTAAGTGGGGGTCGGCCTTGTGCAAGGCCAACGCCCTCCATGCTGTGCTCTCGCTCAGTTCCACTCAGAAGACTGTAGGTTTTAGGACAGACGTGTTTGTATGTTTGAGTCTGAAGGGGGGTGGTCTGCCCTGCCCCGCCCAGCCTGTAAGGCCCTGCTCCTCGGGCTGCCTGAGCCTCAGGGAGAGGCTTCTGACTCAGCTGTCAGGGGAGAGAGAAGCTTCCTTTCTGTCATTGCTCCCGTGTGTTTCAACTCCCAGGACACTGTTAGGAGGAGCCCATTCGTCTGCAGCATCTCTGCCCCTGAACTTTCCCAGTTCTGTTTGGACACGTGTTTTCACAGGGGGAAAGCCCAAGGGAGGGAGGCTGGTGCCATCCCTGTGGGGCACGGCTGCCCGGGCCCTAGCGGGATCTAGAGTCGTACCAGACGGAAAGACCATGTTCCCCGCCAGGGGTGTCCCGAAGCTGTCCCCCCGCAAACAGTCTCTACCCAGCTCTGCGGAATGGTCAGTTATGGAAAAGAATCTAATGGGCCAAGCGCAAAAACGTTTGTCTTTGTACTTTGATATCCCTCCATAAGCATTCAGTGAGGGCGTGGGGATTTGGCTCAGTGGTAAACTGCATTCTTCACACGAGACCCGGGTTTGATCCCTGCACCACAAAATGAGCAAGCAGAAACAGGCCTCTATTGACTGCGCTGCACAGGACATCAGCCAGCCACGTTAGGGAGAAACGGTCACCAGGCAAGGGAGAAGGGCGCGCCTCAGAAAGACCCAATAGAGCGGGGAGCATGGAACCAAGACTTGGAGTCCCTTCTGCAGGGTAGGAGGTCAGTGTACAGACACCCTCAGCAGAGACGGTGTCCCAGGGAGCCTGGAGTCATGTCTGCAGTGTAGGAGGTCAGTGCACAGACACCCTCAGGAGAGTCCCTGTCCCAGGGAAGATGCCACCAACCGTGGCACAGCCCCGGACACAGGCTCAGGAGGGAACCTGCGCAGTGCTGCACGAGGCCCAGAAGCCAGAATAAAGGAGGAAAGTGACACACGCCCTTAGACGGAGCTCATTTCGTTTGCCTTTGCTTTTTAAATAGATATTTCGGAATCATTTCGTATTTTTAGACAGGTGAAAGGATGGTGCAGGGCCAGGGAGTATCGGTTGCCTGCGCCTGCTCCGGGCAGGATTCTGGGTTTGTTCTCCAGCCCACTGGGAGTGGCCCTCAGCTCCACTCCCCGGCGTCCCTGCGGGGCCGCATCAGAACCACACCAGAGAGCCGCGCGCACATTTCCCACCTTCGCCCATTTCACCGTCTTTCATGGTTCTTTTAAGTTTACCATCATGGAAAAATACATTCATTCAGTACTAAGAAAGACTGTATATATCTTTTTACTTTTCTTTTTTTTTTTTCTTGCTTTTTGGGTCACACCCGGTGATGCACAGGGGTTACTCCTGGCTCTGCACTCAGGAATCACTCCTGGTGGTGCTCAGGGGACCATATGGGATGCTGGGAATCGAACCTGGGTTGGCCGCGTGCAAGGCAAACGCCCTCCCCGCTGTGCTATCGCTCCAGCCCCTTACTTTATTCTTAAAAAAATTTTTAGATAAATTTTTTACCTCTATTCAGACAGCGATTAAGCTGACTGAAGCAGGCATAAACTTCACAATATTTTTTTTTAAATGTTTTTAATTGGATATCCATGAGATAGACCCTTACGACACTGTTCATGGTTTCAGTCATACAATGATCCAGCCCCTCTCCCCCTACCCCCAGCCTCCCTCTATGGGAGGCACTTTCCTTATATCTCTCTCCTTTTCCTATTGTGCATTATGGTTTGCAATACGAGTAAGGGTGTGGATATATTTTTTTCTATTCCAGGATCCAATCCAGAATTTCACCTTGAATTAATTTTTTTAATTGTGTAGCTCAGAATGATAATTTCTGAGTTATCTTTATTATTATTATTATTATTATTATTTTAGATTTTATTTTTTCTTTTTAATTTTTATTAGTGAGACACCATGAGGTACAGTTGTAGACTTGCAAATTTTTGTGCTTGGGTTTCAGTTATACAATGATCAAATACCCATCCCTTCACCAGTGCCCATTTCCCACCAAATTATTTTAGATTTCAAGCATTATGGTTTACAAAGCTGTTATTGGCGGGGTTTCATACATAAAATTTCCAGCACCTCCCCCTCCCCCGCTGCCCTCTTCCCCCACCTCCTCATCATCCCCAAGCCCCAAAGCTCCTAATCAAGACCAGTTCTCCGTTTCTGTTGCCTTTGGGATATTTTTCTTTGGTCGGTTGGCTTTGGGTTTGGGGCCACCAGGCTTTGTACTTCGGGCTTCCTTCTGGCTGTGCCCTCAGGAATCAATTCTGGCAGAGCGTGGGGCACCATAAGGGTGTCGGGCGTTGAACCCGGGTCAGACACACCCGAGGCGAGTCCTCACCTGCGATAGTGTCGCCCTACCCTGTGTGACTTCCCTGCAAGGCTTCTCTTTGTCCTGCGTATGGGATCATCCGTGCCCGTCCCCTGCTCTGCCGTCCCTCAGCCGGACGCTCTCCTGATGCGCCCGCTAGCAGCGACGTGTGCGACGTCGTCTGTCCTTGCAGCCGAGCCCTCTCCACTGCGCAGACACGCCGGAGTTGCCGGAGTTAGCCCACTGCTTGTCCCGGGGCACTCGGGCTCTTCCCCGTCTGGCTGTTGGGGACAGGCTGTGAGGAACACAGGCGGGCAGGTGGCCTTTCCCAACAGAGTGTTGGACCTTTGGGGTAAGTGCCATGAAGCAGAATTGCTGGGTCAGATGGCAGCTGAAGGGAATGTAATTTTTATGCAAGTGTAGTTTTATAAAACTACAGAACAGTCCCAAAAAAAATGGGTAAGACTCAAGAGTATAAAAATTGTTAAATTCTTGTTTTTTTTAAATCTGTTGTAGAGATGATGAAAGGCAAAAAGTCTGTTTGGACATCATTTATAAGATGCTGCCAAAGTTGAAACCGGTAGAACTTCGAGAGCTCCTGGGTCCTGTTACGGAATTCATCTCCCACCCGTCTCTGACGTGCAGGGAGCAGATGTACAATATTCTCATGTGGGTCCACGACAATTACAGGTGAGTGGCATCGTGTGCTGATGGCTTGGTACCGGGCTGGCACGTGAGTGGCAGAGGTCACCTTCATTCACGCTGGGTGTCCTGGGGTCCAACCCCGGGCTCACACTTGCAGGGCATTTGCTTTATCACCAAGTTTCATCCCAGAACCTCTAGGTTCATACTAGACAATGCATTTTTTTAAGGAAACAAAGTTTTGGAGCTTGAGTACTAGTGCAACAGGTAGTGCGTCTGCCTTCCTTGCAGCCGCCTCATATGGTTTCCCGAGCCCTGCCAAGAGGATCCCTGAGTGCAGACCCAGGCGTAAGCAAGCCCTGAGCACCATGGGGGTAGCCCGAAAGCAAAATAATAATAATAACACATAATAATAAAATAAATTAAATAAAAACCAAATTTTTGCGTGGTGCCAGGGGTCAGACCTGGGCTTCTCACACACAAAACTCTACGTGTAGGACTCTACTACTGAGCCCATCCCTAGCTTGTTCTCTTTTATAAAACAATTTTTCTGAGTGCATTGTGATTCCCAAAGTTGAGTTCCAGGCGTGCAGTGGTCCAACTCCGATGCCACCACTGCTGACTGTCCCCGGTTCCCTCTTACCCCCAGCCTGCCTCACTGAGAAGCACATTGAGAAACATTTTTTTTTAATTTTGTGAAGCAAATCGTTTTTATTGGCATTTACTTAGATGTTAGGGGAGAGAGAGGAATGTGTTTCAGAGAGAACACAGCTTCTTCCGAATAAAAAGAGCAGACAGAGGAGAGCAGCGCGTCTTCAAGAGAGGACTCAGGCTTGGAGCCAGCAAGCAGAAGCAAGCGCGTGTCTAAGTTTGGTCCTGATGTCTTGGTCTTGTTCTCAGTGCGGTGGGCTCTGTGGGAGACACGCCACATCTCCCCACACCTCGGTGCCCACAGGCAGACCCCGGCATCAGCCACCCCTCCCTCGACTGCTTCCCTTCGCTCTCCTGCCTCCTCATTCCCGTGCTGTCGTGTCGGGGTGGCGGCAGCACCCTCGTCTGCCCTCGTCCCATCACTGTGTCCCACGATGGGAGAGCCCGCCCTCTGCTGCCCTCCCTCTGCCGGGCTCCCTTCCTGCGAGGGCTTTCAGCTCCACCCCAGTCGCAGCAGACTGCATTATTTCTCTCTTCCCGGCTGCGTGGCATTCCATCACGTCTATCCGCTACTTCCTCATAGTCCACTCACCTGTTGTTAGACCCCTCACCAGGCTGGCCCATGTCCTAGGGCTGACTCCTGGCAGGCTGGCAGGGGTGAGGGGGGGAGCAGGCATATGACATGCCACCTATTTAACCTGCACAGCCTATCTCGGCCTGGTTTTCCCGTTCGGTGCCGGGTTCTGTGGCGGTTCTCTGGATAGCCTTAGTGCCGCCCTTGGAGAGCATTTGCGCAGACTGTGGCCATTCCGGTAGGAACAACTGATGGGCTTGGCGCTGACCTTAGCTGGCACAAGTAGGGTTGGGCGGGGAAGGGGTGCCCAGGAGCGGCCTGGCAGGCCGAGCTGAGAAGCTGGCTGGGACGGAAAGGGCAGACTCTGTATTTTTATTTATTTATTTAATTATTTGCTTCTTTTGGGTCACACTCAGCAGTGCTCTGAGGCTCCTCCTGGCTCTGCACTCAGGAATTACTTCTGGCGGTGCTTGGGAGACCATATGGGATGCTGGGAATCGAACCCAGATCAGCCGCGTGCGAGGCAAAAGCCCTACCTGCTGTACTATTGCTCCGGCCCCCTGTATTATTTTTAAAGAGGTCATTTGCATGACTAGCAGTCCGATGTAGACTATAATACATCATAAACAACATTCATCCGTGTAACCAAGAACCAAAGTGAATCTATTTTCGCATATGGAGACAGGTTCTTACTGGAACTCAGGTGTGTTTGGGAAGTAAGCGGAGCGTGAGCTCCTGGGCTGAGGGGAAAGTGAGGTGGGCTTGCTTTGCAGGCAGGGTCTCAGAGCCAGCCCCTCTCACCTCCCCGCCTCCCCTCCAAGTCTCTGGCCACCATCCAGCCCTGGAAATCCCTGGGTGTGCGTCCAGAGCACACTAAAATGCTGTTGATTGTTGAGGTTTGTTGTTACACTTTCTCCCTGGATGTTAGGCGGGATGACTGTTGTTCTCTCAGAAAAGCTGTGCTGGTTCACTTGAATTCTGGGCAGTGACTGGGGTTGAACAAAAGTGACAGAGGAGATTATTAATGTTTCATCATTTTTTTTTGTTTGTTTCAGAGATCCAGAGAGTCAAGCCGATGAGAACTCCCAAGAAATTTTTAAGCTGGCGAAAGACGTGTTGACTCAGGGATTGATGGATGAGAACCTCGGGCTTCAGTACGTGATCGTCCTGGAGTGACAGCCAGGGTAGAGACGCTTAGGGTTATTGCTGCACTGTGGACTGTCTCGGCCTACAGTGCGGTCCTGACCATTTGGACCTGCAGGCTCAGTGCTCGGGCCCTGGGGTCCACTGCAGGGTGGGGAAGGGGGATGCAGTGCTGGAGATTGCACCTGGGACCTCAGACATTCCAGGGCCTGTGGCATCTCCCCAGCCTGGGAGCAAAATTTTTCTAGCAAAGCAATGAAATACATACTTCCTTAAGATACATTCTCAGTTTCAAGATAGCTGATGATTATATTCATGGCCTCTGAAACTTCCCAGGTAAGAAAATTCATAAAATCCCCCGTGTTAAGTATGGCTCTGGGGCTGGCGAGTCGGCTCGGAGGGACTGGCGTGTGCCCTGCCTGTGGAGGCCGGTTGGCTCCACGGCACCTCCTAGCCCTGGGCACCAGCAGGAAGGACTTGTGGGGACTGCCAGGTGCGGCGCCGAGACCAAAGGAATCAGTAAATGACAGGGTGCAGAACCATTCTTTTTTTTTTTTTTCTTTATGGGCACACCTGAGCACGGCCAGGAGTAACTATGTGGGGTGCTGGGAATTGAACTCGGGTCAGCTGTGTGCAAGGCAAACGCCCTCCCCGCTGTGCTATCTCTCCAGTCCCAAGGGTGCGGAACTGTTCTTTCTCTGCACAGCGGGACTCAGGCTGTGCTCCTCCTGCAGTCCGGACGCGGCCTCCCGCACTCCCTGGGGACCTTCCTGCCGACTGAAACCCGGCTGCAGGGGACAGCACCCTCTCAGCGGCGGCGTGTCTTTCTCCTCTCTGCTTTTCAGGTTAATCATCCGAAACTTCTGGAGCCACGAAACTCGGCTACCGTCCAATATCTTGGACCGGCTGTTGGCGCTGAACTCTCTCTATTCTCCAAAGATCGAAATGCATTTTCTAAGCTTGGCCACGGATTTTCTTCTCGAGATGACCAGCAGGAGCCCCGACTATCCCAACCCGATCTTTGAGCACCCCCTTTCCGAGTGCGAGTTTCGGGTCAGTACCTCTGTCTGCTCGTGACCGTCGCAGGGTCCCCGTCTCCGCGCGCGCCCCTACGTGTTAAGCCGGCTTGCCGGGTGTCCCCTCGAGGCAGCTGCCTCTGCCCGCGCTCCCCTTCTCTGCTCCGCCCAGTGCTGGTGCCATGGGCTGCCCCGGGTCTCTCACTGGGCGCTGCGGGGCCCAGGCGGGAGCTGGGGTGCAATCAGCACAGCTGTCTTGAGGGGCTGCTCTCGGCTGCGGCGTTTAGCTTCCGGGGGGGTCTGGGAGAAGCAGGAAAGCTGGAGCTTAACCGTTTGGAAGGGTCCTTCAGTGTCCCACAGAAACGAACTTGCTAAAGTGTGTGCTGGGGGCCGGGTGAGAGTACAGTGGGGAGGGCTTCTGCCCTGCATGCAGACCACCCCAGCAAGCCATGCGCCCCCCCTCCCCCCTGCCCACAAGGAGTGATCCCTGAGCACAGAGCCAGGAGTCAGCCCTGGCTTAGTTACAGGCAAACCCATTCCTGTCCCCAGCCCCCGCAGGGGAAAAAAATGCGTTTGCCATAGTCCCTCTGTGTCTTAAATGATTTGTGTTGCTGGAGAACGGACCTGTTGGAAACTCTTTCTACGCAGGAATACACGATCGATTCCGACTGGCGCTTTCGGAGCACTGTCCACACCCCCATGTTCATCGAGACGCAGGCCTCCCAGGGCTCTCTCCAGACCCGGGCCCCAGAGGGGTCCCTGCCGGCTCGGGGGCCCGCGGCCAGGCAGATACGAGCAACCCAGCAGCAGTACGATTTCACCCCCACGCAGAGTGCAGGTAACTGTGACCGGCAAGAGGGGCATCAGAGACATGAAAGGGACCGGGACCAGAGGGGGCTGGGACCCCAGCACAGAGGCTCTGACATGGGTGGCTCTGGAGTCACGGAGTGCCTGGGAGCCCGGCACCTGCAGCCTCCCAAATCACAGGGCCTGGGTTGAAAGGTCTTTGCAAAGAAAGGGGAAAATGGTAGCCACAAAAAGACAGGCCAGTCGAGAAGTCATAGGAGGGGCCTCCTGCAGCGGTGAGATCCAGAGAGAGGGCATCGAGGTTGGACTCCAGGATTCTCGTGGGACGCCCGGAGGGGAGCTGGTGTCTCTCTGAGAACGGACCTCGAGGCGAGGGTCGCACTGGTAGTTGCTTGATTAACTGTATGCGACTGCACAAAACGGTCCATTTAGAAATGGTTAGGGGCTGGAGTGATAGCACAGCGGGGAGGGTGTTTGCCTTGCATGCAACTGACCCAGGTTCGATTCCCAGCATCCCACAGGGTCCCTCGAGCACCGCCAGGAGTAATTCCTGAGTGCAGAGCCAGGACTGACCCCTGAGCATCGCTGGGTGTGACCCAAAAAGAAAAAAAAAGGTTAAAGTCAGTCTGATGTTATGTATATTTTACCAAACGTATTTATTTTTCAATTTTTTTTTTTGGCTGGCTCTGCACTCCTGGGTCTGCACTCAGGAATTACCCCTGGCAGTGCTCGGGGGACCATATGGGATGCTGGGAATCGATTTTTTTTTTAAAGCACTGTGAATTACAGAGTTATTCCGAGTTGGGGTTGTGACGTCCAACTGTTCCATCACCGTCCCAACACTCGCGTCCCTTCCCTCCTCCAGTGAGCCCAGGTTCCCTCTCTGACCACTCTCCTCCCAGCCCCAATTTATTGAGGGAAAAAAAAGCAAAGAATTATTTCTGGATGGGACAAACTAGAAAAAGTTTCAAGATCTTCACGTCTGCTTTGATTTTATCCAGAGAAACCTGTTTGATGCATCGAGTCATAAAATCCGTTGTGTCGAGTGTCAAACACGCTAAAGCAGAGTCGCTGGCCTGGTAAACTCCCTGTGACTCAGCTCTCTGGGCTGGTGAGGACCGTGGTGAGACGCCCAAGTTGTCACCTTGGCGGCTCCCCGAGGCGTCTCCCCTTGGCTTTCTGGGTGGTTCTAGAACTGATTCGAGTCTTCCTAACGGAGATGTGGTGACAGAGTGTTAGGACCCATGCCCCTGTGGAGAGCTGCCACAGCCCGTCTCCTGCCCTGGTGTGCTGGCGTGGAGGCTGCCCAGGGAGTGCGCGGGGAGCACGGCCACCTGCCCGCCCTCTCCCTGTCCCTGCAGATGGGAGGAGCTCCTTCAACTGGCTGACCGGGAGCACGTTCGACCCGCTGGAGGACTCCACAGCCTTCCCGTCCTTGGATTCCTCGGGGTCGTCCTCCCTGCTGTTTGCCCAGCACAGGAGAGAGAGGCCCGGGGGCTCTGACTTGCAGAAGAAACAGCTGGGCCTCCCCGGTGATGCAGTGGGCAGCAGAGCGGAGGGTAAGAGCTGAAGTGCCTGCTGCTGGGGGCGTGCGGGGGGTGCACCTTGCCCTGGCCCCGCACTCAGCTGCGCTGGGCTCTCACCCTCGCCGGTTCCGGGTGGTGGCCGCAGAGTCCAGTGCACCGTGCTCGGGCACTTGGGGAGTGGGCAGTCTCGGAGAGCAGGGGCTTCCTGCAGGCCCATGCCACAGGGCTGCCGTAGGCGGGGGGGGGGGGGCTGCTGGTGGGACCCGGCGTGGGTGGGCTTGGAAAATCAGGCGCAGAGCTGAGTGGGTGGGTCGGTGAGGACTGCCAGCCCGCGTCTACCTGCGGATAAAGTGGGCGTGTGCTCTTGTGTGTAGGAATGTGTGGCTTGCTGCCTTTGGGGAGAGATGTGCTTTCTCTTTTTTTTTTTTTTTAATTTTTATTGGTGAGACACCATGAGCTACACAAACTTTCGTGCTTGGGTTTCAATTATACAATGATCAAATACCCATCCCTCCACCAGTGCCCATTTCCCACCACCACAGATCCCAGTATCCCACCCAAACCCCATCCCCCCCATCCCACCCTGCCTCTGTGGCAGGGCATGCCCTTTTGTTCTCTCTCTCTTATTGGGTGTTGTGGTTTGCAAAAGAGGCAATGGGTGGCAATCATGTTTGGTCCATAGTCTACTTTCAGCATGCATCTTCCATCCTGGGCGGATCTTCCCAACATCCTTTATTTGGTGCTCCCTTCCCTATCTGAGCTGCCTTTACCCCTAGCGAGTGTGGCTGGCTTCCGCCCGAGAACAGATGACTGGTTAAAGAAACTTTGGTATATCTATACAATGGAGTACTATGTAGCTGTTAGAAAGGATGGCGTCATTCGTTGAACATGGTCTGGGGTTGGGCTGGGTTGCCTTAAAAGTTTTTGTTCAGGGGCTAGAGCACTAGCACAGCGGGGAGGGCATTTGCCTTGCACACGACCAACCCGGGTTCGATTCCCAGCATCCCATATGGTCCCCTGAGCACTGCCTGGAGTAATTCCTGAGTGCAGAGCCGGAAGTTACCCCTGTGCATCGCCAGGTGTGACCCAAAAAGCCAGAAAAAAAAGTTTTTGTTCAGAAAATGTCTAGCTTACAAAAATGCCTACTCTTCGCTCCCTTTGGGCCATGTCAGTGGAAGAAGTGAATGCACATGCTCAGGGCCGATAGGCGGTCAGCCCTGGGCTTGTGGGCAGAGACACAGTTCCCAGAGGGCCCGTGGCTGCTAACCCCCCGCTGCCTGTCTTCCAGGGATCGACAACCGGGCTGAGATACTCCGACTGCGCAGGCGGTTTTTAAAGGACAAAGAGAAACTCAGTTTGATTTATGCCAGGAAAGGGGTCGCTGAGCAAAAACGAGAGAAGGTTTGTACCTTTGCCCGGAGCCCGGTTGGTCAGAACCGCCGTTCCCACCCAAGGCCCCCCATTGGGGAAGAGGCCTCCCGTTAGACCCGGGCCCATCGTTGTCTGTGAATCAGAGTGGTGGGAGCATCCCCGTGCGAGTCCCGGCTGTGTGGTGGCCCGGGTCCCCTGCCTGCGGGGGTGAGGGGCTTCCTGACCACTGCTGAGGCCAGGGCACCTCCCCAGGCCTCCAGGACCGTCTCCCCGCCTGGCCCGACCTCCAAGCGGGGCCTTCCCTTGGCCCTCTCCAGACTCTTGTACGTGGGGAGACAGGCCCCCCCTCCTGCCTGAAGTCTCGTCTGAGAATCCCTGCTGGGAGGGGGGCGGCAGGGCCCCCCCGTCCCCCCACTCTGGCCAGCCAGCAGGGGGCGGTGGGCGCCTGTGCTAGCTGCCTCTGCCAGGCAGGCTGCCAGCGCTGGGTAGCCGGGCAAGAGCCGAAGGTACAAGAAACAACAGCTAAGTGTTGCCCAAATCGTAGAGCGTCTTTGGGGTTTCTCTAGCCTTAGCTCTGGTTTAACGTATAAACCGTTAATCACGGCATAATCTCCAGAGAGAAAGATCAGGTTGTCGCGTGAACGCTTACAGCACCCCGTGTAAACACGGCTAGGGGTCACTCTCCCTCGAGCACAGGCCAGGAGTGCGTCCTGAGCACCACCACGGGGCGGCCTGAGCCCTCCCTGCAAAACATCCCGAGTGCGGCTCGGTAGCAGGTCGCGGGGTTGGCGTCTGTGGGCGCAGGGTTCGGTCCTGGGCTTACTCTAAAGTGATCATGACGTGCAGAGTCGGACATGAAGTACAGAATCTGCTCAGGGGGCCGTGACGGGGGAGGGACTTTCTGGAGAAGGGCTGACCAATGGCTGGGGGGAGAAAGAGAAGAGGATTCCGGAATACCCTGGGGGCGAGTCAGGAGTGCCGGAGGAGCAGACAGGGGTGAGCCTTGCTGCGGAGGGGGGCCCAGCAGGGGAGAGGCAGCGCTCGTGGACGGCATCGAGGCTCTTCGGCCACACGCTCTGATGCGTGACTATTTAGGTCACTCTCTGGTAGACGTTTAAATAATGTTCACTGTGCCTCTGCCATAGTGATTTTTGTTTTGGATGTAGCCTTGACCACAGACCAGTCAGACGCAGCAACACGCCATTTGGGGTGGTTGTGGTCCTGCTGCCGCCTCTCCCGAGTGACGCCGCTGACCTCTCTGCCCCCAGGAGCTCCAGAGCGAGCGGCACCTGAAGCAGGATGCCCACGTCATTCTGTACCGGAGCTACCGGCAAGGAGACCTCCCCGACATCCAGATCAAGCACAGCGGCCTCATCGCCCCCTTGCAAGCCGTGGCCCAGGTCAGCCCGTCCTCTGGACCCTCCCTCGGCAGACAGAGCCTGGGGAGCCTCGGCGCCAGGGGTCTGGCCTGCGAGGCTCTGTCGGCCGCCCCGCGCCTCCAGCGAGGTGTCCATCTGTCTAGGTTACCAGGCTTCTGCAGCCCTGAGCCGTGCTCTTGGCCCCAGCCCTGCCTCTCTTGCTCCCAGTCGCGAGCAGACCCTCAGCTCGGGCTCCCCTCCAGGCCCCGGGTGCCATGAGCCGCGTCGTCATCCATAAAGTCACAGTCTCTCCTTCCTCCCAGTAATGTCCAGGTGAACTGGCGTGTGAGGCTCTTGAACTGCTCTGGTCATTGCGTACATGAAATCCTTTTCTTTTTTTCTTTTTGGGTCACACCCAGCAATGCGCAGGGATTACTCCTGGCTCTGCACTCAGGAGTTACTCCTGGTGGTGCTCAGGGGACCCTATGGGATGCTGGGAATTGAATCCAGGTCAGCTGCATGCAAGGCAAATGCCCTACCCGCTGTGCTGTCGCTCCAGCCCCAGAAATCATTTCTTTTTGGGGATCGAGGAGTGTTAGTTTATTGGTGGGATCAATAAACTAAACTGGATATAATTTTCACGTATTAGGGTGTAAAAGTACTGAGACTGAATAAAGCTGTCTAGCTGAATTGTTACAAAACAGGATTTTTATTCCCCAAAAGGCTGATTAAGATTTCTTTGTTTGTTATTGAAATAACTTTGTATCAAAGAGAATTCTATATGGTACTGTGGTAACCACTGAAATATAATCTTGACTTTCATTGTGCTTAGGTTTCTGTTACTGATGTTACAGTGAGTTCTCTTTGCATAGCCCTCCACTTTTTTTGTTTTGGGGCCACTCCTAGCGGTGCTCGGGGCGTGCTCCTCACTCTGTTCTCAGGGCTCACTCCTGGCAGGCTCAGCGGTGCCAGGGTGTGGGATCCCGGTGGAAGCTGGGGTGACAGACGCAAGGAGAGCCCCTTGCCCCCATCCTGTCTGTCTGGTCCTGCTGCCGTTTCTTAAAGCCTTTTGTTTAGATGATTCCCAGTTGGCAGGCATCTGCGGCAATAGCAGAATAGCCATATGTTTGTATTCATGTCCTCGTTTTATTGGTCAACTTTGGTTTTTGGGTCACACTTGACTGTGCTCAGGGATCACTCCTGGAAGGGTCCGGGGGTTGAACCCGGCCGGCTGCACACAAGGCACTCTGTGTACCCTCTCCAGCCCTCGTGTTCACAGCTAGAGTCACGGGGGCTCGGGAGGTGCCCAGGAGGTGAGGCGCGTGCCTGCGTCTGCTGTGTGGCCCTGACAGAGGGTCCCCACACCAGGGTGGACCCTGAGCAAGGCCTCCCCGTCCACTCCAGAACTTAACTCTCATGCCGTGTTTGGGGCGGGGATGTGGTGCGGTGTGAGGATACAGGCCTCACGCGTGAGGCCCTGGGCCGGACCCCGGCACCCCACGGCCACCCCAGGCAGTCGTGTGGCCCGCCTCAACACCACGGCCCACGGCAGTAGATGTGAGGGAAAAGAGAACTCTGCCGCGCATGCCAGGAATGCCTCAGCGTGGGTGTTGCCGTCACAAGGGCTGAGTGACAGTACAGCGGAGGGCACTGGCTTCACACAGGCCAGTCCACGTTCCGCCCCCGGCATGCCACATGGTCGTCCGGGCCTGCCAGGAGTGGCCCCTGAGCACCGCTGAGTGGCCCAAAACCCCTCTAGCCCCCACTGCCGCCCACCCGCAATAAGGACTAGAGTTCCCGTGTGAGGGTGCAGCAGGTACACGCGACGCAGCCACTTGGCCCAGCATGAAAGACAATTTAAATCATTGACTTGGCTATAGTTAAGGACTTTGGAAATTAAAATCAACATCGCGTTTAAACTCATCAGTTACTTCCCTTCAGCTTTACGGGCCTGCTGACGGAATGAGAACTCCTGAAACGGTTTTCAGTGTCTTATCAGTTACGACTGTAACCATTTGATCCTGTATCACAGCTTGTTATCATGATTTTTGATCCAAACCTAGCATTATCTTGGCCAAGCTATGCCACTGTCATGTGAGATGTTTCTGATAGCCCGTTATATATATTTAGTTTTGTTTTGTTTTTGTACCAGAAGTTTCTCCAGGCACCATCTGGTGCCAGGACTGAATCCAGGCCTCCTGCTTGCAAAGCGTGAACTTCACACGCTGAACCACCTTTCCTGCCCTGATTGCATCTAAAGATGCGAAATCTAAAGGCTTACATTCACTGAGGTGTAAAGCTCTGTTGTTATGTGTGGGATTGGGTTAGCTTTTAAACTCTCAAGTCCAAAATCTGTGCTATTACGATGTTCGTAAGACTCATGTCAGATAAAACTGCAGAGCTGTTGAATCGCAGATGCTTCTCTGTAAGGCTCTGTTCAAATGTTTCAGGTAGAGGGGCTGGAGCAATAGCACAGCGGGTAGGGCGTTTGCCTTGCATGTGGCCAACCCGGGTTCGAATCCCAGCATCCCATATGGTCTCCTGAGCACAGCCAGGAGTGATTCCTGAGTGCAGAGCCAGGAGGAACCCCTGAGCATCGCCGGGTGTGACCCAAAAAGCAAAAAAAAAAAAAAAGACTATTCTACTGGGCTGGAGCAATAGCACAGCGGGTAGGGTGTTTGCCTTGCATGTGGCCGACCTAGGTTCGATACCCAGCATCCCATATGGTCCCCCAAGCACTGCCAGAAGTAATTCCTGAGTGCATGAACCAGGAGTAATTCCTGTGCATTGCTGGGTTATGACCCAAAAAGAACCAAAAAAAAAGGTTTCAGGTAGAATTGAAATCAGCCAGAGGGATGCTTACAGCAATTTGTATTTTTGTTTTCTTTTTTGGGTCACATCCGGCGTTGCACAGGGGTTACTCCTGGCTCTGCACTCAGGAATTTCTCCTGGCAGTGCTCAGGGGACCGTATGGGATTCTGGGAATTGAACCCGGGTTGACCGCGTGCAAGGCAAACACCCTCCCCGCTCTGCTGTCACTCCAGCCCCAGCAATTTGTATTTTCATATTAGTAAATTAAAGCATGTTTACTTCATGTCCTAATTTGTCTGTGTTTTAAATATTTTACAGAGGGATCCCATCATCGCAAAACAGCTCTTTGGCAGCTTGTTCTCCGGGATCATGAAAGAAATGGACAAATGCAAGACCACACCCGAGAGGAACAGCATTACCCAGAAGCTGCTGCAGGACTTCAATCATTTCCTTAATTCTTCTTTTTTGTTCTTTCCACCTTTTATTTCTTGTATCCAGGTAAGAGCTCAGCACGCGCTTTATAGAGTAGGCTTTTGTTTGCCGTGTCTTTGCGTCTCTGTCAGAGTAGCTTTATTTGTAAGCTTAAGCCCGGGTGCCTCCCAGACTAGCCGTAGAACGCCTGGGCGCCTCTTCCCAGTGATCTGTGTTCTCCCAGGGCTTGTACAGGACAGCAGGATCAGAAGTCCAGCTTGGGACAGGTGTCCTGCGTGTGAACGAGCCACGCCGTTTGCAGAATTCTGCAAGCTGCTGTTTCCCTGCTCCTGACTGCCTGTGAGGACACGTGCCTGAATTCATCCCCGGCGGGGATGGAGAGACCCCGAGGCATGGTCTTTTCTCCCTAAACTTCATTTCTCAGTGGGTGGCAGAAGGTGCATAGACAAATGAGGACGACAACTTGAGGAGGTGCTGTGGTAGGAACTGGGTAATTGGGACTTACTGAAGCAATTTTGCATAAGCAGGCGGGTCAACAGCCGTTGGTCAGGCTGTTGTGTGTCATCATGGAGAGTGAGGTGCAGTGGTTAGAGAGGCCTTTTCAAGGCATTGTGATTGGACAGGGCCGTTAAGAACACTTTTAGCTACTGCTTAAACATACATATTTAAAGTATGGTGCCTAAGTGTTGAAGCAATTTTTTTGATTTTTATTTTGCTATTTGGGTCACACCCTGCAATGCACAGGGGTTACTCCTGGCTCTGCACTCAGGAATTATTCCTGGCGGTGCTCAGGGGACCTTATGGAATGCTGAGAATCGAACCCGGCTTGGCTGCGTGCCAGGCAGACGCCCTCCCCACTGTGCTATCGCTCCAGTCCCTGTAGCAGTTTTTTTTTTGACATAAGAAATATTTGCTATTCAAAACATGAGTCAATTCAAAGTGTAATAGAAAAATGTATTCTCTTCATTTTACCTGTTACTGTAAATAGTATAACAACGGTGACTCCTTCCTAAAATAATAGAAATATTTTATATGATGAAGTATTTAGCTTATTAGTATGTTTTTTCAATTTTTTTAATCCCTTTTAAAAATTATTTATTGGTTTATTTGCTTTTTGGGTCAGACCTGGCGATTCACAGGCATTACTCTTGGCTCTGCACTCAGGAGTTACTCCTGGAGGTGCTTGGGGGACCATATGGGATGCTGGGAAACAAACAAAAATTCGGGTTGGATGCATGCAAGGCAGATGCCTTACCGGCTGTGCTATTGCTCCAGCCCCTACTTTTTTTTTTAAATGTAAGGGTACTGCTATGCCTTTGATTAAGTTTATTGAACTGAGCATGAACTCCACATTACTTTTTTTTTTTTTAATTTCTTTTGGATACTGGATAGTCATGAAAGACTGTTACAAAGCTGCTCATGGTTGGGTTTCAGTCATGCAGCGGTCCAGCACCCATCCCTCTACCAGTGCACGTTTCCCACCACCCATGTCCCCCATTTTCCTACCACCATCTCCCAACCCCCCACTCCCCACCCCTAACCTCTTTTTTTTTTCTTTTTGGGTCACACCCGGCAATGCTCAGGGGTTACTCCCGGCTCATGCACTCAGGAATTGCTCCTGGCGGTGCTCGGGGGACCATGTGGGATGCTGGGAATCGAACCCGGGTCAGCCATGTTGGCTGCGAGCAAGGCGAACGCCCTCCCCGCTGTGCTATCGCTCCAGCCCCTCCCAACCTCTTTGTATGGGAGACAGTTACCTTCGTACTCTTCCTCTCCTTTTCCTTTTGTGCATTATGGTTTGCAATACAGGCACCAAGAGGTCATGGTGTTTGTTCAGGCATGTGGTATTTTTATTGGGATGGTAAGGCTGGAAGAGCTTTCCAACTGGGTGGTCGCTTTGGGGTGTGGATGTGACTACTGAGAAGTACAGGGAGGTGGGGGGGAGGCAGCTCATCCCGACCCCAAGAAAGCCTGGAGATTTCAGTCACGAAACCCACATACCAGAATTTTCAGCAGATTACATCTAGGTGAGGTCCGTCCTGAAACGGTGGCGTCAGGCCGGGGGTGTGGTGGTGATTTTGGATTGCGGAAGCCAGCGGCTGCCAGGGCTCTGCTTGGGCACGAAGCTAAACCTGCCCACCTCCAATTTCCCCCAGTCTGTTCAGCCATGCCTGGGTCTGAGATTGACCTGTGGCTTTTGGTCTCTTTTGAGATTCAGCTATGGGTTTCTGAAATAAGGCCAACAAAAGAGCTTGTATAGCTGAGCTCAGGTGGTTTGTGGCTCCCACATACCTAACTTTTGGCCGCTTAATTTCTTGGTAAACTTGGTCCCAGGTTGTTGGGGTCCGGCCAAAGGCACAGCGGCAGTTTGGGGATGTCAGGAAGCCTGAAGGCACCATCAGGCTGCTGGTGCACGTGCCCCGCTGGTACAGGTTGGCCTGCTGGTGGCACCATACCCCCTTTTAAGTTACTTTTATTTGTATTGGCTTCTAAGTAGAATTCCTTCTTTGTTTTTTCCTGATCACACTAAAAAATAGAAGTAGTTTTGCATGAGCCAGTGTCTCACGGTCGTTTTCCCTCTGCGTTGTACCCCGACTCCTTCGGGGGAGTCCCTGGCCCTGGCCAGGTACGTCAATGGCTTCTGCTACACAGGGTCTTGCTTGGGGCCTGCCCTGGGGACAGTGCTGAGTGCAGCCCTGCCCTGACTGGGGCTTGGGTCTGTGCTTCATGTCGGAGACCGGGGCTTTTCCTCCCCGCGTGCTGTAGCTTGGCACCCCCCGGAGTTGTTTCAGTGAGGATGAGTGTCTCTGCGACGCCCTACCCTGCAGGCTCTCCCGGGATGAAGCTCTTGTCTGTGACGTCGCTGCTTGTCAGACTGTCCTGACAGCACCGTTGACGGGGGAAAAGTCAGCAGCTCCTGGTGCTCTTTCTCCTAAAGACCAGGAAAAGGTTATTAGGGAATCCTTCGTAAGGACACAGGAAGCAGAATGCAGGCACCCTAAGGAGAGCAGTGCTCCAGCAACAGTGCTCGCCCAGACAGGCCATACCCGGTGCTCCTGGGTAGGGCAGGCGGTGTGCTCCAGCAGGGGCTCCAAAGAGCAGATTTCTCAGGCATTTCATTTTTCAGTTGCTGAAGGGTCTTTGTCCACAGTCCCGGGCCGTGACGGTCCAGCCCCACCCCCGCCCACGTCAGCCTCCCACTGCGCATCCCGGCCTCCTCCCAGCCCCGGCCTCAGCCTGCTGCCCTGAGAAGGGTATGGCTGCCAGCGTGCCCGGCCACTGGGCACACAGGGGCCCAGGCAGATGGCCTGCTGCCGTCCTGACGGGACGCTGTGGCGTGGCGGGTGGAGTTCGGGTCACGGTGGCGCTGCTGACTGGCAGCTCTGCCCCCACAGGCTCACCCTGTCACTGCCTCCTCCGGGACTTGTGCCCCCTCCCCACCCCGCCGCCCACCTGAGGCTCTGCGGACGGGCCTTAACTTGGAGCGTGGGGGTCGGCAGGGAGCTGATTTCCAGGGTGTGCGCAGACCTGAGACCCTTCCCGCGTGCACGAGGGTGCGTCTGAGTGAAGATGCTGTGGTACTATTTAGGATACCCTCATGTTGCCTCAGGATTTGTCCGTATTTTGGTGCACGTAGAACTCTTCAAATCGGGAATGACATAGTAAAGGTCATTATGGTTCCGACACCCTTTATCTGAGATTGCTGAGTAGCCGCTGGCTGGCAGACAGACACCGCGGGTGTTGCCAAGACACCGGGAGATGAGTGTTTTTGGCGATGGGACAGACCTTTGTGCTTTAGCGACTTGTTTTCTCTAGGCGGGATAAATATCCCTGGAATCTACGTTTGTTTGATATGTAAAATATATATTGGATCTTTGTATTTTTGTTGGTGGTTTTCTTGCTCTAAGTCTCTGAATCAGAAGCATAAGAACAGAAGGTCACTTCCCCCTGTGAGCACATTGAACCCCGAGGAATAAAGCACGAGTAGGTGACCAGCTCTGGCCCAGGGGTCCTGTAAGCTCAGGGCAGCGCGGTCGTCTGCGCGTGGATACGGGGGTCCTGGTGCGAAGGCGCCTGGCTCAACCGTGCCGTGTGTCTTCCAGGAGGTCAGCTGCCAGCACGCCGCCCTGCTGGGCCTGGACGCAGCGTCCGTGGGGTCCAGCTGTCTGGCCAGCCTGCAGCAGCCCGCGGGCATCCGCCTCCTGGAGGAGACGCTGCTGCAGCTGGAACCCCAGGGGCCGCCTGCCAAGAGAGTGCGCGGCCCACGTGGCCTGACCCCCGACGTCGCCCGCTGGATGGAGCTCGCCAGGTAAGTGCCGCCGGCCGGACCCGGCGGGCAAACAGCTGGACCCGGAGAACACAAGTGGAAACAGCCCCCCTGGGGCTGGGGGCGAGCCGGTCTCTTCTGTGCGAGTACCGGCAAGATTTCTGAAGATTTTTTTTTTTTTGGCATCACTCCCAGCAATGCTCAGGGGTTCCTCCTGGCTCTGCACTCAGGAACTACTCCTGGCAGTCCTTGGGGGACCCTATGGGATGCCAGGGATCGAACCCGGGTTGGCCACGTGCCAGGCCAACGCCCTCCCCGCTGTGCGATCGTTCCAGCCCTGATTTTTAAAGATCTTGCCCAGAGGAAGAGAATGTTGTTCAACCTCTTGCTTTTTCCCTTGTGTGAGGGCTCCTACCTGGTGACTCGCAGCCTGACCAGGACTTGGTCTGCCCTGGCAGGATGGCAGGGAGGTCCAGGACAGGGCAGCCCTTGGGCCCCAGGGACCAGCCTGGGGCTGCCCTGCAAGTGCCCTAACCCCGTGTGGACCGCCTGGCCCAGCCTGTGTGCTTCCTGGGTCACGGTCACTTGGACGGGGCCTGCCTCCGTGTGGAAGGAGAGAGGTGGCGGCTGCTGGAACTTCCGCTCTGGAGTCCCTTTTGCTCAGATGCAGACGTGTTGAGACCTTGCTGGCAGGCGCGGTGCTGAGCGGGGAGCGGGGGGAGGGGAGAGCCACCCCGCACAGCGCTCGGATGCTCGGCTGCTTCTGTGAAGTCTGTTCTCAGCCACACGGTCATGTCGGGTCTGAGCTGGGGGGGTGAAGCTCGGCTTCTAAGCCTGTTCCCTACATCTGGTGCCTTCTGCAGTGCTGGGAACGGACTTCCCCTTTCCTGTCTCGCTGGGGCCCTCGTCTGCTGGCCAGGGCCAGTGGGAGCCCTGGGACCCGTTCGTGCTCCCGCCTCCTCTCGGGCTGGGCATTGATCCGCAACAACCCCCGCCAACGATCCCTCCCCCGCCACCTCCCCCCACGCCTGTTTCTGATATTTTATCTCTGATCCTCCATGAGTGGGCCATAAGAAAGCTGCATCTTTTTTTTTTTTTTTTTTTTTTTGCTTTTTGGGTCACACCCAGCGATGCGCAGGGGTTACCCCTGGCTCATACACTCAGGAATTCCTCCTGGCGGTGCTCAGGAGCTTTATGGGATGCTGGGAATTGAACCGGGGCCAGCCCCGTGCAAGGCAAATGCCCTACCCACTGTGCCATCGCTCCAGCCCCAGAAAGCTGCATCTTTTAGGTTTTTGTAGAAACTGGGAATTGGTTGAGGCAGCTCATGGGTTTTCATGTAAGTATGTGAGACTTCAGACCAGACCACAGGGAACCAGGGTGGGAAGCTCTCTGCACATGTCTGATTAGCGGGTTGAGGGGGGTTTAAAGAGAGACTACGTGCGGGTTAGGATTCGGAAGATGGGAACAAACTAAGCACATGCTTGAGAGGCTGGGCGAGCGGGTCAGCGTTCCGTCAGCCCCCCTCTGTCCTCGGTTAGCGTGTGACCCCTCAGTTGACATCAGGTGCCACCCTGTGCTACACTGCGGCCAGCCGGCAGCTGCACCCGTGCCAGAAAGGATCAGAAACACAAGCTTACTTGATGGAATCCTGCTGATTTTGTCCCTGTGTACTCCAGCTAATACTAAGACCGAAAATTGCTTGTCAGCAAAATTGAGATCGCCCGTACGTAGATTACACCAGGGCGTCAGAATCACTGGGGTACGCCTTTTCTGGCTTCTGGGTTCTTGTCTACTTCAGAGCTAGACAAGGATTCCTATTTGATCATTCAGAGATGTGCAGTTGGCCGAAGTGGATTAACACAGAAGTTAATGTGCCAAGCAGTTTATGTGTTGTCAACCTACGAAATGTCCAGGTTTTTATCTCAAATATGCCTTAGGATAATTTCTGTCTAAATGATAAAGGACAAGACATGATGTAAAGATGTAAAGTTGTTAACGTCTTTTTTATATTTATGGAATGTATAAAATACATGTTTTATATTTTAAGATCGCAGGCCACGCAGGGATGGCTCTTGCCTTGCATGCAGCTGACCTGGGTGGGGTCCCCAGCCCTGAGTGTGATCCCGGACCCTGGGTGTTTCCTGAGTCAGGAAAGCCCTGAGCATCACTGGGTGTGGCCCCAAAACAAACCCAAAATCTTGTTTGTTGTAAATGGGTGACATCTTGATTTGATATTGTTTAGGATAATAAATCTATTGAGGCATTCGTTGACTTAGGTCTTTTTTGGTTTATGTTATAGACTGTACAGGTCCATTGGAGAATATGACATCCTACATGGTATTTTTAGCAGTGAGATAGGAACAAAGCAGATCACTCAGAATGCGTTATTAGCAGAAGCAAGAAGTGATTATTCGGAAGCTGTCAGGCAGTATAATCAGGTAAAATTGATCTCTGTTAGATATGTAAGTTGCTTAAAAGTCTTCCCCGCGTGGCAGAACTGTCGGCCTTGGAATTTAAAGCTTCGTTATCATTCACTGTATCCCTTCAACTTTATTCAAATGTTAAAAGCAGAAGATGGTTTCATAAAACTCAAATATCAAAACATATTATTGCTGTATCTCTGCTGTTTAAGAAATAAGGTAAAGGCCCTCCCGTTGATCGTCGATTTGCTCGAGCGGGCCCAGTAACGTCTCCATTGGAGACTTTGTTGTTACTGTGTCTGGCATATCGAATACTCTGGGTAGCTTGCCGGGCTCTCCGAGAGGGGCGGAGGAATCGAACTCGCGTCGGCCATGTTGGCCGCTTATAAGGCGAACGCCCTACCGCTGTGCTGTCGCTCCAGCCCAGGAAGCATTTTGTAAGTTACCAAGTATAAGCTTTCATTTGATTATATTCATTATATAATTTCCACTTAAATAGAAAGTTTTATAAATTTGTGAGGTAATGAAAAAAAATGGTTTCGGAAGATGACCTTAAATTCAACCACACATGGCACGTTTTGTGTTTGAAGTTGCCTGCCACCAGACCAGTATACATATTTAGCATGGTAGCCTCCGTGAATGAACAGTACAGGTCGTAAAAGTCTTGCAATTTTATGCAAATGTTCTGTCTTCTCATTTTAATTTTGTTTATTATTGGCTTCACGGGCACTGATTGTTTCGGGAAGGTTTCCAGTCCGCTGGCTGTTGGCTTCCTCCTTCCTTCCATGCTGGCGTTCCCCTCCTCCCTTCCCTCAGTGCAGCTCTGAAAGTGCCTGTTCTGGAATGTTCCCCCCCGACCCACCTTGCACGTCTTTCCTTTTGTCTCCACGTGGTGAAACCTCCTCCCCTCGCCAGGCTCTCTCCAGGCAGGAGTGGGAGGACGGAGAGCCATCTAGAGCCGAGAAGGACTTCTGGGAGCGGGCGTGCCTGGATTGCTACGACCGCCTGGCCGAGTGGACGTCCCTGGCCTTCTGCTCCACGGCTGGCGTGGACGCCGAGAGCCCGTCCAGCCTCAGCAAGATGTGGGCCGAGCCCTTCTACCAGGTGGGGCGAGTTCTGAGCCCACTGAAAAAGGTTTAGAGGTGGCAGCTTTGTAATCACAGTGAGATACAGTTACAGAGCTGTTCATGATTGGGTTTCAGTCAGACCCATCCCTCCACCAGCGCACATTTCCCGCCGCCAACGTCCCCGGTTTCCCCCCCGCCACCCTTTTGCCTCATGGCAGGCACTTTTCTTCTCTCTCTCACTCTCGCTCTCGCTCACGCACTCTTGGGCTCTCTCTCTCCCTCTCCGTTTGGACGTTGTGTTTGCAGTCCTGATACTGAAAGGTCATCGTGTATATCCCTCTACCTACTTTCAACACTCAGTTCTTCTCCGGCACGATCATTCCCAGCTCTTATTGTACCGGTCCCTTCTCTGTCCTAACTGCCCTGCTCTCACCGCATACTTGTGGCAAGCTCCCAGCCACTGACCAGTCCTGCTGGCCCCTGTTTTCCCGGGCCTTGGGTATTAGTCTCTTTCTATTCTTTTTATATCCCACAAGTGAATGCAGTCATTCTCTGTCTCTCCCTCTCCTCTGACTCCGCATGATACTCTTCATGTCCATCCACTTATAAGCAAATCTCGTGACTTCTTTTTTCCTACGGCTGTGTAGTATTCCACTGTGTAGATGTTCCGTCATTTCTTTATCCAGCCATCTATTCTCGGGCACTTGGGTTGTTTCCAGATTCTGGCTATTGTGACCAGTGCTGCAATGAACAGACAAGTGCAGATGGCATTTCTGCTGTGTGTTTTTGGGCCCCCAGGATGTATTCCCAGAAGAGGTATTGCTGGGTCATATAGGAGTACAATTTCCAGTTTCTTGAGGAATGTCCATATTTTTTCCCCAAAAGGCTGTACCAATCGGCGTTCCCACCAGCAATGAAAGAGGGGCTCTTTCTCCCCAAGAAAAGCAGCACTGGTTGTTCACACCAGCACTGGCTGTTCACACCAGCACTGGCTGTTCTTGTTCTTTTGGATGTGTGCCAGTCCCTGTGGTGTGAGTTGATATCTCATTGTTGTTTTGATCTGCATCTCCCTGATGATTAGTGATGAAGAGCATCTTTTCATGCGCCTTTTGGCCATTTGAATTTCTTCTTGGAGGAAGTTTCTGTTTCTTCTCCCCATTTTTATTTGAGTTTGGAGGTTTTTTCTTGTAGAGTTCTACCAATGCCTTTTATATCCTTGATATTAACTCCTTATCAGATGGGTGCTGAGTAAATACGTTTTCCCATTCCATGAGTTGTCTTTGTATCTTGGTCAGTTTCTTTGAGGTGCAGAAGCTTCTTAGTTTAATGTAGTCCCATTTGTTTATCTTTGCTTCCCCTTGCTTGGTCATTGGTGTTTCATCTTTGAAGATGTCTTTAGTTTCATTGTAATGATGGGTGTTGGATCTATTTTGATCTGACTTTCATGCCTGGAGTTAGAGAGCGGTCTGAGTTTATTTATTTATTTTTTGCCAAAAAGACGTGTTTTTTTTTTTTGTCAAAATAATTTATTTATTTATTTATTTTTCTTCTTATATTTATTTGTTGGATCATTGTGGGAAAAGTTGCAAAGCTTTCAGGTTTAAGTCTCAGTCATACAATGATCAAATACCTTTCCCTTCACCAGTATTCATTTTTCACTACGAAGAACCCCAATATACCCCCCTCCCACCGCTCCCAATGCCTGTGAAGTAGATGATTTCCACCTATTCCCGCCTGGAGTGGCCCAGCCCCAGTAACCTACTGCAGGAACAGGATGCATTTCTGCCAAAAGCCTTTGGGTTCCGAGATTCGTTTCTGAGTCTCTGGGATCATGGCCCTTAAGCAGCTCGATCAGGAACCAGAGAGGCCTTGCCTTCAGTTATATAGCTGAGCCGGAGGTGGTTTGTGGGTGTGTCTCCCGCATACCTAACTTTCAGCTGTTTACTTTCTTGGTAAACTTTGCCCCAAGTTTTTGGGGTCTGGCCAAAGGCACAGCAGCAATTTTGGGGTGTCTGGAAGTCTGAAGGTGCCATCGGGCTGCTGGTGCCCTCGCCTCACAGGTACAGGTTGACCTGCTGGCGGCACCAGACCCCCGCTGAGTTTATTTCTTTGCTCTCCAGTTTTCCCAGCACCACTTGTGTAGGAGGCTTTCCCTGATCCACTTAATATTTCTTGCTCCTTTATCAAAGATTAAATGATCATGTATTTGAGGGTCTTTGTCAGGATATTTAACTATTCCATTGGTCTGTGGGTCTGTCTTTATTCCAATACCATGCTATTTTTATTAGTACTGCTTTGTAGTAGAGTTTGAAATTGCGGAAGGTGATAGCTCCCATCTTCCTTTTCCCCAGGAATTGCTTTAGCTATTTGTGCTTTAGCTATTTATTGTTCCAAGTGAATTTCAGAAGTGTTTGTTCTATTTCTGTGAAAAATGTCGTGGGTATCCTTATAGGAACCGCACTGAATCTGTATAATGCTTTGGGGAGTATTGCTGAGTATTGCCGTTTTGACAATGTTAATTCTCCTGATCCATGGGCAGGGGATGTTTCTCCATTTCCTTCTGTCTTCTTTTATTTCTTGAAGTAGTGTTTTGTAGTTTTCTTTGTATAGGTCCTTTACTTCCTTAGTTAAGCTGATTCCAAAGTACTTCATTTTCTGAGGCACAATTATGATGGGAATTTACTTAATATCACTTTCTTCTTTTTCATTATTTGCATATAGGAAAGCCATGGACTTTAAAAAATTTTTTTTTCAGTCACTATAAGCTACAGTTACAGAAGTTTTATGTTTGAGTTTCAGTCATACAATGATCGCACACCTGTCCTTCCGCCAGTGTCATTTTACACCACCAATGTCCCTAACATCCCAGCCATGGACTTTTGGGTGCTGACTTTGTAACCCACCACTCTACTATATAAATCTATTCTTTCTAGGAGCTTTTGGTAGAATCTTTAGGATTCTCTGAGTGTTCTCTAAGAGAGCTTCACTTCTTCCTTTCCTATCTGGTTGCCCTTGATATCTTTTTCTTGCTTAACTGCTATGGTGAGTACTTCCAGTAATATCTTGAAGTGGCGAGAGTGGGCACCCTTGTCTTGTCCATGATCTCAGGGGGAGGCTCTTAGTTTCTCCCCATTGATTGTAATGCTTGCTGTGGGCCTGTGGTAGATAGTTTTGACTATGTTGAGGAAAGTTCCTTCAACTCCCGTCTTGATGAGAGTTTTCATCATAAACAGATGCTGGATCTTGTCAGATGCTTTCTCTGCGTCCATTGGTACGAGCATATGTCTAGCCAGATTTTTAAGACGTCTCAAACGCAGCTGTGAAGCATTAGGATAGTTCTATAACCCGCTTTGCCCACTCTGCTCACTTTTGCTGACTCTTTAAGAATTAATGGAACGCGTTTTCAAATACTGACATTTCCAGCAGGCCACAGGGAACAATATTCCTGTCTCCCCACGGGGACTCAGGGGCTACAGCGTCGGGCTGGCTGGCCTCCCTGCTGGGCTTGGGCGGGCTCACCGTGTCTCAGTGTTGAGGGCTTCTCCGTAGAAACTGCAGTTCAGGTGAACCTGCTTCAGGAATCCCGCTCTCGGGTCTGGGACGCGGTTCCCTGGCTTTTGCTCTCAATCTCGGCCTGTAAACGCTAGTCAGGAGCAGAATGGTGAGGACATAGCCGTGTCCTCAGGTGACTCTTGAGGCTCCGTCCTGTCCCCTAGGAGACCTGCCTGCCCTACATGGTCCGCAGCAAGCTGAAGCTGCTTCTGCGCGGGCAGGGCGACCAGTCCCTGCTGACCTTCATGGACGAGGCCGTGGGCCAGGAGCTGCGGAAGGCGCTCGTCGAGCTGCAGTTCAGCCAGGAACTGAGTCTGCTCTACCTCCTGCAAGACGATGTCGACAGAGCCCAGTACTACCTTGAGAACGGCCTCCACGTGTTCATGCAGGTGACAGACGCGTGATGCATGCTTCTCTGGCGGGTGTTTGGGGCCTCTCTCCCAGGATGTTCCTGAGTCCACCCGGAGACACGTGGTGGGCCAGGCTGGGCAGCCGGTGCCAGGGCCCCCCTGACACTGGTGGGGCCCCTCGAGCCACATCCGGTGCTGCCCCAGGCCTCCAGGGCATGCCCGGTGTTCATGTGATGCCTGTGCCATCTCCCTGGTCCCATTGGGACTCCTTAAAGTCTGTAAACTTGTGAGAGAGACAGACAGAGACTGAGAGACCAAGACTGAGAGAGACAGAGTCAGAGAGACAGAGACTGAGAGAGACACAGACTGAGAGACAGAAAGACAGAGTTAGAGAGACTGAGAGACAGAGAGACAGAGTCAGAGTCAGAGAAACTGAGAAACAAAAAGACAGACTGAGAGAGACAGAGTCAGAGATACAGAGACTGAGAGACAGAGACAGACAGGGACTAAGAGACAGACAGACAGACTGAGAGTCAGAGAGACAGAGACAAAGTCAGACACTGAGAGTCAGAGACTGAGACTGAGGCTCAGACCCACCCGCTCACAGGCCACGTACTTGGCCACTGAGCACATTTCCCGCTGAACAGTCAATAAACTCATGAATAAAAAGTCAGGAATCAAACATTCATATTCACTTTGTTTTTTAGGGAATTTTGGTTTTACTTGGTTCGGGGCCCACCCGGTGGTGGTCAGGGCTGACTCCTGGCTCTGTGCTCAGGGGCCATTCCTTGTGGCTCTGGGGTCTCGGGGTCACTCAGGAAAAGCCAGACGGCGAGCCAGCAGCAGGGACAGGCGCCCTCCTTCCCACTCTACTACCTCTGCTGTCTGAGTTTTTAACTTTTAAAAGTCGTGTAACTTTCTGGGTGGGTTTTGCTTTATTTATAAGCCGGGCGCTGTGCGGCTCAGGGCACAGAATCCGCCCACCCTGCCCTGCCAGAGACCCAGGTCCAAGCTTCAGCCTTGGAACGTGGCCCCGGCCCTTCTGCCCCTCTGCTTTTAAATGTTAACTGATTTTTGGTTTGGGGGCCGTGACGGGAGGTGTTCAGGGGCCGCTTCTGTGCACTCAGGTCACTGCTGGGGGGTCCGAGGGTTGCCCAAGGTTGGCCACGTGCAAGGCAAGTGCCGCCTGTTGTGCTCTCGGCCTGGGATCATGCTTCAGTACCACAGTGTTCTGTTTTCTCACTGTGTTCTGTGTCTCGGTGTCTTTTTAATAATCTTGTTGGTTTCAGGAGGCCCGTTTGGGGCAAGGGTGCTGATCACGGGAGGGTCTGTGACCTGCATCGGGAGAGCCTGGCCATGCCTGGCTGTGCTCAGGGCTCACCCTGGCTCTACCCCGGGATCATCTCTAACGGGACCCCAGGACTGCACGGGTCCAGGGGTCAGACCCAGCTCAGCCACATGCAGGGCTGTGTGTTGTCTCTCTGGCCCCAGTATTTTATTTTTTTGGTCACATTAAAAATGTTTGAACAGAGACTTTCTCATTTTTTGTAGTTAAAAGAATTTTGCCTTCTTCGTGAGAAGAATGAATTAATCTTCTTTGTTCATTTTGTGCCAAATGCTTTTTTGCCTTTTCTGAGGATCTTCCTCTGACCTTTGACCTTTAAAAAAAAACTTTGGGGTTTTGTCCCTTAGCCAGTAGTACTCAGGGTTGCATTTATTGTCTTTATTTTTATTTTTTAAATAAGTTTTTGAAAGTAACACACTCAAGAAGTTTGTTGGAAAAGGAAGAACTGACCTTAATAGTTGACAGTTTTGCATCACTGAATGTTATGAGTTTTAAATACTGGTAACAAAGGCAGCGGTAGCCTAACTAAATTAATTTTATTAAAACCTAGATTATTTTTTTCTTTCCCCCAACTTTTATTAAGGCGCCATGATCTAGTACTGTTAACGATAGTTTCATGCACATAACATGATACCACATTCACTGCCAAAGCCACACTCCCCTCCACCTACCCCTCCTGCCTCCCTGGATTAGCTCAGATCTGTAGACCAATTCCCAAAGCCTAACTCAGGTTTCAGAATTTAAACCAGCGTTAACTGATTCTGTGGCCTGACTGTAAGCGGTTGGAGATGTGTTGTATAATGTATGTGCTTATACCATAATTGCTGTTTCTCATGTGTTAGAGAACTGTACTTAATTTTAAAGTAGTAAGTTGGTTTTTAAACAATGCTAAATACCTTTTTCCCCCCAGAATTATTCTAGTATCGACGTCCTCTTACACAGAAGTAGACTCACCAAGTTGCAGTCCGTGCAAACTTTAATAGAAATTCAGGAGTTCATTGGCTTTATAAGCAAACCAGGTAACTTTACCATACCATACTTCTTTCTTCTATAGTTGTTCAAGGGTTTCGAGCTTTTTTTTCTTAGCCTGAGTGCTATTTTTCTAATGTGCAGGTTATGAACTACCTTGAATTCATTTTACAGAAACATGCCCTGAGATCATTGCAGTCAGCTGGAGCCCAGATGCAGAGCAGAGGCCAAAGCTGTTGGGCGTGCGAGCCTGAGAGAGGGTGGACGTGGGGCAGGCCAGTGCCCGGCCAGCCCTGCAGCGGCACGGGAGGCTGGCGGGCTGGGCTGGGGAACTTCGCCAAGGTCCTCTGCCCACGGGAAGTGGCTTCTGTGGGAAACGTGCGGGCCCCTTGATACGGGAGCAAGCCCGTACCCTCAGCAGTCAGATGCATCTGTCGTACATAGACGTGTCCACTTTTCTCTCAATTCAAAATAATTGTGAAGGATACTTCTCATAATAGTAACAGGACTTGCATTCATATCTGTCCGCCTGCCTAATTAGTCTACCTTGGGGTCTCTTCGGGGATGTTGGGGAATCAAGCCAAGATCACTGCTTGCAAGAGAAGCACTTTAACCCCTAACCCTCACCCTCACCCTCTCCTGTCACTCTGAACCTGAAGTCGGCGTTAGTGATGCGTCATTCATTGAGTCCTTTCTGCTTTTGACTAGTGCCGGCAGCACCCTTCTCTTTCGCCCCTGTCTGCACTTGGTCTGATGTTTCGGATTTCTCTCCTCCATCTCCCCTGGGTGTTGAGGGTCCCAGTGTCAGCCGTGGTACTCCCAAGGCCTCTCAGGCTTGGCCAACTGATGCTCTCTCCCTATTAGACTCCGCACCAAGCGGCGGCGGTATCTGTACATTTTCTTCCAGTTCCTGAGCTTGCCAGGATCTTCATCCCCTTTGCGCTTACACACAATTGTGGTATACCTGGGAACCACTGACCAGCTGCCAGCAGGGCACTTGGTGCATTTGGGAAGCCAAGGGCATGGGCTGTGACCACGTGCCACAGGGCCGGCAGGGGAAGCACTGTGCAGTTCCTCTGGGCCAGCAGGGATAGCACTGTGCAATTCCTCTGGGTTAGCAGGGGAAGCACTGTGCAGTTCCTCTGAGTCAGCAGGGATAGCATGGTGCAGTTCCTCTGGGCCAGCAGGGATAGCACGGTGCAGTTCCTCTGGGCCAGCAGGGATAACACTGTGCAGTTCCCCTGGGCCAGCAGGGATAGCATTGTGCAGTTCCTCTGGGTCAGCAGGGGAAGCACTGTGCAGTTCCTCTGGGCCAGCAGGGATAACACTGCAGTTCCTCTGGGCCAGCAGGGATAACACTGGGCAGTTCCTCTGGGTTAGCAGGGGAAGCACTGGGCAGTTCCTCTGGGCCAGCAGGGATAACACTGGGCAGTTCCTCTGGGTTAGCAGGGGAAGCACTGTGCAGTTCCTCTGGGCCAGCAGGGATAACACTTTGCAGTTGCTCTGGGCCAACAGGGGAAGCACTGTGCAGTTCCTCTGGGTCAGCAGGGATAGCACTGTGCAGTTCCTCGTCTTAGAGACTTACAGAGATACAACGACTCATCCAATACTTGATGAGAGATTATCTAACTTGCTAATGAGGGGAAGAGCGACCGTGAGCCCAGGGTGTCTGACATGAGTTTGTCTTCTTCGCCGCCCCCTCCACCTCAGCGAGAAAGCAGACCAAGGGTTTGAGTTTTAGCAGTGTGAGTGTGAATCTCAGGAGGTGGGTGTGAGTCCCTTTCCCGAAGTGCCTCAGAGAGATTGTCCCCAGCGGTGAGGGTCACGTCACCCAGCCCATACAGGGTCTGGGTCGCCTCACAGGTCTGACCTGTTGTGCGGCTCTGGCCTTGAGGTGAGGCCCCTGGGCTGTCCAGCTTGACCGTGCAAATGGACAGTCTCAGTCTCTCCCGCTTTGGGGGTGGTGGGTGGAGGGTTGCGGGCCGGCCCTGGCTGTGAAGATCGTGTGTGATTCTCCCCATTATGCTTTTGGGGTGAGACTCGCGCAGTCCTCGGGGCTCCTGTGTGACCCCGAGGACCCCCTCAGCAGTGCCAGGTGGGGTTGGGCCCGGTGCACACAGGGTGGTGGTTCCCCTGGGTGCTGGTTCCCCCGTTGGTTTGGGTTTGGGGCCACATCTGGTGGTACTCACGGCTGATTCCTGCTCTGTTCTAAAGGAATCCCGCCTAGCTGGTGGCATGTGTGGTCCCAGAGACCACACCCAGGCAGGCCAGCAGAACAGCAGGCACGTCATTCTGTCCTCCCTCGGGCCCTGTGCTCTTTCCTCTGCCCCTTACTTGCTCTTCATCCCTGAGAAAGAGTGTTGGGGGCTGGAGAGGTGACCCAGCGGGTAGGGTGTTCGTCCTGAGTGCGGCCAGCCCCACCCCGTATGACCCTCCGGGCACTGCCAGAAGTGATTCCTGAACAAGCGAGGAGTGAGCCCTGAGCTGACCATTGCCGGGGTGACCCAAAAACAAACCAAGAGAAAGAAATTGCATCTCGGTGGCAGACTGTATCAGAATTGATACGGCAGCTTTGGTCTCCTGTTGTGAAGGAGAGAAATGTTTAGTTTGGCGAAGAAATTGGAAATGCTGGCCTTGTCATTGAAGTGTCGTTTGTGCTCTGTCGTCCTCTATGTTACCATAGTTATTCTCCAATGGTATTTTTAGGTAATTTATCATCTCAAGGTCCTCTGAAGAGACTCCTCAGAACCTGGACAAACCGATACCCAGATACCAAACTGGACCCAGTGAACGTCTGGGATGACGTCGTTTCAAATCGGTAAGATGCTCATTTTTCAAATTGCCCCTTGGCACCCTCTAAAACGGATTAACACACTGCAGTGCTTGCGTCTAGCAGAGCTCCTGTTAATTTTTCATTTAAGTCCCAGTAAAATTCCATGCGGGCGGCCAGAGAGAGAGAGAGAGACAAAACCTGGATCACCACATCCTGGGCGCCGTTGGCCAAGGTCCCCAGGGCAGCCCCACCCTGTCCGCATGGGGCCCGACCCTGCTGGCCCTCCTGGCCGCCCCTGCTGCCGCTCGGCCATGCGCAGGTGCTGGCAGCGGGCAGCGTCCAGGTGCTGCTCCCTCCCAGAGGCTGCCCCAGCCCACGGCTTCACGTGCCTCGGGCCTCGCTGCAGTTCGGACTGCTGGCGCTCCCCTGCGACCCCCCAGCTCAGCACCGACACTGAGCTGGTGGCACTGGTGGCACTTCCCAGGCCTGGGTCACTCTCCGCCCTGGGTCACTCTCGGCCTGTGTCACTCTCCACCCTGGGTCACTCTCGGCCTGGGTCCCTGTCCCACGCCGTGAGAGCACCGCGACCCATGCAGCAGTTACAAACGCTTCCTTTCAGAGAAGGGGCAGGAGATGCAGAGAAGTCGTGACTCCCTTTGTGTGCATATAGTTGTGGGCCCTAAGGACTGTAACCGCATGTGGTACTCTTTGTTGTGATGGAGTGGCCATAGGTACACTGTTGCAGAGCTGAGCCTGACCCCAGGGTACGTTTCCCACCCCGTGTCCCTCCCTCCCTCCCTCCCTCCCTCTCTCCTGTGGCATTATGGTTTGCACTACAGGTACTAAAAGGTTATTCATGTGTTCATTTTTGTCGTATCCTATTTCCAGTGTTACTACACGTTTTTGTTGTGCTTTTTTATTATATGTAGTTTTTTTTTCTTTTTGAGATAAATGCTTATCTGTAGAAAAAGTGTGGGAAAATTAAATCACTGTTTTTTTAAAGATGAAAATTATAAAAAATAATTTAAAAAATTTAAAGATAAATATAAGATTGCCTTTTACTAAAATTTCTACAGATTTTAATCCTTATTGTTTCCAACGGAAGATTTTATCCTTTCTTGCTGAGTGGCGTTCCAGTGTGTGTGTCTTTAAGTCATCTGCTAGTATCTACTTAGACTATTTATTCTCTTTTGGCACCGTGAATGCCGTGGCTCTGGAAAAATCTTGTTGAAATGTTCTTAGTGATTTTGGAAGATTAAAACAATTTTTAATTCTAGTAGTGAAAGTATAGAGTTTTGAAAAAATAGCAATCGTTTAGCAACTGTAGACTTTCTCATGAATGCTACCTCCCATGTTCACCAAAGATTTCCTTCATGGGTCTCTGGTATTAATTTTCATTTTTCTTTGTTTGAATAGATGTTTCTTCCTCAACAAAATAGAAGAAAAGCTTACTCTCCCAGGTGACCACAGCATGAGCGTCGACGGGGACGGGGAGTCCCAGGAGAACGGGGAGGCGTGTGAGCAGGAGGACATGTGTTCTCAGATGAGGAGCTTCAAGTTTTCCATGAAAATGAAGATGGTAGAAAGTGCAAGAGAACAGGTGAGTGCTCACACTCATAACGTTGTTCCATCACAGGGTTTTCTTAAAGTAGCTTTCTTGGGGGAAATAAAGAGTTTTTTATTTTTTGATTTTTATTAGTGAAACACCACGAGGTACAGTTGTAGACTTACAAATTTTTGTGCTTGGGTTTCAGTTATACAGTGATCCAGTACCATCCCTCCACCAGTGCCCATTCTCTACCACCAATGATCCCAGTGTCCCTCCCACCCCCCATACCCCCAAGCCCACCCTGCCTCTGTGGCCGGGCATTCCCCTCTGTTCTTTCTCTCCTTTTGGGTGTTGTGGTTTGCAAAAGAGACATTGAGTGGCAATCATGTTCGGTCTATAGTCTACTTTCAGCGTGCTTTTGTCTGCCTGGAACTCAGTCAGGAATAACCATGCATCAGTTTCTTTAAATTTTTTTTTTCCCCATCCTCCCAGGATGGGAAAAAAAAGTTTTTAAAGAAACTGTGATGCGTGGTTATTCCTGACTGAGTTCCAGGCAGACAGTGTCCCACACCAAAGTGTCGCTCAGTGTCGGAGCCGAGCACCGCTTCCTTCCCTCCTCAGCCCGCTCTCCCGCTCTGGGCCTGGGCCTGGGCATCTCCCCTTTGTTACAGTCCCTCGTGTGGCTATGGCATGTGTATTGATCATTCAGAAAGGTCCATCTGCCTCTTTCTCAGCTTGCAGTCTGTGTTGTCTGCTGTGAGTATGGTGACCATGTCTTTTGTTTGATCGCCTGTTTTGTTTTTGTTTGGGGGCCACTCCTGGTGAGGCTCAGGGCTTGCTCCTGGTTCTTCAGTCAGGAATCACTCCTGGGGGTGCTCGGGGACCACATGGGATGCTGGGGATTGAACCCAGGTTGGCCGTGTGCAAGGCAAGCATCCTAAACACTGGGCTGCTTCTCCAGCCCCTGCCCCAGGCCTCTGTAGGGAATTGTTAGCTTGGAAAATGACCCTCCAACATTTGACTGTGTCTGTATTTGTCTTGACTGTTCAGACGTGTTTCTTGCACGCAAGAGAAAGTCGGATTTCATCTTGCCACTCTGAATCTCTTAGTTAGTGCATTTAGGCCCCTGACATTAGTGAGATGACTGGCATGGAAGTTGTTGCCATCTTCTCACAGAAGTGAGGTCTGTTTGTGGAATTTGTCTTATCTCAGAGAAGCCCCTCAGTGCTTCTTGTAAAGTCGGTTTCAAGGCAGTGAAATCCCTGAGCGATTCTTTGCCCACGAAACTCGTTCCTTCGAGTTTGAATGTAGTCTAGCTGGGTACAGTCTTCTTGGTGAGGCATTTGTTTCCCTGAGGGACTTTTTGTCTTTTTAAAAAAACTATATCCCACCATTGTCTTTGGTCCCACCGGGTCTCACTTCCTAAATCTGCTGTGAATCTTAAGGACTTTCTTTTGTATGAAATTTCCTTCTCTGATCTTTCTGCTATTGTTAATCCCTAGCTTTTGTCATTCTGGTGATCATGTGTCTAGGTGTAGTTTTGAGTGTTTTAGCTCACACCCTACGGGTGTCTTTTTTTTTTTTATTTTTTATTTTTTTTATTGAATCACCGTGAGATAGTTACAAGCTTTCATGTTTGGGTTACAGTCACACAATGATCAAACACCCATCCCTCCACCAGTGCACATTCCCCACCACCAATATCCCCGGTATACCCCCCCTTTTTCATCCTCCCCCTGCCTCCACAGCAGACAGCATTCCCCATACTCTCTCTCTACTTTTGGGCATTATGGTTTGCAATGCAGATACTGAGAGGTTATCATGTTTGATCCATTATCTACTTGGCACACTTCTCCCATCCCAACCAGTTCCTCCAGCCATCATTTTCTTAGTGATCCCTTCTCTATTCCAGCTGCCTTCTCCCCCAGCTCATGAGGCGGGCTTCCAGCTATGGAGCAATCTTCCTGTCCTGTATGTCTACTGTCCTTAGGTTTCAGCCTCATGTTATGGTGTTTTATACTCCACAAATGAGTTCAGTCCTTCTATGTCTGTCCCTCTCTTTCTGACTCATTTCACTTAGCACGATACTCTCCATGTCTATCCATTTATAAGCAAATTTCATGATTTCATCTCTCCTAACAGCTGCATAGTATTCCATTGTGTAGCTGTACCAAACTTTCTTTAACCAGTCATCTGTTCTAGGGCACTTGGGTTGTTTCCAGATTTTGGCTACTGTGAACGGTGCTGCAAGGAACATACATGTGCAGATGTCATTTCTGCTGTTCTTTTTTGCATCCTTGGGATATATTCCCAGAAGTGATATTGCGGGGTCATATGGAAGCTCAGTTTCTAGTTTTTGAAGGACTGTCCATGTTGTCTTCCAGAAAGGCTGAACTAGTGGCCTTTGGGTGTCTTAGAATATGGGTGTTCATCCCCAACTCAGGAACTGAGTCTGACTGATGAGTCTCCGTTGGAATTCCTTCCTGCTCTTCGTGGAGTCTGCTGAACCCTGTGTCGCTCCTCTTGAACACACCCCAGAGTTCTCTTGCCTGCTGTTCGTGTGTTTTGAGGCTTCTTTCCATCTTGCTTTCCCGGGGCTCCCCGCATCTCGCCTCTGAGCTCCCTTATTTCATTTCCATCTTCAGTTACTCTGCGCCCTCGGAGGCTTCCCTGGAGTTTCTCAGTTCACTTCCTGAGTTCTGTCACGCTTGGCTGCAGTTTTCCCGTTTCCGCTCTCATACTCCCTTGCACTTGGTCGACTCCCGGGACCGTTGTTCCTTTGCTCTCCTTGAGCCTCCTGACATTCCCTCCCAAACCCCCCCCCCCTCCCCCCCCGGGATGGCTCTGTCACTGGCCAGCACTGGCCGACTGTCCAGGGCTGCTCTGCCTCTGAGCTGCTTCCCCGGCAGCCGCTGGGGTCTGGGAGAGGTGCTCGCTCACCGTGACACACTGCCGGGCGGGGAGCTCTTGCGCCCGTCCCAGGAAAGCACCCTGTGTCACTGACCCTGCGTCTACTCTGTGTGATTGAGGGTTCTGTCCGTTTTTCCTAACACAGCTGCCTCTGTGCGTCTGGGGGGAATGAGTGATGGGAGTGGGTGTTGTGTGTCAGCTGCTCCCGCCTGAGTTCGGTTCAAGTGACCAAGGTGTGTTCTGTGGGGTCTGCAGAAGGGCAGTGTCCCGTGGCCGTCAGCAGCCCTGACCTGGTGGGTGGGGCCTGGGGCCTCTCTGTGGAGCAAAACCCACAGAGGCCTTTTTCGACCTGCTGGGCTGGGCTGGTGCTTTCTTTTTTCAACACAGTGACCCTGAACCTCTTGAATGTGGTTCTGTTAACACAAGTTGCAGCACCAGAGCTAAGGAGTGTGTTATGTTGGGTTTTTCTGGGGGTTGGGGAGGGCAGAATGACCTCCCCAGGCCTTTCCCAGCAACAGTCACTGCAAAGGGGTCTTCCAGGTGCAGCCCCTGAGACATACAAAGGAAACATGATTTGTGTTAAAAACTGTCGTTTCTGCGTGAAATGTCACCACCCTGCCGCCTTGCCTCTGTCTCCAGAACAACTTCTCGTTGGCCATGAAGCTCCTAAAGGAGCTGCACCGGGAGTCCAAGACGAGCCCCGCCTGGCAGGTGCAGTGGGCACACAGTTACTGCCGCCTCAGCCACAGCCGTGGCCGCGGCCAGCACCCCCGCGACCAGCTCCTCACCGTGCTGAAGGGCGTCTCCGTACTAGGTACGCGCTCAGTCTCCGTCACAGGCGCGGGTCGTGTGTCCTGTCGCCTGCGACTTTGTGTTTGGGCTGCCTTGTTTGTGCGGGTGTGGGCCCTGCTCTTTGTCCAGTGCTCCTGGTCCCCAGCAGTGCCAGGCGTCAGGCCAAGCCTCCTGGCACGAAGCGTGTGCTCAGCCACTGAGCATTTGGGAATCAAACTGCTGTGGTTTATTAACCCTTCAGTGCCCCTGCCTCATCATATTGCTGCTATGGAACTTAACATTTGGTACATACAGTTTTATCTAAGAAAATGAAAGTCAAAAATTTTATCTGTGCTACCTAAATGGGGGCTGGAGCGATAGCACAGCAGTAGGGCATTTGCCTTATGCGCAGCTGGCCCATTCCTCCACCCCTTTCGGAGAGCCCGGCAAGCTACCGAGAGTATCTTGCCTGCACGGCAAAGCCTGGCAAGCTCCCCATGGCGTATTCGATATGCCAAACACAGTAACAACAAAAGTCTCCAATGGAGACGTGACTGGGCCCGCTCGAGCAAATCGATGAACAACGGGAGGACAGTGCGTGTAGAAATGTTTTCCTTGCTTTGATGGTCACATTTTCTTTGTGGATTCAAGAAATGCTGTAACTGATATTTGAGTTGTTTCTTTGACCTACCAGATTTGTTTCCGTTATTTCACAGGGAGCGGGAGTCCCAGCTGGACTCAGGGTCCAGAGCCAGTGGGGACTCGGGCCTGCTGCGGGCCCCGTGCCGTGGTGCCAGGCCCATGGGGATAGGCTGGCGGTTTTGTGCATGTAAGGCGGGCAATGCAGTTCTGTGCGCCAGCTCTCTGATGCTCAATTAAGTTCTTTTTCCTTTTTTTTCCAACCTTGACTTTGGTTTGGGGGCCACACCCACCGGTGCTCAGGGCTTTCTCCCGGTAGTGGTCTGGGGACCGTGTGCAGCGCCAGGTTGAACCCCAGTGGGCTGTGTGCCAGGCACGCGTCTTACCTACTGTGCCCTCTCCAGCCCCCTCAGCTAATTTCTTAAAAGAAAACAGCTTCACCATATCATTTCTTTGAAGCCGATGGTATGCATTTACTTGAGAAGACTGTGGGTTTTTTTTTTTTTTAAAATCCAATAGGTGAAAACACATCAAGCTACTTAAGCCAGAACCCTCGGGCCTTCCGTGACCAGAGCGTCCTCCTGGGCGTGGCCTACCAGATGCTGGCGGACGCCCTCGGCAGGGAGCCCGGCTGCCTGGCTGAAGTGGAGGCGAGCAAGGCCAGGAGGGTCTTGGAGCTTTCCGGATCCAGTTCCGAGAGCACAGAGGAGGTGATGAACGTCGCTCCGAGCCTCGGGACTGCCCCAGAGAAGGGTTCAGAGAATGCCTTTGTGGCTTAAAAACGCAGAAGCTTGTTTGTTGCTTCAGCTCCTGCCGCTTCCGTGAGCTGGACAGCCCGGCTCTGCCCCGCCAGGGCTCAGGGCCGGGGCGTGTGGCAGGGCTGCAGGGCCTGCGGCTACCCTTTCCTCCTCTCTCCCCATCCTTTCTCCCCCTCCCCCCGCTTTCTCTCTCTCCCTCTCTCTCTCTCTCTGGGTCGGTCCTTCGTGCCCCCCACTCAGGCTGTCTGTGCTCTGACCCAGGTGTGTGCGGGCCTCCACCAGGGAGCCCTCCGCCACCTCTCCGAAGCCGTGCGTTCAGCTGAGGAGGCCGCGCCATGCAGCGGGGCCCAGGGGGCCACGGCCGGGCTGATCGACGCCTACATGACACTCGTGGACTTCTGTGACCAGCAGCTTGGGCAGCAGGAGGAGGGCGGAGCCGGTGAGTGGGTGGACACCCCGTGAGGGCCCCAGCAACGCCAGGAGGAGCCCCCGAGCCCGCTGGGGTGGCCGGACCCTCCCCGCTCCAGGAAAAGACTGCCGGCGAACGTGGATCACTCTGGTTTCTTTGCTTGATACGGAACGAACGCTGTCAGAGGCCAGGGCTGATGTCTACCAGCCAAGCTGTCTTCCAAGTTCCCGTCCACTCACTCAGAAGACTTTAGTGTCCCACCTGTAGTCTGTGTTGGCTTATGTGGCTTGCCTCCTGCTCCTGGAATGAGGTTCTGTTGGTGCTCCTCGGGGCCACACCTGGCAAGTGCTCAGGACTTACTCCTGGCTCTGCACGCAGGGATCACCCTGGCAGGCGCAGGTGCCGAGAGCCCGACCGGGGTCAGCCGTGTCCAGGCGGGCTGCCCTGCCCTCACTGGACTCTCCCTGGCCCCAGTAGCAGCAGCCCCTGGAATCCCCAGCCCAGGAAGAGACTGTAGGAGAGTCACACCCACTTCACACCCCGGGGCAGTCTGATACGGAGGCACTGTAATCGGAGCCAGTAGGGAAGGGAATCGGGTTTGTGATCTGTGTCTCAGTGGATGCGTTTCTTCTCTCCCGCCTCCGGTAGTCGCCGAGTCTGCAGAGCTGCAAACGTATCCAGTCCTCGTGGTGGACAAAGTGTTGAAAGCCTTAAAGCTGCACTCGCGCGAGGCCCGGCTCAAGTTCCCGCGACTGCTGCAGCTCGTAGAGCTCTACCCCGAGGAGACCCTGAGCCTGATGACCAAGGAGGTTCGTGTCTGTCGGGGGAGGGCAGGCCTGCCCTTGCGTGTCCGCTGCCCAGCGCGGAGTCTCCACTGAGAGCGGTGAAGTGCTCGCGTTCCCCCACAGTCCTGGGGCCGCACCTGAGCACGACCCCGGCAGGCGTGTGGAGGCGGCAGGCAGGAGCACCTGCACTGCCTTCTGCTCCATTTGTCACCCAGCCCCGGGAGGGCCCAGCCTGCACCCGCCCCCGGAGCTCTGCCTGCTGGCACGGCCCCGGAGCAGCCGGTGTGTGGGTGTGTGGGTGCCTGGTGCTGTGCTGCGGGCCGCCTTCGTCACCTGCACCCGCCACACCTGGGGGAGGGGGGCTCCCTGCCCTCGAGGCTGCCTCCAGCTGCCCGCAGGGGCTCGAGCTGCCGACTCTCCCCACGTCCTCTTAACCTCTGCTGGGTCAGCAGGGACCCCCGAGAGCCCCCGAAACCCTGCCAGGAGCGACCCTTGAGCAGAGCCGGGCGTAAGCCCCGAGCACTGCCCCGTGTGGCCCCCGACCTCTAGAGGAAGGGGCATGCAGCTTGTCCCTGAAGTTGGTTTTCTCCGAGATAAAGGAGGCTCCTTAACACTTTCTTAATTCGGTGTTTTCCAAAATACTGTGTAGGGTGGGAAAAATCACTTTGAGTGTGTGAGAAGTTAAGCTCAGAGCTATCGTGCGCCGTGGGGCCCGGCCCACCCGAGACGTCTCCTGGCGTCGGAGCCCCTTGCCCCTGGCTCAGGGCTGACCGGCTCACACTGCAGTGGACAGGCTGCTCGCGATGCGGGGGCGGGCGGGCCCCAGCCGCGCCCACACGGAGGCTCTCGGGCCCCTCAGGGGCTCCCCCCCCCCCCCCCGGCTCCTGTGGGCTCCCCTCTCGCCGTCCATCCCCTGGCCCAGCGCGGCTCTCTCTTCCAGATGGCCGCCGTCCCCTGCTGGCAGCTCATCGGCTGGATTGGCCACATGGTGGCCCTGCTGGACAGGGAGGAGGCCGTGGCGGTCCAGAGCACGGTGGAGGCACTCGCCGACCACTACCCGCAGGCCCTCGTCTACCCCTTCACGGTCAGCAGCGAGAGCTTCTCCTTCCCAGACTCCTCTACCGGGCAGAAGAACAAGGAGTTTGTGGAAAGGTGATGTGAGCCCGGGGTGCCGGGAGGGTCTTTGGCTCCGGCAGTGGCCAGAGCGGGTCGCCCCTCAGAGCTCGGGGCGGGGTGCAGTTCCCCTCCAAAAAATAGAAGTAAAATAAAGGCGTCTCGGAGGTGAGGGATGAAAGCAAGACGCGCGGCATCTCTGCCTGCGTTAAAGCAAAGCACGGGCACCTGTGGTTCCAGCTGTCCCGGCCACGGCATTGGTGCAAAGCAGATCTTCCCTCTGGAAACACATTCCGGGGACGGGAGCGAGAGTACCGCGGGCAGGGTGCTTGCCTTGCACCCAGCCGACCGAGGTTTGATCCTTAGCGCCCAGATGGTTCTCTGAGCCCCGCCAGGAGGAAGCCCCCGTCGCCACTGGAGTGGCCAAAACGGCCGACAGAATACCAGGCACCACTTATGGGGGTCCCCAGAGCCACCAGGAGTGGCCCCTGGCTGCAGAGCCAGGATCTGTAAGCCCTGAGGACTGCTGGGTATGGCTCAGAATCCAAAATAAATGAATAAAAATGGAATCGCATCTCAAGCCATAGGAGTTCCTCACGACTCTGCCCTGAGGTTCATAGCTAGTAATCTGTGGACTGAAAACAGCTGAGATGCTTTTTGAAATCAGTTCCCGAAAGAATTCTTTAATGTAAAGTATGTGGGAAGCTCTTCTCAATCTAAGGCTGCCTTTCCGCTCCTTCCGCTGACTTGTAAGGGGTGACAGTTGACAGGCTGGCGCTGACCTGTTGCTTTTGGAAGAACACTCTGTCAGGGGCCAGAGAGCAGGTGCTTGCCTCGCCAGTGTCCAGCTGGTTCTATCCCCTGGGCCATACCTGGGTCCTGAGCACAGCCAGGAGTGAGCTCTGAGCACCTCTGGTGTGGCCCAAAGCCAGAGCAAACGCAGCAGTGCATGAGTCCCAGGCCGCTTGCAATGAGACCCCTTGGTGTCTCGGGCGTGGTGAGTGTGTCCACACAGCCCTGCCAGGCCAGTCCCCACTGTAGTCATGTTTTTCAGAGGAAAATGGCTCAAAAGTGTGGAGGTGACCTTTGCTTCCATGCCGTGATCCCTGAAGTAAATATTGTCAATCATATGTATCAGAATGCCACCGTCATTTGCATTTGCTTTTTAATCTCACCTTTGGATAAAAAACATCGTTGGTGCTTCATCTAAGAGCGGTGAAACTTTTTAAATTGTGCTCTGCCTGCACTGAATATAAATATATTTTCACAGACTAGGTATTCTAAATTGTAGACATGTTCGATTAAACTTGGCAATTTTTTCCATAGGATTAAAAGTAAGTTGGATCAAGGAGGAGTTATTCAAGATTTTATTAATGCCCTAGATCAACTCTCTAATCCCGAAATGCTCTTTAAGGTAACACGACAACTTCTAGCGTCTCAGAGTGAAACACGGATAAAACCTGACTGCAGTTGAGGTGTCCCTTCTCTCTCTCTCTTTCTCTTTCTCTCTCTGTGCAGGACTGGGCTGATGATATCGAAGGGGAACTTGCAAAATCCGGAAATAAGAAAAACGTTGAGAAGAAATACATAAGAATGCATGCCTGCTTGGGAGACCCGAGGGCTGCAGGCATCGGGGCTTTTCGGAGGAAGTTTGCCCAGGTGTGTGTGGGGGGCCAGTTGTGTGGGAGTGAAGTGAGACCAGTGCATATGAGTGTGTGTGTGTATGAAGTGAGACCTGGTGTGAAGTAAGACGTGTGTGTGTGTGTGTGTGTGTGTGTGTGTGTGTGTGTGTAATAAGACTTGTGTGTGTGAAGTGTGTGTGTGAAGTGTGTGAGTGAGTGTGTGTGTGTGGTTGTGTATGTGAAGCGAGACCTGTGTGTGTGTGTGAGAAGTGAGGTCAGTGTGTGTGTGAAGCTTGCTCTTTTGGCTCCGCCACAGCCCTTGCCCGGTGCGCGGCAGTGACCTACGTGCAGGGACGTCTGCTGGACTTGTGACCTTTCTGTAGAGTGGTTTCTTTTCCTGTAAGATTGGTGGCACATTTTTAAGCCAGAGAGCGGCCAGAGGAGAAATAGGTACAATTTTCACTATTATTCCATTCTGTTCACACTCACACTCTTGGACGTGAAAGCTCTACGCAGTTTAGTAATTTTAACTCTCAGTGAAAAGTCACATTCTTTTATTTTTCTTTTCAATCCTTCTGAATAATTGTATTTGTTCTTCTGTGAAGAACGTAACCAGTAAGTATACTTAGATTTTTTTGTTTCTGATTATTCTTTCTTTGAGGACAGAGATTAGTAAGTACAAACAGGTTAAATGACTTCACAAATTTTTTTTGACGATTTTTACTGAGGTACTAGGACTTGCAATACTTTCCTTTATTAATATTTCACACCCCCATTGTTCCATCACCACCCCGACCCCCACCAGGGTCCCCCGCACCACGCCTCGTCAAGCTCAGCGGAGAGTCATTCAGTTCCGGGACTTTGACCATTGAGTGGCCTCTTGCGTGTTTCTCTAGAAAACGTAGAGAGGGGGTTGTATGTACATGTGGGTGGCGTGTGGGGGTGGTGATTCCTACACACAGAGAGAGGAATAGAGCTAATCTGAATTCCCACAAAATTGTAAATCAGTGATAGATTGGATTTTTGCCCAAAACTAAACTTTACTTTTTAGAGGAATATAAACTTATAGAATTGATATTATGGGTAATTCCGTGCTAACACATTCTAGAGTTTACAGGAAATAGATAAATTCTATGGATGAAACATTTAGTAAGAATGAAGAGAGCTAAAATTTGTAGGGGGAAATCTGAATAGGCCGATAAAAGTGCCAAATGTGTCTTAATCCTAAGAAAAGGAAGATTGATTTTGTATTAGAAAATAGTAAAGATACTTCTTAAAGGTCTACTTTAACAAGTAAAAAAATCGCAGAAAAGATCTTTGGCCGTGAAACCAGCTGCTCAGACCTGGGCCCCTCAGGGTACACGAGGAGCTGCCTCGTTACTGAAAGTGTGTGAAAGCCCTTGCGAGCCAGCTGTGAAGGGGCAGGGGCTGAGTGGGTCTCTTTTTTCGTCTGTCTGTCGCTGTTGTTTTGGGTCACCCCCGAGATGCTCAGGGCTTCCTCCCGGCTCTGCACTCAGGAATCACTCTGAGCTGTGAGCCGGCCCTCCCGCTGTGCTGTCTGTCCTTTAAAGCCGCCCCAGTCACTCTCTGCAGAACTGGTTTCCAGGCTCTGCATTCCTTAGGCTGCGCCTGTCCCTGAAGCTCTGTCTCTTTCCTTCGAAGCTGAATGATAGTCCCCCCGGAGCAGACTCTTGGTGAGGTGCCCGTCCCTGGGTTGGGTCGGGTTTGGGGGCTACACCTGGCCTTCCTTCTGGCTCTGCAGTTGGGACTGTTCAGGGGACTGTCAGCATCCAGACAGGCACCTGACCAGCTGTGCTATTTCTCCGGCCCTTCTGTTGAGTTTTTGCTGTGAATCTCATGATCTTCCCGTTGTACGTAGTTAGCTCCTTTAATCCTGCTGCTTTCGGGATTCTGTCTCTGTCATTGGATTTTGTTGTTTTGAGTACAGTGTATTGTGGAGTTTTCCTCTTTGAGTTTATTTTCACTGGGGCCCTTCATGCCTCTTGTTTTTGGTTCCTGGATTATTCTACAACTCTGGAAATGCCTAACTATGAGGTTATTCATTTATTTATTTACTTATGTATTTTTTTGCGGGGTCACGCCTGGAGATGCACAGGGGTTCCTCCTGGCTCTGCACTCAGGAATTGCTCCTGGCGGTGCTCAGGACCATATGGGATGCTGGGAATCGAACCCGGGTGGGCTGCGTGCAAGGCAAACGCCCTCCCGCTGTGCTATCTCTCCAGCCCCACTATGTGTTCCTTAACTATACTGCTTCACCTAGTTCGCCTTCCTGTTCCTCGGGGACCCTCATGATCCGTACAGTGTTCCTCCTGAACCCCGGGCTTCTCCTGACTGCGCTCAGGGGCCACTCCTGGTGGGGCTTGGGGGACCACATACGGTGGTCAGCCACATGCCCAGCAAGGACCTACCCGCTGTGCTATCTCTCCAGCCCGTTTTAAATATCCTATTCGACTTAATGACAGGGAGCAGCCACTGGCCATGTCTTTTCAAAGGAACACAAGGCAGCAAGAGCCAAATGAAGGCAGGTTTCGGGTGTGCGCGTGTGAGCTGTTCAGAGCAAGCAGGGGCGGGAGAGTATCCCCGCAGGCAGGGCGCTTGCTTTGTGTGTGACCAACCTGGGGCTGACCCTTGGCACCCCGTTTGGTGGCCCGGCCATGCCGTGGGAGGGGCCACAGATGCTGCCAAGTGTGGCCCCCAAACAAAACATTCGACGAAAGCAAGATAAGAAAATGTTAAAAGCACAGGAAAGCTCTATCTGTGGGGCACTTATTCCCAGTGCTGTCATGTGCTGACATGTAAACGTAGACACGCCTCCCTTTTCTAGGGTGCAAACTTTCGCGTTTAAGGCAAACTGTTGATTCTAGGTTTTCGGGAAAGAATTTGAAAAGCACTTTGGGAGAGGAGGCTCGAAGCTGCTGAGCATGAAGCCGCAGGACTTCAGGAAAGTCACCAATAAGCTGCTCGAGGCCATGCGCGGGGACTCCCGGCCGCCCGGGAACCTGAAGGAGTACTCGCCCTGGATGAGCGGCTTCCGGGCGGAGCTCCTGCGGCACGAGCTGGAGATTCCCGGTGAGTCGGCCAGGGGCCACAGGTGCTCAGACAGCGCTTGGCACTTGGGGTCTTGAGGTGGTGCTGCCACGGCGTGAGCGTCTGTTTCCTCTCGGAGCTTTAGGGCCCGGAGGGAGCGCAGTGGTCAGAGCAGGCGAGATTCTGCGGGGAGAGTCTGGCTCTCAGTGCTGGCCTTGCCGTTTGATCGCTGGGAAAGTGTCAATGAGTACACGACGCGTCAAACGAGACGGCAGTTCCCTGAGATCCTCTTAGGACAGCCGTTTGTAATTCCACATAACAGTCACGTTGCCTGGCAATCCTCGTTTGCTTTGGCGAGACTGCGTTCTGGTCCTGAGGAGCTTCTTCAGAGCTGGTCTGCAGAGCTCTCGGGAGACGGCTACCAGGGCTGGAACGCGCCTGTCGCTCACCTGGAGGCACCCAGGTGGCCCAGCACTACGAGACCAAGAACCCGTGGCCCCAAGGCCCCTGAGCACTGCTTGGAAGGCAGCCCCCGCCCCAAAGATACATAAACTTCAGTATAGACTTAAATCGTTTCCTAGGATGTTGGTTCCATTTAAAGAGGTGAGATCATGATAAATGACTTATGGCCACAAAAAGGGGTCATGTCATTTAGGAGGGAGGCACAGTCAGATACGAATGGTTGGATGGTTTTGTTGGGGAGTTTTTGGTGGGGTCACACCTCGCCATGCTCAGGACCTACTCCTGGCTTTGTACGCAGGGGCTGTGTGGGGCGGCAGGGATAGAGCCCGGCCACCGGCAGTTAGTGAGTGAGTCCTCAGCGACTGTACTCTCTCTCTGACCCCAGAAGTGAATGATTTTGAAAGGCAGTTTTTGTACATTCTGCGTCTTCTCTATGGAATTTGAAAAACCAAGAGTCTTTCCATCTGGTTACTGTACTCTCCCTCCAGTGGCTCTCAGAAACAGATATTGGGGTAATATCTTTGTTATTGCTGACAGCCCTACACTGCATGCAGCAGGGCCGCGGCAGGTGTTTGAACTGTAAGCGTCTAACCTGAGACCCGATTCTCCTAGAAGCACAATGTGTTATCTCAGTGCGTTGTTTTTACCACTTGCACTGTTTTGGTTTTTTTTTTTTTTTGCTTTTTTTGGGGGGAGGGTCACACCCAGCAATGCACAGGGGTTACTCCTGGTTCATGTACTCAGGAATTAGTCCTGGCCATGCTTGGGGGACCATATGGGATGCTGGGAATCGAACCCAGGGTGGCCGTGTGCAAGGCAAATGCCCTACCTGCTGTGCTATCACTCCAGCCCTCCACTTGCATTGTTTAGTACATTAAAAAAGGAAACAAACTTGAGACATAATGACAGTACTAAAAATAAATGAATGAACAGAACAAAACTAAATGTTTATGTTATGAAACGGAAGGGAAGGAAAGAAAGGGGGTGGATAAATCAGCCAAAGGCTTCAGGTGATGGGTCCGGGGGATGGTACAGCAGGGAGAGCCCTTGCCTTGCTCCAGCCCCAGCTCCAGGTCCTGGGTTGTGTAAGAGCACCCAGTCAGGAATAAGGCCTGAGCACCCCCAGGGCCGGCCCACACCCTCCCCCCACAGGAGAAGGAACTGAAGGTGAAGGACAGAAGTATGAAATAACTGTCATCTATACGGATGTCGGTTCTTATACTGATGCACACTAAATACTTCTAGTAAGCGACTTCACTGTCGTTGATCAGCGTCTTGCACTTGATCACTTGACATCCCATTACTCATCGCGGTGCTCGAGCGGGCGCCAGTAACGTCTCCATTCGTCCCTGTCGTGTGCTAGTGTAGCCCAGTGGCGTCTGCTCGTTCTAGGAACACGAAGAGTCTCAAACCGACCGAATCAATGGGCCAGAGCCATAAGCATCTTTATGACGCAGGGTACGTTGTGAGTTTGGGGTCCTGTGATCGCCCTGCCTGACGTGAGCCTCTGTGACTGTCGCAGGTCAGTATGACGGCAGAGGAAAGCCGCTGCCCGAGTACCACGCGCGGATCGCGGGCTTCGATGAGCGGGTAGGTGCGGGGCCAGGCCGGGTCCTGCAGCGAGCACAGGCCCCAGCGACCTCCGGGCGGGGGGAGGGGTGAGCCCTGCACACCACCGGGAGTGCCCAGAAACCGAAGATGCGTCCACCGTTTGAACATGGGTTCTTCTGAGGGACACAGGAGCCTTGAAGCACGAGCTGTGTGTGTGTGTGTGTATACCCACCGGGAACGAACAGAGGTGAGCTTCGCCCCAGAAGGCCCCATGTTTCAGACTGCCCGTTACTAAGGCGACTCACACTTCCGAGTAATTGTAGCCAGCAGTCCGCGGTGTGAGTGGACTCAGCGAGACACAGCAGGGCTCCAGCGGAGAGCAGGACCGTTCTGCCGTCTCTGGGTTCCTTCTCGGGTTGCTCGCCTCTTTCCTGAGGGGTGTCTGTCCGCCGAACCTCCTTCCCTCCTCTGCGGCTGTGGCATGTTTGCTCAGGCTTCCGCTGCCCACGAAAACCCGCTGGTCCCGGGTTCTGCGCCCTTCCCAGCAGCCCGGCTCCTTTCTCCTCACAGGTGCAGGTGATGTCTTCCATCAGGAAGCCCAAGCGCGTGGTCATCCGCGGCCACGACGAGAGAGAGTACCCGTTCCTGGTGAAGGGCGGCGAGGACCTGCGGCAGGACCAGCGGATCGAGCAGCTCTTCGAGGTCATGAACGCCATCCTGTCGCAGGACGCCGCCTGCGGCCAGAGAAACCTACGGCTGAAGACGTACCGCGTCGTGCCCATGACCTCTAGGTCCGAACCCTCCGGGGAAATGCCAGCACTTGGCTCTTTGCTGTTCCGTGCTTTCTGGGGCTTCACTCGTCTGTGTCTCGGGTCCTGGGCCCCTTGGTAGTACTCTGGGGTCACGCTGGCCCTGCTCCGGGCCGCTGGTGCGGGGACCAGACTCCGGCTCCTCCAAGGCTTCTCACTGCCCCCCACAGAGCGCCCTGGACCCCAGTTCCATGCTTAGTCTCACGGGCCGGAGGTCACCTTAAAGCCCAGTATTGGGGTCGGAGTGATGATGCAGAAGGCCGGCGTTTGCCTTGCACGTGGCAAGCCCAGGTCGACCTCCAGCCCGCCTGGCTCCAGGAGAGGCCCCAAAACATAAAAAATCAAAAGACCCCTCAGAATTAGGGGTCCCTGCCAGTGCCAAGTGGACGGTCTGTTGCGGTGGGGCCCACTACTTTGGAGGGACGGCCGCACTGGCAGTGACCCCGACAGGCCCGGGGTGGAGCTGAGCGTCAGCACATGGGCCTCACGTGTGCAGGGTGTGATCCGCACTGCCAGAAGCTCTTACATGAAGTCACTGGCTCTAGCGTTTCCGGGCCCAAAGGAGTAACCTATTGAGCCATGGCAGATAGGGAAGCTCTATTTGGACACAGCTCATCCTGATTTTTATTGCAGTATGGCAGTGAACAGGCAACACAAAGGACATGTGCTCACCGCTTTTCACTGGGAGCAGAGCACGGAAGCTGGATTGTGGGTCCAGTTCAGGTGTCCAGTCACGCGTGGGTGGACAATGAAGTGGTATAAATGTACGGTCCGGTCTGGTCCTCCTGTTGTTCATTAGTTTGCTCGAGCGGGCCCAGTAACGTCTCCATTGGAGACTTTGTTGTTACTGTGTCTGGCATATCGAAGACGTCACGGGTAGCTTGCCAGGCTCTGCCGTGCGGACGAGATACTCTCGGTAGCTTGCCGGGCTCTCCGAGAGGGGCAGAGGAATCGAACTCGGGTCGGCCATGTTGGCTGCGTGCAAGGCAAACGCCCTCCCGCTGTGCTATTGCTACAGCCCAGGTGTATATATATTATGTATAATAGATAATACCATATATGCATATATAGAACGGACTGCACTGCAGCTGCAAGAGTAACGGAATCATGCAATTCACTGTGACTTAAGTGGAACCAGAGAATGGCATAAAGCAAGTCAGAAGGACAGACTCGGGATGATCCACCTGTGCCATACAGAATAGGGTGATGGATGCAAAGTCTCAAGCGGGGGCGGGGAGGGGGGCTCCTAGATTGCAGAAACGAGGACAAGGCAGGGAGGCAGCCGAGGAGTGTGGATGGAGGGAAAGTGGGGCGTGGCCTACGCGGTGAGAGGGGCAGTCCCCGTGCCCGCTGCACAGCAGGGGAAGCAGGAGACCCGGGCCACAGGAGCCCAACTGAAAATGCAGAAGGGGCACTTGCCCTGGGTGTGCAATGGGCCCGTGTGATTCCTGGAACCCCGCCAGGAGGCTCCCCTAAGCACTACAGAGTGTGGCCCCAAAACAAGAACGAAAATTGTTGATTGTGTTAGAAGCAGAATGCAGGCTGGGTGGGAGCCTGGGGACTCTTTGGGGGAGAAGTTGACACTGGTGGTGGGGTTGATCCTGGAATCGTTAGGCCTGAAACGTGGTTATGAGGACATTGTCAATTATGGTACATTAATAACAAAATTGAAAGTGAAAAGTTAATAAGAGACACTTCCAAAAGAACTGGACCTGGAGAGGGCGACAGGGTGGTGCTGGCCTTGACAGGATGCCTCGCTGGCGGCTGCCCCTGGCTCAAGCCCCAGCACAGCAGGACTCGCCTCCGATAGTCACGAGGGACCTGAGCAGAGCCAGGTGTCCCCCAGACCCAAGCAAGCAAATAAGATGTTTCGGTTTTTACTTTATAAAGAACTGACATGAAAAAATTATCTTGTTCCACAGTTTGAGATTGCGCTGATGAATGATTATTCTCATTTTCAGGTTAGGATTAATTGAATGGATTGAAAATACATTAACCTTGAAGGAACTTCTCTGGAACAGTGTGTCTCAGGAGGAGAAAAGAGCACTGACAAGGTAAGGCTCCGAGCTCTCTCCACCCTGCCAGGAGTCCCAGACCCGCCTCCCACATCTCGGTGTTGCGAGACACTTTCAGGCTCCTGACCCTTAACTTCCCTCTGACTGGGTAAACTAAACTGAGGAGAGCCCTGAACACGAGGCGAACTGAATGCCAGGTTCTGCCTCACCAGGGGGCGGAGGTTCCCGGGCAGGCCCCTCAGCCCAAGACGCTTCCCGTATGCTAAGCACTACTCTTGCTTCATGATGCCGAGGGACTTTATTCTTTCTTAGAACAGTCCACAAGGTTTTGTCACATCTGTATGTGAGGAAATTAAGGCCCAGATGGTTCAGGAACTGAGCCGGGTCACCTGGCCGGTAGATGTGTACCTAGAATGGTTAAGGGTTCTAGGTGATGATACAGGTGCACTCTGTGTGTGTGTGTGTGTGTGTGTGTGTGTGTGTGTGTGTGTGTGTGTGTGTGCGCGCGCGTGTGTGTCTGCATGTGCATTTGTCTGTGTGTGTGTGTGTCTGGTTTGAGGGCCTTGTGCTTTGGGGGACCATGTCCCTGACATGCAAAGCATGTCCACTTAGCACTTTGGCCCTAGTTTTGTTGGTATTTTTCTGTTTTCTAAGTTCTCTACAATGAAAACTATTTCTTCTCAGAAGGCTGTTTTAGTTCTATAAAGAAAATTTAGTGATGACATTAAAAGACGGCGGAAAGAAGAGTTTACAAGCAAGTTTGGTACAAAACCAAAGAATAAAGGGAAACTGGCCATGGCTGGCCTGGCCGCTGCTCTTCACTGCATCCTCTCCTGTTCTCATGCTTTCAGGAAGCAGTTACTTAGGAGCAGGGACAGATTCCCATAGGATGGGAATCATTCTTGTCACTATTCCTGGGCCGTGGCTTCCAAATTGGGAGTGTTTGCAAACTTGGCTCCTGACCACGGGGTCCTGCGCCTCAGCTCACAAACTGAGCCCTTCCTGGGCCCAGCAGTTCAGCCCGGGCTCGGTGTTCGGTGCTCAGTGCTTGCTCAGCAGCCCCTCGGGCACTGGGATCCGTTATCCCCAGGTCTCCGCCGGTAAGACGGAATGGCGATACGAACGCAGAGGTAAGCGTAGGTCTCAGTAGAGTAGAAAGAGTCTCAGTCATACAGTGGGAAAGAGTGTCTCAGATCAGACGGTGCCGAGAAAACGGACCGGAGAAGGGGCCTGGGGAGCTGACGCTGTCGGAAGCGAATCCAGAGGGACTGATGAAGGCCCTTCTCAGGAAGAAAGTGTTTCTTTTGTTCAGGGGCCAGAAAGATAATGAAGCAGGGAAAGCACGTGCCATGTCCTAATCCAGGTGTGATCCCCAGAACGACCCCTGAGCTGACAGGTGTGGCCCCAAATCCAAAATTAATTAATTAATTGACTTGCTGGAGGTGTTTTTTTTCCATCATTTGAATTTTTGTTTTATTATCCCTTACACTGCCCTGTAGCACTGTCCTCCTATTGTTCATCGATTTGCTCGAGTGGGCCCAGTAATGTCTCCATTCTGAGACTTGTTGTTACTGTGTTTGGCATATCGAATACGCCACGGGGAGCTTGCCAGGCTCTGCCGTGTGGCGGGATACTCTCGGTAGCTTTGCAGGCTCTCCAAGAGGGACGGAGGAATCGAACTCAGGATGGCCGTGTGCAAGGCAAATGCCCTACCCGCTGTGCTGTCGCTCCAGTGATATCCCTTACAATTATATATATAATAAAATTTTACCATATATTCCTACTTCTTGGCACACACACACACACACACACACACACACACACACACACACACCAGAACAATCATTTTTAAAAATAAAGTGACTTTCTGTCAGATATCTAGCTTACTGTTAGAACAGAATTCTTCACATGTTGATTTCCAGACCTGATGCCTGGCACTGAAAACCAAAAAATCACAGAACCATTGAGATAGCTTAATGCATAATTTGTATTGTGGAAGCCCAGATTTGTTCCCTGGCATGTCTGTCCCCGGAGTGTGGCCAGGTGTGATCATCCGCAGGAACCAAAAATAATTACAAAGATAAGTGATTTTGTAAATTGCTTCCCATTGCCCCCAGCCTGTGACTAAATCATTGCCTTTTAAAAATCAGTATGTTACAGATTTTCAGCCTAATGATTTTAATCCAGTTGGAAATAGGGAATTTAGATTTTAATAGCCATCTACTGGTAAAATTAGTTTAGTAGCAACTCAGAAAATCTTTATGTATCTATTCAGTAACATTTTGAAGTCTTTTTTTTTTTAAAGGAAAATTGGTAAAGCTTATGTCACAAACAAAAAGTATCTCAGCATGTCACATTGTCCAGCTGCCTGAATCCTGTGAAGCATCGCTGAAAGTAACTTTCCCACTTTGCTTCTATTTCAGACTTTTTTAAAAAGTCGAATCACAGTGAGATACAGTCACAAAATCGTTCATCGTTGTGTCTCAGGCGTGCAGTGTTCCAGCAGGCTCTCTCCGCAGGGCACGTTCCCAGCCCGTGTCCACAGTGCCCTCAAAACCCGTGGGCCGCTGGGAGGGCCGGGTTCCTGCCACCCTCTGAGGCCACACGCGAGGGGCTCAGGCCCCGGAGTCAGCCTTTTGGTGCTCAAAGGACCACGCGGGGGGGGGGGGGGTGTCAAACCTGGGTGGCCACAGGCCAGACACGCGTCCTCCCCGCTGAGCCAGCGCCCGGCCCCCACCCGGCCCTGTCCTCTGGGGTGGGAAACGTGCCCAGGACCTCAGGACTGGGGTCACTCCCCTGCCTCAGCAGACCTCGTCAGGCCTGACGCCTGTGGTTTCCCCGAGCTGAGGTTGGTGCGCTGAGTGGGGGCTGGCCTGTGCTCGGGCGAGGGGGCGCTTCCCACACCCCTGAGCCTGGGCCCCGGGGCTGGGGCTGTTTACATGATTATTCTACCGGTGATTCTGCATCAGAAATGGCTTTGGTTTTATCAGGAGTGATCATGAGTGAAAAAAATGAGATTCTAGATCGCGCTGGTAATGTGTTGACATTTTTTCTGTGCCTCTGACTTTTCAGCTGATAATTGGTGATTTGCCTAAAAAGTGATATTATCCCGATCCCCTTTCTCCTCCTTGTCAGTGACCCCAAAGCACCGCCACAGGAGTATAAGGACTGGCTCACTAAGCTCACGAGAAGATGCGACTCTGGTGCTTACAGGCTGATGTTCCGGTAAGCTTTCATTTCCTGTCTGCTGACGCGACTTCTTCTCAAAAGTCATGAATTTGTCCCACAAAAAGTTTGGCCTCGGATTGACAGTCTGCTTGACACTTCAAGTTCAAAGTCAAGAATTTTCAACATTCGAGCCGTGGTGCGTGTCTTCTGATCGAGCCCTCCGTTGCAGGGGAGCCAGCCGTACGGAGACAGTCACAGCCTTCCAGCGGAGAGAGAGCAAAGTGCCGCCCGATCTCTTGAAGTGAGTGTCGTCCCCCACACTCCGCCCCCCCGCCCTGCCCCCGCCGGCCATGCCCACAGCAGCTGTCCCCCACAGGCGGGCCTTCCTGGCCATGAGCACTGGCCCGGAGTCCTTCCTGGCGCTGCGTGCCCAGTGCGCCAGCTCCCACGCTCTGCTGTGCGTCAGCCACTGGGTGCTGGGCATCGGGGACAGACACCTGAACAACTTCCTGGTGAGCATGGACACGGGCACCATGATCGGCATCGACTTCGGCCATGCCTTTGGCTCCGCCACCCAGGTACCCTCGACGGCCCCCGCTGGGAGTGGGCGGCTTCCTCGGCTCCGTGGCTCGGGGACAGGCTCCAGCTGGTTGCTGGGGAGTGGGCGGGCCGGAGCTCGCTCTGGCGTTGGGCCGTCGGCATGCCCGGCGTGTGCTCTTCCAGCCAGATGGAAACGCGTCATCGGAGGAGGAGTGACGCGTTTGCTGTCACTGTCCTTAAATCTGATTTTCTGGCACGGAGGCATTTTCTCTTGTTCAGGCAGTTACGGAAGTGGTTGTAGGTAGACGTCAGAACTAGGAATAGCAGGTGCTTGGTCTGTCCCAGTGGGGCCTCGCCTCATGGAGCCGGGGATGCCCCTTGGCCCATGTTCCGGGGCCTGCGGTACCCAGGCCCTGTGGTGTTTTTTAAGGAGGGGGGTCCGCTGTCTTGCCCAAGCTGGGTTGCAGAGTTTGTCTCTGATGCTGAACTCAGTTTGCCATCGCAGTGCTCGGGCAGGGGTGTGGCGTGGCGGTGGAGCGCTCGCTGTGCCTGCGGGAGCCCGCTGTTCTGTTTTCTGCCGTGCGTGCAGTGGGCATGGCCCTGTTCCCCGTGCTCGTGGGGTCTCAGCCACCGGCCGGGGACTTCTGGCGCAGCCCTGCCGTGAAGACGGCCTTCGATTTCCAGTCCTCCTGCAGCTCTCTGGGCCGTGCTGGCTGTGCACGCGGGGGTCTGTGGCAGGTGGACGATGGTGGGGCCCCGTCTCCACTGAGCGGAGGCCCGTCTGCTGCTGCTCGAGACGCCGTTCCTACCGGTTGTCTTCTCCCCCTTAGTTTCTGCCCGTGCCCGAGCTGATGCCCTTCCGCCTGACCCGCCAGCTGGTCAACCTGATGCTGCCAATGCGTGAGACGGGCCTGGTGTCCGGCGTCATGGTGCACGCCCTCCGCGCCTTCCGCGCCCGGGGCGGCCAGCTCGGGAGCACCATGGCCGTGTTCATCAAGGAGCCCTCCTTCGACTGGAAGGTAGGCCCCCCGCGTGCCCCCCGTGAGGGGAAAACGCTCGATGCTCTGTGCAGAAGCCCTGGCGCCTTCCCGCCACTCGCTTGGAATTGACCTCTGGGGCATCTGTGTGAACAGCAGATGAGGCAGAACCTTGATTTGGAGAAAAACGTCGCTTGAACGGGCCATGGGGCCACCCCAGAGAGGCTCCAGGCCTCAGTGGTGGTGCTCACTCTGCTTCCGGAGACATTTCAATTCACAAGCTCTTGCACCTGAAAGCTGCCCTGGTCATAGACTTTTTCTTGAACCTCAAGGGCTCGTCACAGTAGAACCACCAGAGTGTCCTCGGAAGGCGTCTGTCTGACTGCCAGCCCTCAGGGTCACTGCCACTGGGAGCTGGCGTCCCGATAGAGTTCGCCTCCAAAGCTGTAGCATTCCCCATAATTATAGTGATTTTATTTAAGATCATCACTTGTTAATCTTGAGAATGTGATCTCATATGCTGTGATACAATTGTATTCTTTCCGTTTAGAATTTTGAACAGAAAATGCTAGAGAAAGGAGGATCCTGGATTCAAGAAACAAATATCACTGAAAAAAACTGGTACCCCCTGCAGAAAATACAGTATGCCAAGAGAAAGCTAGCCGGAGCCAACCCAGCAGTCATCACCTGGTGAGCGTGTGTGCGGGGGTGCAGGCACTGCCTCACTGAGAGGCCGTGAGAGCGGTGTGAAGCGCTCCGAGCCCCATGGCGCTGTTGTTCTCGCTGCGTGGGTGACAGCCCCGTGGCTCGTGCCCACCTGGACTCAGTCTCTGGCGTCACGTTTCAGTCATCAGAGCTTCGCCGTCATTGCAGGGATTCTCACATACCTGCAATTTAGGTCTTACATCTAGTTTTGTCCTTTTTTAAGACAAAGGGGGCATTGGTGGGTACAGCAACAAGATGTAGAAAATACAGAATGGCCTGTTAGACAAGAACCAAAATCAAGCTGACCCTCGGGGTAGCTTTTTAAGTTCTTTCTCTGTCAAAAGCTAACGATTCACAAGCAGTATAAGAAGTTGCACTTTACAATTATGTAATATAGTAAATACAGGAAACCATTTTAATTTTTATTTATTTTTTATTTTTTTGCTTTTCGGATCACACTTGGCAATGCCCAGGAGTTCCTCCTGGCTCTGCATTCAGGAGTTACTCCTGGCGGTGCTCAGGGGACCGTATGGGATGCAGGGAATCGAACCCGCGTTGGCTGTGTGCAAGGCAAATACCCTACCTGCTGTGCTCTCTCTCCAGCCCCCACCATTTGTGTTTTAGAAGGGTGTCAAGATCAGTCATTCGTCCCCTAAAGGCACCTGCAAAGGAGTGACGTGGACCCCCCAACACACACGCGCGCGTATGCCAAGTAGATCAAAAACCTGAAACTAAGCCAGCACTCTCAAATTAAGTAGAAAGAAAGAAACAGGATAGGTCTTCATGAGCTGTAATTTGGCTGTAACATTTGATATTAGGCATAATACCAAAATTACAAGCATGAAAAGGTAAATCGAGTAACATTAAAACACTTTTTGAGTTTCACTGGATATATTTTTAAAAAGTAAAAAGATGGGCCAGATCAATAGTACAGTGGGCAGCGTGCTTGCCTTGCACACAGCTGACCAGGGTTCGATCTCCTGCATCCTGTATGGGTCCCCAAACCTCTGAGCACAGGGCCAGGAGTAAGCCCTGAACAGTGCAGCGTGTGGCCCAAATACCAAAAAGCAAACAAAAACTACTGTAACTCAACATAAAGGTAAATAACCCCCCCTAAAATTGCTGTAGTTGATAAAATGGGAAAGGCGGGGGTGCCCGGTCACCTGCTTGGTGCTGGAATCCTGTGCATGAGAAACCATGATGCTTAGCACTGTAGAGCGCAGAACTCAATCTAAAGAAATTTTTTTGCTGAGAAATCTGAGGCTAGTGGAAGCCTCATGTTGATGATGGGAATGTGAAATGGTGTCTATGCCATGGAAAATAGTTACCCTCAAAGGACACGTAAAATTACCATTTGGCCCGAACAGTTGTGCCCCTAGGCACACACAAGAAGAACTGACAGCGTCTGTCCACACAGGTTAATGGATAATTATTCAAGCAACATTGGTCACATTCTGTTTTCTGTGCCTCTGATCTCATCAGGGTTCTGGGCAGCAGAAAAACACTTGAAGTGATGAGAGCGCCTTTGCGTGGGAGATAAGGGGGAAGTAACGCATGGCCTGTGATTTTGTGATTCTGCTTTATTTCCCAGTGATGAGCTGTTTCTGGGCCACGAGAAGGACCCCGCGTTTGGCGACTACACAGCTGTGGCCCGAGGAAGCAGTGAGCACAACATTCGTGCCCGCGAGCCAGAGACGGGGCTTTCGGAAGAGGCCCAGGTGAAGTGCCTGATTGACCAGGCCACAGACCCCAACATCCTGGGCAGAACGTGGATTGGCTGGGAGCCCTGGATGTGAGGACGCAGGAGCCAGCAGATGAAGCGTGTCTGAGTGGTTCAAGACCTCCTAGACCTTCTCCTACTGCAGTCAGGTCCTGAAGGTCTACGGAAATCTGAGATTAATAAAGATCACGATGAATTTGTAAAATGGTGTGAATGAGCAGTTATGTAGTCTCGTGCTATTTTTTTTAATATCCCATAAATGAGTGCAGTCATTCCGTGTCTGTCCCTCTCCTGACTCATTTCAGCACAATACTCTCCATGGCCATTTGTAAGTGAATTTCATGACTTCATCTTTCTTGGTGGCTGTGTAGTATTCCACTGTGCAGATGTACCACAGCACCCACCCGGCCTCCCATACGGTCCACCAAGCCCCACCAGTAGTGCTTCCTGAGCGCTGCCAGCTGTGGCTCAAAAACAAAACAGAAATCCCCAAGGATAAAGCCCAGGTCCAGTCGGTTTGCCAGTGAGTGCTACTGAATCTTAAAGACTACCCCCACTCCTGAAGGACATAAAGGTGAATTTGACACCAAGAGATTAAAAAATCATAGATAAGAATTTCCCAGAGTGAGGAATATGGGCAGCCAGATCCAAGAGCCACTTATGATGACCCTTTACTAGATTCAGCTGAGCTTGTCCCAGCTGGCTAGAGATTTCATATAGCTTCAATGAGTATTTCTTTTATATTGAATATTCTTTGTCTCGACCCGAGTTCAGTTCCTCCGCCCCTCTCAGAGAGCTCGGCAAACGACTGAGAGTATCTCGCCCGCCTGGCAAAGCCTGGCAAGCTCCCCCTGGCGTATTCCATATGCCAAACAGTAACAAGTCTCACAATGTTACTGGGCCCACTCGAGCAAACTGAACAACGGGAGGACAATGACAGTGACAGTTCTTTATCTGATCCTGTGTGTTTTTTATTTTTTTGCTTTTTGGGTCACACCCTGCGATGCACAGGGGTTACTCCTGGCTCTGCACTCAGGAATTACCCCTGGCAGTGCTCAGGGGACCCGATGGGATGCTGGGAATCGAACCCAGGTCGGCCGCGTGCAAGGCAAACGCCGTACCTGCTGTGCTATTGCTCCAGCCCCCGATGTGTTTTTTTAAAACATTCATACATTATCTTTTATTATAACCCTTTACCTACTAATGTAGAGTTAAGCAGTATCTATTATTATGAATTGTTAATTTTTATTAATTTTATTAATAGTTATTTGCTCTAGCGGGCCTTTTCTGATATAAACCGAATCATCTATTTCTTAGGATAAAACACACTTCATACTTTTATAGGCCAACTCCTTAAAATTTTTCTTAATTCTCTTCACTAATTTTTACGTTTGTGACATTTACCTATTTCAAGTAAAATTTAAAACATACTAGCATAAAATTATATTATTTTTAACATATACCACTAAAATACTGGTCTTGAAAGCAAATTTTACTTCTCAGCTTATCACTGATTTACAAGTTTGTGGAATTTCAGGAGACTAGTTCTATTCATCCATATATGTGTAGGTGTCATCACCTCGACAATTAAAAAAAGGTCTCTCCCATATGTGGGATTAAAAGAAACAAAAACAAAAGTAACTAACAGATGGTCCATTATAGCTATTTAGTTGAACTTAAGCCTATGTCGGGAGGGTGGTAGGAAGGGGTCCTGGGACGCTGGAGGAGGGGAGTGGGCCCCCTGGTGGTGGGTGTTGGAATGGCAGTATTGTAAATACCCGTAGCACCTTAGCACTGTCCTCCGATTGTTCATCGATTTGCTCGAGCGGCCCAGTAATGTCTCCAACGTGAGCCTTGTTGTTACTGTGTTTGGCTTATTGAATACGTCACGGGGAGCTTGCCAGGCTCTGCTGTGCAGGCGAGATACTCTCGGTAGGTTGCCGGGCTCTCCCAGAGGGCAGAGGAATCAAACCTGGGTGCAAGGCATACGCCCAACCCGCTGTGCTATGGGTTAAAAAAAAAATAAGAACTGAGATCACAGAGATCTACCTCAGCTCTATGGACAGAGAACCTATGATGTTAATTGGTGTTTTCAATGATGTAGGGCCACTGCAAATAAAACAGAAACAAAACTAAGTGGCACTACATCAAAGTTTCTACGTTGCAGAAGTAACTCTGGCTAAAATTAAAGGACACCCACTTGGATGGGAGAAGACATTTAGACACAGAACATCAGATACAGAACACATGTCTAGAGTATATCCACATATCCCGCATATCTAAAGCACCACAGAGCTCAGCAACAAGGAAACCAGTGACTACCCAAAAAAGGCTATCTCTTCGATAGCCATGTCCACTTGCCGACATACCAAATTCCACAGGATGGGTATGTCGTTCCCAACGTTCTCCCTTCCGAAATCCGACACGCCATTTCGTCGGTAAAGAAGCAAACAGCACCCGGCCCAGACAAGGTCAGACCTGAACACCTGAAGAACCTGCAGTCAGTACTCATCAATACACTGGCTCGGCTCTTCACTCGCTACCTGTCTGAATGCAAGGTTCCGTCCCAATGGAAAACCAGCAGGACCGTACTACTGTTCAAGAAGGGAGACATCGATGACATTGGCAACTATCGCCCGATCTGCCTATTGTCTGTCATCTACAAGTTGTTCATCCTGAATAGGATTGGCAGAACACTAGATGAAGGACAACCATGCGAGCAAGCCGGGTTCCGCAAAGGATTCAGCACCATCGACCATATCCACACGGTAACCAAGCTCATTGAGGTTTCTCGGGAGTTCAAGATGCCGCTCTGCTTAACGTTCATTGATTTAAAGAAGACCTTTGATTCTGTTGAGACGGAAGCGGTCATTGAAGCCCTAGCCAATCAGGGCATTCAAGCCCAATACATCAGGATCCTCCGTGAGCTGAATTGCGGATTCACTACCAGGATCTCACCATTCTACAAAGAAGTGATCGTTGATGTCAAGAGAGGGGTGCGGCAGGGTGATACCATTTCAGCAAAACTCTTCAGTGCCACTCTCGAGAACATCATGCGACGACTGGAATGGGAAGGAATGGGAGTGAAGATAGATGGTCGGCAATTACACCACCTCCGCTTTGCTGATGATATTGTTTTAATAACACCAAACATCAGCCAAGCGGCACAAATGCTGGCCGACTTCGACCGTGAGTGTGGAAAGGTAGGACTACAGCTGAATCTTACGAAGACAATGTTCATGAGAAACAGCCTCGTTCCTGACGCCCCATTCACTCTCAAAGGAACAACCATCTCCGAATGCAACAGCTATGTGTACCTAGGTCGAGAGGTCAACATGACAAATGACCTGGCACCCGAGCTGCGCAGGAGGAAGAGAGCGGCTTGGAACGCCTTCAAGAACGTCGAAGAAATAGCTAAGAGGACGAAGAACCTCCGGCTCCGGGCACATCTCTTTGATTCCACTGTTCTTCCTGCATTAACATATGCCTCAGAGACCTGGGCCCTACGCAAACAAGATGAGAACGCCATTCAGGTCTCCCAAAGAAGAATAGAAAGAGCTATGCTTGGAATATCACGTTTCACTCAAATGAGAGAAAGAATCCGGAGTTCCGACATCCACCGACGATCAAGAATCAGGGACGCTCTCTCGTTTGCCAAAGTGTCTAAAATCAGATGGGCTGGTCACGTAATGAGATTTAAAGACGACCGCTGGACTAGAGCTGTTACCGACTGGATTCCACGGGATGTCAAAAGACCGCGTGGCCGCCCACCTACCAGATGGTCAGACTTCTTCGTGAAGATCATGAACGATCGGTTTGAGGCCTTTCATGTTCCCGGAGCGAACAGATGCCATTGGGCTACACTAGCACGTGACAGGGACAAATGGAGACGTTACTGGCGCCCGCTCGAGCAAATCGCCGACTAACGGGAAGTTAAGGGATTAAGTGATTAAGACCCAAAAAAGGGGGAGAAAGACTCTTTCACAAAGAGGGAATACAGGTATGAAAAAGTGCTCCTCGTCACTATTACCAGGAAACCCAAGACAAAAGGAGAATAAAAAAAGTCAACAGCTGGAAATAAACAGTGTTGACAGAGATGTTAAAATGGAACACTCCTCTACGCTGGTGGGAATCACGTCTGGTTCAGCCCCTAGGAGCAACAGTGTGGGGGGTTCTCAACAAAGCAAGCAAGGCTGAGTGACAGCACAGCGGGGAGGGCGTTTGCCTTGCACGCGGCTGACCCGGGTTTGATCCCCGGCGTGGTTCCCCAAGCACCGCAAGGAGTAATCCCTGAGCATCGCTGGGTGTGACCCAAAAAGCCAAAAAATAAAGCAAGCAGGCAAAACCAAAAACCTAAAGAGCTCCCACGTGCTTCGTGGCAACGACCCCCCAAACATAACAAAGATACACGCACGACACACAGCCCTTCGTACACTGACTACTGGACCCCCCTACGTGGCAAGGGAGCAAGGCACAGCCACACATGACCGACTGGCTGTCTCCGCGCCGGGGTCCCCAGCACATACCCTGGGGCAGCAGCTCATCCTCGGGCCCCGCTGGCTGAGAGCCCGAGCACTGCTCGGGAGTCCCTCCACAGGCAGGTGCCTGAGGTGCTCGTCGCCAGGCATCACGTCTGTGTACGCCATGGAGCGAGTCGAGGGTTCTCTCGCTTTCCGCTGGAAGGAATCAAAGGTTTCTCACAGGACAGGTCTGTCTGGGAATACTTTTTCTCCTTCACCTTTGCCGGCACAGGGTCTCTCGATCTGTTTCTGCTGTTGGTGCTCTCTGAGGTGGAGCCCGCCTGGTCTTCAGAGCGGACTATGTTCTTTCTCGGTGTGGGTCTCACCGAGTGTTTCTGGCATCTGCTGGGCTTCCTGGTTGTGTTCAACTTCCATAATAAAATTTCAGAAATTTGGGCCCGGTGATGGCACCGCGGGTAAGGTGCTCCCCTGCCTGCAAGCAGCCAACTGGGTTCCCCTCAAACGTGATGAACGTTACCCCGAGCCCTGCGGAGGCACAGCCGGGGGTGGCCCAGCAAACCTGGGAAATCTGAGGTGGTCATTTCTTCGATAGCCTGCCTCTTTCTTCCCTTTCCTGAGGTGTCCACCGAGGCGGCCAGCATCCACATGGCCTCTACCCTTCTTGTGCTCTGCTTGGATAACTTCAGTTCTCCTACGTT